AAAGTCACAAATAAAGCGCTGCAGGTATAAACAGTTAATCGTGCAAGAATATTTTCAAAAGTATGACAATGCCTTTTATCGAATTATGGTAGAGATTTCTGTGCAACCACGCCTCTTCTCCTGGAAATGAAGAAATAATTGAATGTATCTTTCCCCAGGGAGTGGAGGGACGAGTTCGCAACGGAGAGAAAATGGATATCGGAATCACAGGGAAGCAGGTATTGTTGTCGTGCTTTTTTTCAGAAGAGCCGGCGAAAAAAATGGAGTAAGAAAAAGTCACAAATAAAGCGCTGCAGGTATAAACAGTTAATCGTGCAAGAATATTTTCAAAAGTATGACAATGCCTTTTATCGAATTATGGTAGAGATTTCTGTGCAACCACGCCTCTTCTCCTGGAAATGAAGAAATAATTGAATGTATTTTTCCCCAGGGAGTGGAGGGACGAGTTCGCAACGGAGAGAAAATGGATATCGGAATCACAGGGAAGCAGGTATTGTTGTCGTGCTTTTTTTCAGAAGAGCCGGCGAAAAATGGAGTAAGAAAAAGTCACAAATAAAGCGCTGCAGGTATAAACAGTTAATCGTGCAAGAATATTTTCAAAAGTATGACAATGCCTTTTATCGAATTATGGTAGAGATTTCTGTGCAACCACGCCTCTTCTCCTGGAAATGAAGAAATAATTGAATGTATTTTTCCCCAGGGAGTGGAGGGACGAGTTCGCAACGGAGAGAAAATGGATATCGGAATCACAGGGAAGCAGGTATTGTTGTCGTGCTTTTTTTCAGAAGAGCCGGCGAAAAATGGAGTAAGAAAAAGTCACAAATAAAGCGCTGCAGGTATAAACAGTTAATCGTGCAAGAATATTTTCAAAAGTATGACAATGCCTTTTATCGAATTATGGTAGAGATTTCTGTGCAACCACGCCTCTTCTCCTGGAAATGAAGAAATAATTGAATGTATTTTTCCCCAGGGAGTGGAGGGACGAGTTCGCGACTGAGAGAAAATGGAACTCTGAATCACAGGGAAGAAGGTATTGTTGTTATGCTTATCTGAAGCAAGTATATTTGAACTATCAGCGATATGCTGATCAAGAACGATCGATTAAGAACTATTTAGACACACAGCACACTAGTGGCAGCTTTGTGCCCAGATCCTTGCAAAAAGCGCTTCGGTTCTCTACGTAACCCTCCAGGCTGACCGTCAGGGTCAACATGCAGAAAAAGGGGCCTACGGATAAGAGTTCTTATGAGAGGACTAAAATGTCCAACCATCCGCAGTTTCCGCTCAAAGGCAGCACACTCTCCTCAGTTATATGATGACGCTGAGTGCTGGTCTGACTAGGGCTCGTACCTTTGACGGTCTTCATAGTAGTCCAACGCTTTACAAATTGATCGATTTAGGTGGAAGTTAACAGTTACAACGAATTCAGGGGAATAATGGTAACTGTGTCCAGGAATCGTGTTAGAGTTCAAGGCAGTGTTAAAAGTTTGCATACGAATGTTCTTTCCGAATCATAAGAACAACTTGCATTTCAAACTATTCCCAAATAACTACGGGAAGAGTTTCCAAAACCCAAAGAAGACTTACACATTAAATTTTCCCTTTTACACTGGTCTGAGCCCATCGTTTACTTTCTTATGGTCTGTAAGTTGATTTGTTAAGACTTAAACCGGTGACAACTCATCCTTTAATGTTGCACCTCGGTGAAATTTCTTTTGCTTCAAATCGCAATTCTTTCTTTGTTTATTCCATTCAGGTAGTGTCAGCCAACTAAGTACAGAAATACAAGCATTAGAATGTAGAAGTAATTATTTGGCGGTTGTCTTTCAGTAAATCAATAGTGCCTATGCCTAGCACTTTACTAGAACTTTGATCTGCAAAATCATTTTTACAGGTGTTGGAAAAACCAGAACACAAGAAGACGAAGAGAGAGCCAGGAAAAGAAGAGGAGAAGGTAATGTACACTGTAAAAAATGGGCCTAAGTGTTACACTTAATTCAACTGAAATATTATGGTAATAGTTCCTGCATCGTAAACATAGGATTGCTTAATTTGTTGTTCCCTTTTAAGCTAAAGCATCGCTTCGTATGAAGTCACAAATACTGAGGAATAACAGTTCCTGTTCTTAATTTTCAAATCCCTTGAAATGAAGTAACATTTTCATATTACCCTTCACCAACTGCAGCCTTATCCCTTCTTGGCGATAGCAAGTCTACACCATACCTCTGGCAGTTCAAAGAAGCAGATTCTCATGCTTGGAAAAATTTCGGCCCCTCTGACAATGTTGTCCTGGAAGAGCTTTATTGCAACGTGAACAATGTGGAGGTTGAAATAGAACTTGAAGACACCACAATAAGGTGAATATGTATTTATTCTTAAACAATAGGGGAAACGTAGCTCATCAAAGGTACAATTTTTAATATTTTTGGCCAGAAACTTTGGTAACCTTAAGATTACAGAGAACATCCAACTTGAAAATGATATATACAGAGACCATAGATCACCGAAGTGTTCGGCCGTTTGATTTGTTTTCTTGAGGATATAGAGCGGGTTCATTTAGAGAAGAATACTGGCAAAATGAATGTCACAGATGCTCCACAGAAGCCAGTCAATTTCTCGACAAAACTTTATATCTGTAAAACACTTCAGTAACTTCCCGTACGTTTTATTGCCTCTCCTATCTCGTGCAATACTTTAACATGTGTCAAGGCCTCAGTTAGTTATCATCATTCGGCGGCGTGATTGTCTTAGCGACGCAGAATGAGACGAGGGGAAACGGAAAAAGATTGGAAACAGTTGCACTGAAGTACCGCAGTCTGCGAGCGGACTCACACTAGTGCGGCAAGGGAGCAAAGGAGGGAAACGAGAGGTCTGGCACTGACGTTTGTGCCAGAAAAAAGGCGGATCTCTGGCAAGTTCACATTGCTTATCCGCTAAAATGCGCGGGCCTCACCACTCACGATGCTGATGCAGCGCCGATTTGAGCCTGCAAGCAGACCAACAGCACTGCAGCTCACTAACAAAACGTTTGGAATAGGCTAACACATTGTCACTCTTTTTCGTTTCTTTCAGACATTCAAGAAAGCTGTCAGGAAAGATGTCAGCCAATTTTCACACAATGTCCATGAGCTTGTTCTCCCCCTTTAACCACTTTTTGATCCGTCGACGTTCAACACCGTCTTACATCGAAGAACGCGGCAACAATTTTCCTACACTGTGGGTTTGGTATTGGAAAGACATCGATGGATGGAAAAAATATGCCGAAACGAATGTAAGTAGGAGGGTCTTAATGGGGTGATAGCTTTTACGGCTAACGGTTAAAATTTTGACCAATTTACGGCTAACGGTTAACATTTTTCCATTGTCTCCATCAGACATATTTTTTACGGTTAATTTTCTTTACGACGGTTAACCCCATAGAGAACCTCAAGTAGCGGTAACTGTTACGCAAAGATATGGTAAAACAATGGCCCGGCCGGGTATACTTCTTTCGTAATTTGCTTTAATTGTATATTTTGTATCGCAGTGAAATTGTAGGGCCGAAATTATGTTTACTTTAATAATATATACATACATACATACATACATACATACATACATACATACATACATACATACATACATATACATACATGCATACATACATACATACATACATACATACATACATACATACATGCATACATACATGCATACATGCATACATGCATACATGCATGCATACATGCATACATGCATACATGCATACATGCATATATATATATATATATATATATATATATATATATATATATATATATATATATATATAGGGGAAAAAACAGAGAGACTATCATCGCCTTTCATCCCTACAAGCCTGTTTCGTGATTGCTCACTCATCAGGGGATTTTATGGGTGAGCAAACAGGCTTGTAGGGATGAAAGTATAGTCTCTCTTTTTTTTCCCCTATCGCAACATATATCGCGCTCTACTTCAACGTATCGAACACTGTAAAACCGAAAAATCTATACACAGACTTCCTATATAATCCCTTACCTTCAATAAGGCCAAGATACGGGCTTTCATTCGAAAAATAAAAGTTTGACGACCAAGATAAAATAAGCATTGCAAATGACAGCTTAAGATGAAATAAAAAGAGAAGAGAAATCCTGAGGCTGAGGTTTCACGGTTATGGATGGTCAAAACTTAAAATTCTTAAAACTTCTGTTTTAGCTTTGTTCTGGGACAAAACAAGAGCAAATTGAAGCATCGTATTTAAATGGAGACCCTGCTTACTCCTTTAAAATCGGTGGGAACGATTACGTAATACATTTTGAAGGTACACTTATGAATCAAAGGAGTGTAGATCCAGAAGTCCAAGCTGTTCGGCTTGTCAGAAGAAGACCAATGTCTGCTTCGAATTCAGCACCACAGACTACAGTGAGGTGAGTGAACGCAGACTGCACTGTAATTAGGAAGAGTAACCAATTTTTTTTTTGAAAAGTCACTGAAAGAGAGACTACTTCTTTTGTAAGCTGTCCTAGGACAGAACAAGGCTTTCGATCGATGAAAAGCCGAAACAAAATAAAGGTGATGATAATGATGACAATGATGATTTTAATAATTGAAAGTCTCCATGTACGTGGATGTTCTGTTCAGCATTGTGGCTTATCCATCAGATCTCCATGAACTCAATTAAAGCAACAGCACCTTCGCAAGACTTTTGCGATTACAAGCAATGCAGATATCGTTCATCGTTTTCATTTTGCGACTGACAGAGAATTTGACGCAGGCTGAATTGTTCGCCATTGAAACCCTTGACTTGTTCCTGTATTGATTTTAGTTTACCTGATCGTCCTTGACGAAGGGGGGTTGGAGAAAAGTGTGTGGAGCATGAGGGAAAATGCTTAATTTGTCAACTTAAGATTCGTTTCTTATAAACGTTTAGACATCGTACTAATTAATACCTCGACGCTTTCAGTAGGACTCAAGAGTTCTGGATCCCGTCTAACCACACCCATCTTTGTTTCCTCGCCTTTGTTATTATTGCAGTAATCCGAAAGGTCAGGTAATGGCCGTTGAACGGACTAACCTGAAAAAGGATACCGAAGAATACCGAACTGTACGTCAACACTTTCACAAAACGATGCCGGAACGCCAGGCCTCTATATTGATGGTGGAAAAAATAACAAATGGTCATTTATCACAGAAATACAAAAGGTAATTGCTGAGGAAGGGCTACTAGGAGTGAAAAATAATATGTACAGCGGAACCTGTTCGTGATTAATTCTGCGTAGTTCAAGGGAGCCTAAGATGTGGGCATTAACCAACTCACAAAGTTAGTCTTAAGGGTTATTTCTGCCGCTTGGATAAAATATAATCAGCGTAGGCCAAAATAATGTTGTTTTTGAACGTAAACTGTCATAAGCTAAGTTTTTTTTTCTTTTCATTTCTTCATCTAGAAAGCGCCAAGAAATGAGAAAGCAAGGTAAACCTATGCGTGAAAAGCGGCTGTTCCATGGTACAACACCAGATGTTGTTGATGCCATCTGCACACGCAACTTTGACCACAGAGTGTGTGGGAAAAACGGGACAAAGTATGGGCAAGGAACCTATTTCGCTGTAGACGCATCTTACAGCAATTACTACAGCAAAACCGAGGTTGAGGAAACGAGATACATGTTTCTGACAAAAGTGTTGACTGGAGAATTTATTCGTGGAAAGCAAGAATTTCGTCGACCACCATTGAAGGATCCGAGTAATCTGGCAGGTGATCTGTACGATTCTTGCGTTGACGACGAAAATTTACCGAAGATCTTTGTAATTTTTGATAACGAACAGTGCTGTCCTTTGTATTTGATTAAATTTAAATTTAAAAACTTGAAATAGTTTTAGGCATCAAAGTCAGACGCATCAAACTACGGTAGACTGAAGTCGGTCACAAGTGCATTAATAAACAAATTATTAAATAGCTACCAGAATTACTGATGGACACGGTAGTTTATATTGCGGGCCATAAAGAGAGAGAAAAAAAGGCAATTTGTAATTGATTATACAATATCATCATGAAAGGTCAAGTATTTGAAAGATTAAAAATAGATATAAAAAAAATAGCTAGTTAGCAAAAGTCAGCGAAAAAGGTATCTTTAATATTTTTGCAACGCGCGGGGAAAATGTTAACGAAAAACTCACCGTTTGCTACTTGAAATGTTTCATTTTTATGTTTCTTATTCAGTAATATCCGCTTTTATCTTGACTTCAATTTTAAACAAACGCTTTCATCGTAGTTAATGTAAGGTTTGAAAATTGGGGAAAATCTTTGGGTGTATATCCTCGGATATTTTACAGTTTCAGATGGAGCATAAGTTTCCCAGTTTTAGATGGGTCACGACCGCTTAATAGAAGTAAAAATTATAGTGATTAAGGCGAAGTAGATTCGGGACCCTGAGAACCGACCGCTTAATACAGGGTGACCGCTTTATATGGTGCCGCTTAATACAGGTTCCTCTGTATTATCAATTTAAATTTTTAAGCAAACTTTTGTTGAAAAGCTGAAATATTTACTCTCCAACAACAAAAATAGGACTGAAATGGAAGTGCTTTTATAGTCATACAACACTGTATTGCAGCTGACGATAAAAAGCTATTGTTTGTTAGTTGTTCTGTGGACTAATTTCAAAATAGGATTTTCGTTATCTTTTGTGTAAGAAGTTTCTGTTGCTTTAGTATAAAAATAAACACGTTAAAAGTAGCGATATTAACCGAAGTTTCGGAGTCTTCGTGACACCATTGTCAAGGTAGATGTTAGGAAAATGAATTCTGCGAGTATTAATTATTATTGTATGATAAAAATGCGAGATTAAATTACAGAAAAACTTAAACACGGATTGAGTCAGATTGCACGTTCAGAGTTGGTTTTAGTTCTCTGATTAATAACATCTCGTGCACTAAGCAATCGAATTTATTTTTGCATTTCTTTAGAACATCGAAGCGCTTCAGTAAGTATGGACAGACGTAAACGACGGTCATCTTCTTTAAATAGTAAATTCTACCAAGACAAACATGCCAAACATGGCAAGGTCCCTAAACACCTTCTAAGGCGCATCGATGTTCTTAAGTAAAGGGGATTTAAACGAATGCCACCTTTGCAAGAAAATTTGAAAACTCACTCGACCAAGAAATCGTCTGTTTTTAAACTGAACACTTTATGGAAATGAGAGCAAGAATTCCGAGAAAACGACAATGTTCTCCTGACATGAGTGGGGTGAGGAAATTAGCTTGTTTACGTTTGACTGGGTAACATAGCGTTGGAAAGCGTATTATAAAATCTAAAAAACATAATCGTGCAGGTATGCTTTTTCCGTGTTGAGAATAGAGCGTGTTCAGTGTGAATTTCACAACAAAAAAGACATCCAAATTCCATTCAGTACATGTAAGAGCACAGAGTTCATTTTTAGTGACATTCACCCCTGGTTATCAACATAAACTGAGGTCCACAATTTGCAACGCTGCCACGAGCATGATTTATCGGTCAGTTCTGCTCTTCCAATTTGATTTTGTTGAGATGAAGCTGTCAAATTAAAGGGGGCTCTAAAAAAACTACCTCCATCACAGAAAACATTGAAAACACTCTCGAAATCATTTGTCGCGTTTTGAAAAATAACACTGAATGGAAATGAGGACCAGGATTCCGAGAAAACGGTAATGTTCTCAATTCTAACATCGATCCGAAGACAAAAGAATTTTATTCCTACAGCGGATGGTCTGTGAAATTAATTACGGTGTAATGAAGTTCAGTGAACTGCTTTTTAGGCAGATTTCCGCTAGACTCATTATTACTTTCAATGTTACATTAGCGAGAGAACAGTGAAAATCTCGAGGGAAAACATCGACCAACTTCCGGTTTCATCACGCTTCCGTGCTCATTTCTCTCTATTACTATTGAAACGTCACTGACACGAAACCGGAATTGTCACGCACGCTTTCATGAAAAATGAATAAATTACCACTTTCGTGATAAACACCTCCCTTTACAACTGTAGAATTGTGAACTTCGTAGATGTTGCAAGACTACAAAGGACCATTCGCAACGGAAAACGAAATATAGAAGATACACGATTCCTATTGCTGACATTGAGCGAAATTCTTCGATACATGATGCGTCTTAAGCACGTCTCGAACACACATCGCGAAGGCGTTGAAGAGACCGCTTATTAAGCAAATTGGATAGTACTTAACGTGGCGACGTTTCCAATAAGATTGTACGGTCCAAAATTTCCTTTGATTCACTATGTACTATCATCCGTAACCAAGCAAAATGATAAACGACAGGATAAAGCTTCTGAGCGGACATTCCTCAGCTGGTTACGCTGTAGTTACAGCGATCAAAACTGTCGCCATATTGTTCGTGATCATCCTGGCAGTTCAAGGCGTATTTCATTTACCATATTATTTTTGCGGATTATGTGGATATTTCGTTGTTGTGAGTTGTGCAAATATTATTTTAATGAAGATTTGGGCTATTTTTAAGTGGGCTCTCTGTTTCATCTGGGACTTATTCCGGGAACCGATCAAAGCCATCCGATCTTGCCTTAAGGTCTACAACATTACGTGACGCGGTTACTATTCTTCATCTTTCTGGAATGGAAGAAGTTTTGGCAACTGTGCTCATTGTGCGGCATAGTGAAAATGACGATGCTTTGGGTTAAATCTATTTCTTGGACTTATTAAAATTCATTGATTTCCGGATACCCAGATTATCTTTCTAGATTGTCGCGTGCACAGCTGTATGTAAATTTCTGAATGGTTTCCTTCCAGCGTCGCGTTAGAGGCACTTCTTGATGCTACTTATTTCAATCATTTTTTGGTCCAGTTTATAGAAGCATTAGCCTCATCGTGGTCCCTATGAAATAACATAACGTATAATTATTGCCGAAACGCATATACAGGGAACAAAAGTTTATTGTGAGGGTTGGTTTTTCATTGTTTACGATGAACAGAGACAGCTTGTAGTCAGCTAATTAAAACCAGGCTCATAACAGTTTATCTTGTAAAGACACTGGAAAATTCATTAACAAATTAGAAATAATACCCAGTTAAAACTAGCTACCTCTAACTTGACTATTTCAGTCGATCTGCATTAAAATCAACTCACATTTTCATTCTGTTTCTTAGGGAACAAACCCACGAGAATTTACAGAAGAAACTTCTGTGCAAGAGCTATCGCAAAAGGAGCAGACATATGGGATCTTTGCGGTGTTAAATTCGCTTGGTCAGCTAAGAAATCTAAAATTTGGAAGGAAAGGGGGTCGTTAAAATCTTCATGCCCACCCTCTGTACATAATTTTTTATTCGCCTAGCCTTACCTCATAGGATTCATTGGACACCTGTCACTAAACCATATCTTCCGCCCCTTACTCCTCAACTTTTCAAAAACCCGACATCATAGCATTCATTTTTTAGTAGAAGAAATAAAAACCAGAGACATCGTTTATTTTTGAGTATAAATAAGCCATCTTTATTACTCTTTTTAAGCTCTGAACTGTGACACTGGTACAAAAAAATTATTACTCATTACATTGCAGTATTCGCTTTCACTGCGGTAGCTCCCTTGGCTGTTGTGTTAACTGTTCTTCTTAGTGTTGCGTGGAATGATGGTGAGTAAAATACTTAAGATATCTGTTGGAAAACATAAGCAGTAGATGTATGAAGGTACCAAAGGCCGCTGTGTAGTTAGTACTGCAGCTCTTTACTAACAAATGTTAAAAACTTTCTGGTGGACATTAAGTCATACATTAAAATTGTTTCGTCAGTGAGAAAACTTTTAACAAAACGGGTCAAGAAAAAAATTGTGTTTCGTAATTATGATTAGAATTTCTCCCCCAGATGTGTGGATGAATATAGATACTAGCTACTGCTTGATTCTGACTGTTTGAGACCAATAAGGTCATGAAAGTTTTAATGAAACTAGTTGTCAGCGAATCATTGTATCATCTCAATTGCCTTTGTTTGTTTGTGCAGCTAGAGTCCAATAGAGACTTTCTGCTCTGTCATGACCGTGTACTCAGAGTTAATTATGATTAAGTTGATAAGTTCGTGAACTTCACAAGGATTTTTTTTTTTTTTTTTTTTTTTTTTTTTTTGAAGAGCCGGCGAAAACAGGAGGAAGTGAAAGTCATAAACGAAGTGCTGCAGGTATAGAAAGTTGAACAAACAAGAATATTTTCAAAAGTATGACAGTGCCTTTTATCGAATTATGGTAAAGATATCTGTGTAAACACGCCTCTTCTCTTGGAAATAAATAGATAATTGAATGCATTTTTCCCCAGCTAGCAGAGGGACGAGTCCACAACAGAGAAAAAATCGACGTCGGAATCACGAGGAAGCAGGTATAATTGTCATGCTTATTTGAGGTAGGCAGATCAGAACTACCACCGATATGCTGATCAAAAGCGATCGATCAAGAAAAAGAAGACCGAGAAGGTCATGACGATTTAAATGGAATAAGTATATTGATAAGTTTATCGGCGAATTATTAAAGCACCTCAATTGTCCTTGTTCGTTTCTGCAGTTAGAGTCTAATGGAGACTTTCTGCTCTCTCTTGATCGTGTGTGCTCGAAGTTAATTATACTAAGTTCGTTAACTGCACAAGGAATTCTTTCTCTTTTTCAGAAGAGCCGGCGAAAAACGAAAAAAATGAAACCTACAAAAGAAGCGCTGCAGGTATAAACAGTTAAGCAAACAAGAATATTTTCAAAAGCACGACAGTGCCTTTTATCGAATTTAAAAAAATGCTGCCGGTATAAACAGTTGAAAGAACAAGAATATTTTCAAAAGCAAAACAGTGTCTTTTATCAAATTATACTAGAGATTTCTGTGTAACCACGCCTCTTCTCTTAGAAATAAATAGACAATTGAATGTATTTTTCCCAAGGTAGTAAAGGGACGAGGTCTTTGTCCGTTTCTGCAGCTAGAGTCCAATGGAGACTTTCTGCTCTATCATTACCGTGTACTCGGAGTTAGTTATAATTATGTTGATAGGTTCGTAAGGTGCACAAGGAATTGTCTCTCTTTTTCAGAAGAGCCGGCAATAAAAGAAGAAAATGAAAGTTACAAACGAAGTGCTGCAGGTATAAACAGTTAAACAGACATGAATATTTTCAAAAGCATGACAGTACCTTTTACCGAATTATAGTAAAGGCTTTTGTGTAACCACGCCTCTTCTCTTGGAAATAAGTAGATAACTAAATATATATTTTTCCCAGATAGTAGAGGAACGAGTCCACAACAGAGAGAACATGGAGGTTGGAGTCACATGAAAGCAGGTATTATTGTTATCTTATCTGAGGTAAGCAGATCAGAACTATCATCGATATGCTGATCAAGAACGCGATCAAAAAGAAAGAAGACCGAGAAGGTCATGACGACTTTAAAGGAATAAGTATATCGATACGTATATCGGCGAATCGTTGCAGCATCCCAATTGCCTTTGTTCGTTTGTGCAGCTAGGGTCCAATGGAGACTTTCTCCTCTGTCATAACCGTGTACTCGGAGTTAATTATGATTAAGTTAATAAGTTCGTGAACTGCACAAAGAATTGTTTCCCTTTTTCAGAAGAGCCGGCGAAAGAAGAAGGAAGTGAAAGTCACAAACAAAACGCTGAAGGTATTAACAGTTGAACAAACAAGAATGTTTTCAAAAGTATAACAGTGCCTTTCATCGAATTATGTTAAAGATTTTGGTGTAACCACGACTCTCCTCTTAGAAATAAATAGACAATTGAATGTACTTTTGCCCAGGTAGTAAACGGACGAGTTCTTTGGTTGTTTGTGCAGCTAGCGTCCGATGGAGACTTTGTGCTCTATCTGATAACCGTGTACTCGGAGTTAATTATGACTAATTTGATAAGTTCGTGAACTTCTCAAGGAATTGCAGCATCTCAATTGTCTTTAAGTTAATAAGTTCGTGAACTGCACAAGGAATTGTTTCCCTTTTTCAGAAGAGCCGACGAAAGAAGAAGAAAGTGAAAGTCACAAACAAAGCACTACAGGTATAAACAGTTGAACAAACAAGAATATTTTCAAAAGCATGACAGTGCCTTTTATCGAATTATAGTAAAGATTTCTATGTAACCACGCCTCTTCTCTTAGAAATAAATAGATAATTGAATGTACTTTTGCCCAGGTAGTAAACGGACGAGGTCTTTGGTTGTTTGTGCAGCTAGAGTCCAGTGGAGACTTTGTACTCTATTATGACCGTGTACTCGGAGTTAATTATAACTAATGTGTTAAGTTCGTGAACTGCACAAGGAATTCTCTCTCTTTTTCAGAAGAGCCGGCGAAAAAAGGAGAAAATGAAAATTACAAGCGAAGCACTACAGGTATAAACAGTTGAAAGAACAAGAATATTTTGAAAAGTATGACAGTGCCTTTTATCGAATTATGGTAAAGATTTATGTCTAACCACGCCTCTTCTCTTAGAAATAAATAGAAAATAGAGTATATTTTTCCCCAGATTGTAAAGGGGCGAGGTCTTTATCCGTTTTTGCAGCTAGAGTCCAATGGAGACTTTCTGCTCTATCGTGACCGTGTACTCGAAGTTAATTATAATTAAGTTGATAAGTTCGTAAACTGCTCAAGGAATTGTTTCTCTTTTTTAGATGAGCTGGCGAAAAACGGAGAAAATGAAAGTTACAAACGAAGTGCTGCAGGTATAAACAGTTAAACAGACATGAATATTTTCAAAAGCACGACTGTACCTTTTACTGAATTATAGTAAAGGTTTTTGTGTAACCACGCCTCTTCTCTTGGAAATAAGTAGATAACTAAAAATATATTTTTCCCAGATAGTAGAGGGACGAGTCCACAACAGAGAGAACATGGAGGTTGGAGTCACATGAAAGCAGGTATTATTGTCATCTTATCCGAGGTAAACAGATCAGAACTATCACCGATATGCTGATCAAGAACGATCGATCAAGAAAAAGAAAACCGAGAAAGTCATGAAGACTTTAATGGAATAAGTATGTCGATAAGTATATCGGCGAATCATTGCAGCATCTCAATTGTCTTTAATTAAGTTAATAAGTTCGTGAACTGCACAAGGAATTATTTCCCTTTTTCAGAAGAGCCGACGAAAGAAGAAGAAAGTGAAAGTCACAAACAAAGCGCTGCAGGTATAAACAGTTGAACAAATAAGAATATTTTCAAAAGCATGACAATGACTTTTATCGAATTATAGTAAAGATTTCTATGTAACCACGCCTCTTCTCTTGGAATATACAGACGATAGAATGTAATTTTCCACAGGCAGAAAAGGGACGAGGTCTTTGTTCGTTTGTGCAGCTGGAGTCCAATGGAGACTTTATGCTCTATCATAACCTTGTACTCGGAGTTAATTATAACTAAGTTGATAAGTTCGTGAACTTCTCAAGGAACTGTTTCTTTTTTTCAGAAGAGCTGGCGATAAAAGGAGAAAATGAAAGTTACAAACGAAGCGCTGCAGGTATTAAACGTTGAACGTACAAGAATATTTTCAAAAGCATGACAGTGCCTTTTATCGAATTATAGTAAAGGTTTTTGTGTGACCACGCCTTTTTCTTGGAAATAAGTTGTTAACTAAATAGATATTTTTCCCCAGTTAGTAGAGGGACTAGTGCACGACAGAGAGGAAATGGAGGTTGGAATAACATGAAAGCAGGTATTACTGTCTTCTTATCTGAGGTAAGCAGATCAGAACTATCACCGATATGCTGATCAAGAACGATAGATCAAGAAGAAGACCGCGAAGGTCATGACGACTTCAATGGAAGAAGTATATCGATAAGTATTTTGGCGAATCATTGTAGCATCTTAATTGTCTTTGTTTGTTTGTGCAGCTAGAGTCCAGCGGAGAATTTCTGCTCTGTCAAGATTTACCACATGGAGCGTTGCAGGTATAAACAGTTGTACAAACAAGAATATTCTCAAAAGTATGACAATGCCTTTTGTCGAATTATGGTAAAGATTTCTGTGTAACCACGCCTCTTCTCTTAGAAATAAATAGATAATTGAATGTATGTTTCCTCAGGTTTTAGAGGGACGAGATCTTTATTCGTTTCTGGAGCTGGAGTCCAATGGAGACTTTCTGCTCTATCATGACCGTGTACTCGAAGTTCATTAAAATTAAGTTTATTAGTTTGTGAACTGCACAAGGAATTGTCTCTCTTTTTTAGATGAGCTGGCGAAAAACGGAGAAAATGAAAGTTACAAACGAAGTGCTGCAGGTATAAACAGTTAAACAGACATGAATATTTTCAAAAGCATGACAGTACCTTTTATCGAATTATAGTAAAGGTTATTGTGTAACCACGCCTTTTCTCTTGGAAATAAGTAAATAACTAAATATATATTTTTCCCCAGTTAGTAGAGGGACGAGTCCACAACGCAGAGAAAATGGAGGTTGGAATAACATGAAAGCAGGTATTATTGTCATGCTTATCTGAGTTAAGCAGATCAGAACTATCAACGATATGCTGATCAAGAACGATCGATCAAGAAAAAGAAGACCAAGAAGGTCATGACGACTTTTAAGGAATAAGTATATCGATACGTATATCGGCGAATCGCTGCAGCATCTAAATTGTCTTTAAGTTAATAAGTTCGTGAACTGCACAAGGAATTGTTTCTCTTTTTCAGAAGAGCCGACGAAAGAAGAAGAAAGTGAAAGTCACAAACAAATCGCTGCAGGTATAAACAGTTGAACAAACAAGAATACTTTCAAAAGCATGACAGTGACTTTTATCGAATTATAGTAAAGATTTCTATGTAACCACGCCTCTTCTCTTGGAATAAATAGACGATTGAATGTAATTTTCCACAGGTAGTAAAGGGACGAGATCTTTGTTCGTTTGTGCAGCTAGAGTCCAATGGAGACTTTATGCTCTATCATAACCTTGTACTCGGAGTTAATTATAACTAAGTTGATAAGTTCGTGAACTTCTCAAGGAACTGTTTCTTTTTTTCAGAAGAGCTGGCGATAAAAGGAGAAAATGAAAGTTACAAACGAAGCGCTGCAGGTATTAACCGTTGAACGTACAAGAATATTTTCAAAAGCATGACAGTGCCTTTTATCGAATTATAGTAAAGGTTTTTGTGTGACCACGCCTCTTCTCTTGGAAATAAGTTTTTTACTAAATATATATTTTTCCCCAGTTAGTAGAGGGACGAGTCCACAACAGAGAGAAAATGGAGGTTGGAATAACATGAAAGCAGGTATTATTGTCTTCTTATCTGAGGTAAGCAGATCAGAACTATCACCGATATGCTGATCATGACGACTTTAATGGAATAAGTGTATCGATAAGTATATCGGCGAATTATTGAAGCACCTCAATTGTCCTTGATCGTTTGTGCAGCTAGAGTCCAATGGAGACTTTCTGCTCTGTCATGACCGTGTACTCGGAGTTAATTATGACTAAGTTGATAAGTTCGTGAACTGCACAAGGAATTGTTTCCCTTTTTTCAGAAGAGCCGGCGAAAGATGGAGGAATTGAAAGTTATAAACGAAGTGCGGCATGTATAAACAGTTGAACAAACAAGAATATTTTCATAAGCATGACAGTGCCTAATATCGATTTATGGTAAAGATTTCTATGTAACCACGCCTCTTCTCTTGGAATAAATAGACGCTAGAATGTAATTTTCCACAGGCAGTAAAGGGACGAGGTCTTTGTTCGTTTGTGCAGCTAGAGACCCATGGAGACTTTCTGCTCTGTCATGACTGTGCACTCGGAGTTAATTAGGATTAAGTTAATAAGTTCGTGAACTGCACAAGGGATCTTTTCTCTTTTTCAGAAGAGCCAACGATAGAAGAAGGAAGTGAAAGTCACAAACAAAGCGCTGAAGGTATAAACAGTTAAACAGACATGAATATTTTCAAAAGCATGACAATACCTTTTATCGAATTGTAGTAAAGGATTTGTTTGTTACCACGCCTTTTCTCTTGGAAATAAGTAGATTAACTAGATATATATTTTCCCAGATAGTAGAGAGACAAGTCCGCAACGAAGAGAAAATGAATGTTTCAATTACATGGAACCAGGTATTGAAGTCATACCTATCTAAGGTGAGCAGATTAGAACTATCACCGATATGCTGATCAAGAACGATAGATCAAGAAGAAGACCGAGAAGGTCATGACGACTTCAATAGAAGAAGTATATCGATAAGTATTTCGGCGAATCATTGTAGCATCTTAATTGTCTTTGTTTGTTTGTGCAGCTAGAGTCCAGCGGAGAATTTCTGCTCTGTCAAGATTTCACATATGGAGTGCTGCAGGTATAAACAGTTGAACAAACAAGAATATTTTCAAAAGCATGACTGTGACCTTTATCGAATTATAGTAAAGATTTCTATGTAACCACGCCTCTTCTCTTGGAATAAACAGACGATTGAATGTAATTTTCCACAGGTAGTAAAGGGACGAGGTCTTTGTTCGTTTGTGCAGCTAGAGTCCAATGGAGACTTTATGCTTTATTATGACTGTGTACTCGGAGTAAATTATGATTAAGTTTATTAGTTCGTGAACTGCACAAGGAATTGTCTCTCTTTTTCAGAAGAGCTGGCGATAAAAGGAGAAAATGAAAGTTACAAGCGAAGCGCTGCAGGTATAAACAGTCGAACGTACAAGAATATTTTCAAAAGCATGACAGTGTCTTTTATTGAATTATAATAAAGGTTTTTGTGTAACCACGCCTCTTCTCTTGGAAATGAATTGACAATTGAATGTATTTTTCCCCAGGTAATCAAGGGACGAGATCGCGACAGAGAGAAAAAGGACGTCGGAAGTACAAGGAAGCAGGTATTGTTGTTATGCTTATCTGAAGCAAGTAGATTTGAACCATCAGTGATATGCTGATCAACAACGATCGATCACGAACTACCTTGATACATAGCACACTTGTGGCAACTTCGTGCCTAGATCCTTACAAAAGCGCTTCGGTTCTTTATGTAAACCTCCAGGCTGACCGTAAAGGTCAACATGCAGAGAACTGGTCCCACAGGTTAGAGTTCTTCTCAGAGAGGACTAAAATGTCCAACCATACACAGTTTCCACTCAAAGGCAGCACACTCTCCTCAATTATATGATGACGCTGAGTGTTGGTCTGACTAGGGCTCGTATCCTTGACGACCTTCATAGTAGTCTGACGCCCTATCATTTGATTTAACTAGGTGGAAATTAACAGTAGGGTTAGGGTTAACACAGTTACAATAGGAACTGAATTTATGTACCCTTCCTTGGTAAAGAACTGACCTTTGTGCTACGCGTAGAGGACTTGAGCATTATACTTGACTCAAACATGTCATTTAATGATCATATATTTTCACTTAGCACCTCTTTGTTATCAGTACTATGTCAAATTAAAAGAGTGCGACATCTTTTCTCTAGAGAGGTACTACACACAATTTTATACTCATTAGTATTAAGCAAACTGTTTTACTGTTCCACTGTCTGGGCCGGAACATCAAAGATCAATCTTCACAAGCTGCAGCTGATTTAAAACTTTGCAGCACGCACTTTGACAAAACTAGAAAGTTTTACCACAAAACGCCAGTCCTCAAAGAACTCGGCTGGCTCACTATTGAAAAGTTGATAAACCTACGGAATGTCACAATATATGATATACAAATTTTTTAACGGGCTAGCCCCAACATATTTGAGCTCCAAGCTAGTTAAAAACTCGGACATTCAAAAGCACCAAACTAAATCGAAAGACCAGCTTAGAGTGCCGAGGTGTAGGATAGCTACCACTCAGCACGCATTTTTGTGTGGCTTACACGAACTGTAAACCACGCAATGTCGTGATCCAAGATATTTATTCCTGGATTTGTCACGGTGAACGGAGTGCTTGTCATGTGGTTTACTATCGTCGAGGATAGGTTACAGTCTACGCTCGGTTAAGTTACGTAAGCTTCAAAGCTTCAGAAAGCGGCCATTTCATATTAATGGGTGTGCCTTGAATCTGATCAGCAGACCTGCTTGAGAATATCGGAGAATATCGGAGAATATCTGAATGTGTCTGAGAGTATTTGAAAGCCTCTGAAATTACTTTAAAGCAAAAGAGATCCTCCTGCAGTACTTGGGTTTTCCTTGCTGTTGTTGCTGTTGAATCGAATTAGACGAACCATGCAAAAACAGTTGACAAGAGTCTGTTAGCCCAAGATTTCGTCAGATGTAAGTAATGTGGGAATATTTGTTGAACAATACCGATCAAAAATCGACTCTCGTGACAAATTCCTTAAAAAAAAAGATGCTTTGTCGCGTATCGTTTTAGGAATATAATGCTAATGATCTTTTACTTGAATGTCTTTCAATTACCAACATTGATACAAGTTGTTGGACAGTACAAAATGTGGAATAAAGTAGTGTTTTGGTTTGCCTAACATGAAAACCTTGGTGCTAAATATCTATTGTGAATGATCCCAAACTTTGGGGAAGTAATTCATTGAAACTGAGTAACAAAGAGGTTTCGCTTTTATCAAAATAAGAATAGGAGCCTAGTAGTTTAATGTTACTAATGAAATGTGATTAGTATTATGTTTTCCAAGTAAAGCCCAGAATTATTCAGACCTTAACATTTCATGACTTCTTGTAAGCTTGGCAGTTCTTCTTCAAGAGATTCTCTTCATAATAATTCGGATAAGCATCGTTATTTTTTTTTCAGTGGGCACGGTGATAAATCCTGCAATCTGATTGGTTCTTTACGCCGTCCGTATGATCCTATCTCTGCCTATGGGAAACGGTAACGCTTTCGTGAGTTGCCGAGTACATCCCTACATCGTCGCCATTTTTCATGAATATGTCTCGTTTTTCTGGCTGGGCAGTATTTTAAAGCAAAGACATCGGTCACTTCCTCAAACAAATAAATAACTAACAATCCTCTCTTTTTCTCTCTCAAATCACTTTAGTTCAAAATGAATTTGTATGAGCAACAGTGTCATTACGTTGGTTGACAAGCGGCCTAAAAATCATCTGCAATTTTAATCGTTCATAGAAAGAGCCTAGAAAGTTAAATCGTGAGTTATTTGGTTACACCTGAACTAATCGATGGAACTTCCTTTCATTTAATATATCTGAATTTTCTCAAACAATTTATTCGTTGTGAAAGGGCGAGCGAAGTCTTAATTTCAGTTTTACAACAAATATACGCTCTCGGTGAGTCTTTCCAAGTCCATTCAACTTGAACATTCGTTCCGTAAATTGCACAACAGAAACTGAAGGAATTCTATGAGAAAAGGCCGCATTAAATCCCATTGTGTCTCGTTAGAGTGTATCATTCGAATTTAGTTTTTTTGGAGGAAAGACCAGATTTAGACACGCCATTGCAGCAAACAAACAAGCAAACCCTCACAATTACTTTCCTCACCGTTTACTTAATGAACAGAGGTAAATCTTCGTACATGAATTAATCGTCGATGAGAGTGAATAATACTTTCCGTAAGATCATTGACTGTTTTTGAAGAAAACATTGTCGTGACAGTCTTTGCCAAACTAGTTTCGATGTTTTTCAAAATTGTACATGCGCCTTTTTTTTCTTCTCACGCGCTCTCTGATTGACAGGTGTCAGATTGTGACAGATACTTGCAAAAATAATGTTTCAAAGTTTGTTTGGAAGCCTTTTAAATCACCTTTATCATTACGCAAATGAAAATCACCTCTATTTTATCTACCATTTACTCGCTCAAAAATTGTTCACTTTATGGGAGATCTTGCCGTATTTACAGCCCTCAATCATTCGGGTTCTTTCGAAAAGAATTTCGTTAAGTTTAAAAAAATATATATGTTATTTACCGGCTAAGGTGCGGTCCGTATTATGAAAAACTGTGACCTCGGTCTTGAAAATTTTCAAGACCTCGGTCACAGTTTTTCACCATTTCAGTCCTTGAATAATTTTTGAATCATTGAATATAGTTTTACCAGCTCTGAATTACGATTCTCTCTTCGTTAATTTCATTCAGGTAGTGTTGGCTAACTAAGTACAGATATACAAGCCTTAGAATCTTATTATTTGGCGGTTGTCTTTAAGTAAATCAGTTTATAAACCAATGGTTCCTATACCTGGTACTTTACTGGAACTTTGATCTGCGAAATCATATTTAAAGGTGATAGAAAAACCAGAACACAAGAAGACGAGGAGAGAGCCAGGAAAAGAAGAGGAGAAGGTAAAGTACACTGCAAGAAATGGGCCAAAGTGTTACACTTAATTCAACTGAACTGTGGTGGATTACGGTAATAGTTCCTGCATCTAAACCGATACGATTGCTTAATTTGATGTTCCCTCTTAAGCTTAAGCATCGATTCAAATGAAGTCACAAATAGGAATCACAGTTCCTGTTCTTTAATTTTAAATCCCTTAAGATAAAGTAGCATTTTCATATTACCCTTCACAAACCGCAGCTTCATCCCTTGTCGGCGATAGTGAGTCTACACCATACCTCTGGCAGTTCAAAGAAGCAGATTCCTATACTTGGAAAAATTTCGGCCGCTCTGACAATGTTGTTCTGGAAGAGCTTTACTGTGACGTAAACAATGTGGAGGTTGAAATCGAACTTGAAGACACCACAATAAGGTTAGTACGTGTTTATTCTTAAACAATAAGGGAAACGTATATATTTGCTCACAAAAGGTACAATTTTTTATACCTTTAACCAGAAACTTTGGTAACCTTATAATTACCGTGAACATCCCACTTGAAAATGATGTCTATGGAGACCACAGATCACCAAAATGTTCGGCCGTTTAACTTTTTTCTTGAGGTTATAAGGCGGGTTCGTTTAGAGAAGAATACTGCTCCACAGAAGCCAGTCAATTTCTCGGCAAAACTCTATATCTGTAAAATACTTCAGTAACTTCGTACGTTTTATAGCATCTGCTATCTCGTGCGACACTTTAGCATGTGTTAAGGCTTCAGTTAGTTATTATCATTCTGCTGCGTGATTGTATTAGCGACGCAGAATGAGACTAGGAGAAACGGAAGAAGATTGGAAATAGTTGTAGTGAAGTACCGCAGCCTGCGAGCGGGCTCTCACTGGTGCGGCAAAGGAGTAAAGGAGGGAAACGAGAGGTCTGAGAGGGGTCTGGCACTAACGTTTGTGCTAGAAACAAGGCGGATCTCCCGCAAGCTCACATTGCTTATCCGCTCAAACACGCGGGCTTCACCGCTTGTGACGCAGCGCCAATTTGAGCCTGCAAGTAGACCGGTAGCGCTGCAGCTCACTAACAAAACGTCTGGAATAGGCTTAGGTAGTGTCGCTCTTTTTTTTTTTCTTTTCAGACATACAAGAAAGCTATCAGGAAAGATGTCAGCCAATTTTCATACAATGTCCATGAGCTTGATTTCCTCCTTTAACCAGTTTTTGATCCGTCGATGCTCAACACCGTCTTACATCAAAGAACGCGACAACAAGTTTCCCACACTGTGGATTTGGTATTGGGAAGACATCGATGGATGGGAAAAATATACAGAAACAAAGGTAAGTAGCGGTAGCTACTACGCAAAAATACGATCACACAATGGCCCGGGTATGCCAGATGTCTGAGAATGTGAGAGGTCCTATCACTGACCAGGTGCTCACGCAGATGTGTGGATAAATGCCGAGAGGTTTCGCCAATAGGACCTCTAACATTTTCAGACATTTACATAATTCTCCACAATGTCGCACTCTATGTTCTGATGAGTGTTTTAGCATCTTAGATCACGCATCCACAACTTTCCAACGTAAAATTAAAGCTATCCACATATAATGGGAGAAACCTACACTTAATCATCAACTTTATCATGTTAATTAAAAACTTTCCTTGTAATGCATACATTGTTCTGTTACATTGGTCGCTATGTCCAATCAGCATTTTGTTATACACTTTATATTCAGATTTGTACTTTGTACTTTAATTTTACTTTGCACTTCACATGACAGCTTAGATGAAAATAAAAAGAGAAGAGAAATCCTGGGGCTGAGGTTTCATGGTTATGGATGGTCCAAACTTAAAATTCTTAAAACTTCTGTTTTAGCTTTGTTCTGGAACAAAACAAGAGCAAATTGAAGCATCGTATCTAAATGGAGACCCAGCTTACTACTTTCAAATCGGTGGGAACGATTACGTCATACATTTTGAGGGTACACTTATGAACCAAAGGAGTGCTGATCCAAAAGTCCAAGCGGTTCGGCTCGTCAGAAGAAGACCAATATTTGCTTCGACGTCAGCACTGCAGACCACAGTGACGTGAGTGAACACGGACTGTGCTTTAATTAGGAGGAGTTACCGATTTTTTTGATAAGTCACTAAAAGAGAGATTAGTCCTTTTGTAGGCTGTCCCGGGACGAAACTTGGCTTTCAATCGATGAAAAACCGAAACATAATAATAGTGAAGATAATGATGATTTTAATAATTGACAGTCTCCATGTAAGTGGATGGTCTGTTCAGCATTGTTGCTTATCCATCTCCATGAACTCAATTAAAGCAACTGCACCTTCGCAAGACTTTTGCGGTTACAAGCAATGCAGATATCGTTCATCGTTTTCATTTTGCGACTGACTTAGAATTTGACGCAGGCTGAATTGTTCGCCATTGAAATCCTTCACTTGTTCCTGTATTGATTTTAGTTTATATAATCGTCCTTGACGAAGGGGGTACGGGAAAAGTGTGTGGGGCATGGAAAATGCTTAATTTGTCAACTTAAGATTCGTTTCTGATAAACGTTTAGACATCGTACTAAGTATTACCTTGAATACTTTCAGTAGGACTCAAGAGCTCAGGATCCCGTCTAACCACACCCATCCTTGTTTCCTCGCCTTTGTTATTATTGCAGCAGTCCGAAAGGTCAGGTAATAGCCGTTGAAAGGACTAACCTGAAAAAGGACACCAAAGAATACCGAACTGTGAGTGAGCGCTTTCACGAAACAATGCCGGAACACCGCGTCTCTATATTGATGGTGGAAAAAATAACAAATGGTCATTTATTGCAGAAATACAAAAGGTAATTGCTGAGGAAGGGCTAATAGGAGGGGAAAATAATATGTACACCGGAACCTGTTCGTGATTAATTCTGCGTAGTTCAAGGGAGCCTAAGATGTGGGTATTAACTAACTCACAAAGTTAGTCTTAAGGGTTATTTCCGCCGCTTGGGTAAAATATAATACATGCGGACCAAAATAATGTTGTTTTCGAACGTAGACTGTCAATAGCTAAGCTTTTTTACCTTTCACCTGTTTATCTAGAAAGGGCCAAGAAATGAGAGAGCAACTTAAACCTATACGTGAAAAGTTACTGTTCCATGGTACTACATCAAATGTTGTTGATGCCATCTGCACACGCAACTTTGACCACAGAATGTGTGGGAAGAACGCGACAAAATATGGGCAAGGAATTTATTTCGCTGTAGACGCATCTTACAGCAATAACTTCAGCAAAGCTAAGGGTGACAGAACGAGATACATGTTTCTGGCAAAAGTGTTGACTGGAGAATTTAAGCGTGGAGAGCAAAATTTTCGTCGACCGCCATTGAAGGATCCAAGCAATCTGGCAGGTGATTTGTACGATTCTTGCGTTGACGACGAAAATCAATCAAAGATCTTTGTCATTTTTGATAACGAACAATGCTATCCTTCGTATTTGATTAAATATTACTTGAAATAGTTTTAGGCATCAAAGTCAGATGCATCAAACTACGGTAGAAAGACGGTCACAAGCGCATTAATAAATAAATACTTAAACAGTTACCACATATTACCGGTGGACTCAGTAGTTTACATTGTGGGCCAGAAAGAGAGAAAAAAAGGCAATTTATAATTGATTATGCTATATAAAAAAATATCATGAGAAGTCGAGTATTTCAAAAGTTAAAAATGGTGAAAAACAGCTAGTTAGCAAACATTCACTTAAAAAGGTATTTTGATAATCTGATCAGTTCCAGGGAGACCTGGACAACGGTGAGCTTTGAGGAACAGATAATATGTCCAAAGACAAGTGAACGAGCACATTTTAGGGGCCAAATGGCGGTTATTGCATGCAATATCCTTTAATATTTTTCCAACACGCGGGGAAAATGTTAACGAACAACTCGCTGTTTGCCGCTTGAAATGTTTCATTTTTATGTTTCATCTTCAATATTAGCCGCTTTCATCCTAAATTCAATTTTAAACGAAAGCTTTCATCGTAGTTAATGTAAGGTTTCAGAATTGGGGAAAATCACTAAGGGTATATCCTCGGATATTTTACAGCTTTAGATGGGACATTTAGTCTCCCAGTTTTAGATGGGCCACTACTGCTTTATAGAGGTGAACATTACAGTGCCGTTGATTAATGCGAGGCAGATTCGGGACCCTGAAAACCGACCGCTTAAAAAAGGATGACCGCTTTATAAGGTGCCGTTTAATACAGGGTTCCACTATATTATCAAATTACATTTTAAAGTGAATCTCTGTTGTTGATTGTAATTTATCAGTATCAGTATTGCAGCACTTTAAAGTTGCATGTTCTGCCGAAAGGAGGTCATAAGTTATGGTCTTAACTTTCCCACGAGAGTCAATGATGTAATATGACCCTAATACGTAATAACGTCTGGGGTTTCGTTTTGTTCTAATTTTACTGCAGTTTTATAGGCTTTCAGTTTTCTTTTCTTCAGTGGACCCCCCTGAAAACTACTTAGAGTGATAGAGGTCTCTCAAAATATGTAATTTATTATCAAGATTATTTTTTCCATTGTATAGTAGCAATTAGTGGTGCGTTGGTCCTCCATGCCCAGATGTCTAGGCATGAAGGTGTGTTAATGATTTTACGATAATTTGTATTTTAACTTTTACAAAGTTTCCGATGGCTTGTGCGCTGGAATCCAGATCGACTCAGCAGTTAGCAGTCAGAGGTCTCTTTCTTCTTGGATCAATCGAACCCAATGCGTCTTTAATTTCACCTGGTTCTGTCTCTCTTGGGTAGTCAATCCTATTTGGGTTGTAGTTATCTGAAGGCAGAACCTTTCCTTTTTTTTCACTTGGTTCTGTCTCTCCTGGGTAGTCAGTCCTGTTTGGGCTGTTGTTATCTGAAGGCAGAACCTTTCCTTTTTTTCACCTGGTTCTGTCTCTCTTGGGTAGTCAGTCCTATTTGGGCTGTTGTTATCTGAAGGCAAAACCTTTCCTTTTTTTATTTGTTTCTGTCTCTCATGGGGAGTTGCTTCATTTTAGACTGTTTGTTTTCATCTTATGACAAACTAATTTTGAGTATGAATCGCGACATAATTAAATTTACTTGTCTTGATTTTTTTCCTTTGCAAATTTAGTTGAACGTTAACTATGAAAAATCATGATGAAAAAGCAATGTTTGTTTCAATTAAAAAAAATGCATACTTCTCCTGTTGAGATGACTAACCAACCTTAACTTAATTACATATAGTAAATGTACATTCCGTTGACTGGTAATTTTTCCGTCGATGCTGTGTCTGCCTTAGTGGTGTCTACCCTCAAATCCCGTGATGTTTCAATTAAAAATAAATAACGAATTTAGGAATAAAATTACCAACGAGTAATAACTATTCTTGTAATGTATTAAATTGCATTTACATTTCCAACTCTACACTCAACTTGCTTAAAAATCAACTTCAGACACGATATGTAAAATCGGTCATAGATTGTAAAAGAGATTTGGGGGTAAAGTACTTTTTCTACTTGTCTTTGTTTATTTTCGCGCAGCCTAATATATGAAGTTAGCTGTGTTCGCAGCGGCGCGCCAGGAAACCCCGGCAGGAAAAAAGATTTAAGATTTTACTCCTTTAATGATCTCCTTAAAGTACATTACTTCCTTAGCATTAGCCTTTGTAAACAAAATTTTGATCATTGAGTTATATGATGAAATTTCTATGGCTTACATTATACGCTTTAAAGGAAACTTGTGTTGTTAGTTCCACGCGAGGGTTTAACCTTGAAAAATGCAAGCACGCGAGTGTAGCTGACGTTAACGCGTGTCCCTATCAGGAAATATTCGTATTATGACATGAAGGGTCTGCTTTAAGGGTTTGTGTTACTCTCGCCATTCAATTTGGACGCTGAAAAGTGCCAAAAAAGTAATTACTGAAAATTCATCCGCAAAACCTCGATCGTTCTGTGGGCGCGAACTCAGTTCTTCACTTACAGTTAATAATTGCCAGATCCGCCTCAACCTTATTTGCATTAATTCTTTTAGTGAGCAAAGCTCGTCTTGATAGCGCCAGCTAGCGTTACAAAGTATTTATTTTTTAAGGGGACTAAAGTTTCATTTTAAAAACACGCTAGATCATCGATTTCTGTAAAATTTTTCGAATGTGGGTATCTAGAGAGAGGAATTTTTGTGGAGCAACTGTTTGGAATTTAAATTTAAAGCATATTGTTCGGGATTTGTTGTGTTTAGGACTAAGAAGGTATGACATTCATGTGACTCTAAGGGAGAAAGTCTACCTTAGTTCTTAGGTCATCATTTGCATTTTGCCCTTTGAAACTATTGGAAATTTAATTCGCGAATGGTAAATAGAGTCAGAAAACTGTTCTTTTGAATAAAGAAATAGCGGATTTACGATGACTTCTGAAGGTAGGTTGGCGAGGATGAAAGACACTATCGGGGATGTATGGAATTCTTCCTGTGGAAATGTTTACCAAACCGTCCAACCGACTTGGGATGCGTTTCGTGAATATGCCTCAGCCACTACAGAGCAGATTAAGATGCATCTTTATTCATTACATGCCGCCTGTGTTGAACAAAAGCAGTTCATTCAAGACAAACTAGATACCCTGAATGGCCGTTCTTCCGCTGGCCGAGCGTTTGTGAGAGCAATACACGTGGTGGCCATGTTTTTTCTGATCTCTGTCGCAATTGAATGCGCTTATTACTCCAGGCCAATTTATTGGAAGATTGTTGGATTCTCTGTTCATCTTCTGTACCTGGTTTTCATTTTCATCTTCCAATTTACGTGGATGGTCTTGATGACTATCGGTGTTGTGGCAACAATGAATTTCGTCTTTGGTGGGTTCATCGCCCTAGCGTTACGCAGTTGGTTTATGGAAGGTGTAAATCTCAACTGAAATACATGGCGACCAAATGGCACGCGACTGACAATTGTTGATATTAGAGTTTTGCAATCGATGGAAATTGAGAAAAACGGCATAAGATCGCTCTCAAGACAACAGAAATATATTAGTAATAATAATGATGATAATAATAATAGTAACAATAATAGTAATAAGAGTAGCAATGGTAAAAAAAAAAAACACTGAAAACTTTGATCAAAGGTTTATGACTCTAGCGTGACTAATTAGCGATAAATAAAAACATACAGACGTTTTGGTCACAAGCTGTCATCTTCGTAGAACTCTGCTCAGTCAAATTTTACTGTAATTTAGTTTCTTTTTATAGCAAGCTGTCAAAAAAGAAATAAAGACAAAACTTTGGGCAAATGAAAAACTATCCTCGCAAAAAAACAAAAAGAAGAAAAGCCAGCACACAACTCAGAAAATTTGAAGGGCTAAAAAGCGAGTCGGTGGCGTCATGTTTTGCGCGAATTTACTTTCTAAATGTTGTTGGTCGATAAGAGAGCAGAGTAAAGTAAAAACGAAAGTGTACGCCGGGTTAATTTGAACGAGAGCTACTTTCTTCACAGGCATATAACCACCACACCGATCCCAACAGCCAAATGTCCCTACGCAAATAAACGTAACGTGACTCAGATGTGGAGGTGACTGTTTGTTCATTCGTTTACCCTTTTGTTTATCTTTTTGCTTGTTTTTCTTCTTTTTTTTTTTTTTACGTATCATGGTTAAACTTATCATATTATTCACACTTAACTCGAAGAATCGCAAGATTGAACACCTAATTGTCTTTCGCTTAAGTTTGACTCGCATTAATCTCGTGACTACCTGCCCGCACTTCACGTACGTTTCACATGCATCTCTTGCCGTTTTTATGAATATTTCCAAGGCCAACTAGCCTATTCGCATTTTATTTTTGGATTGATAACTTTTTGGTTCTTGGAAGTTAGACTTGAAGAAATCAGGTATATCTCGAAGAATCGTTTCCCCTTTTCCTGAGGCCAATACCAAACATTTATCCTTTGAACAGCAGAAATAGGAAACCTGCTGCGCGCGCGAAATCATCTTTCGTGTGTTTCAAGCGATTAGATTTTTATTCATTCACGCTTGAATTATGATCTAAAAAAATTCAAAAATTGAAACGAATAATCGGCAAAAAAAGACAATTGTCGAGCAAGTATGGCATCCACCCAAATTAGTTGGTTTTGTTTTAAGGTGTAACAAAATCATAATTTTTGCCACAAAAAGTCTACAGATTTCAGCAAAATTATACATATTCTGAGTGGAAAAGGAAATAGAAGATTCTCTAGCAGTTTTTTTTCATCCTAAAGCAAACTTTCATTGTTAATTTACAACGGTCTCCCGCTAAAAATTCATTTCTACCTTATTCAATGGATTTAACGCCATAACCAGGACTGGCCGAGGCCTCTCATTGAATTCTGTGCCTCTTGGCCGTGCGGCAATAATTCCGTGATGGCTTCCTTCTAGTATCAAATTTCTTCAAATCATTTTTAACAAAGTTGTAACATCTTACTTTTTCTTGCTGAGACGGAATCGAAATTCTCTTGCAGGTTATGTGTCCACAAACTGGGCATGACCGGTAAGGATTACTGCGGTGTGCCGTACTTGTTCCTCTGCTTAATTAATCTTCCAATTAACATCGCATTCCTGCGATTGGGTGCAGCGTTTATTCGTAGACGGCGTTGGGTCTTGATAGACTTCCCATCTGCTGGGCTGTATCGAGTAACTACAGTAACCAAGACTGTTTGCCGGTAGAAAACAAACCTGACTACGCAGTGATAAAATCAGGCAAAAGATTTTAGAGCTAGGCGGTAGAATGAAATTGTTTTACCCTATTTTTTTTTTTTTTTTTTTTTTTTGTAGACATTTGTATTGTCAGTAATTTGCGAAAACCTGAAAATAAAGGAGTTCTCGCCTAAAAAGGTTTAGAGAATGCACTTTTACGTCACATGATCATGCAGTCCTTTTTCTTTTTCAAATCTCCGGACAATCGGCTCGAGGAAGATGCTTTGTCGACGTTATTTGTGTTTGTCCGGCTTCTTATGGTTGATGAGCTGCTACTTGCACCTGTTTCGTGTACATTACAGGATGTGATGGGTAGTTTCTTTGGAATCCCCTGGTGGTTTGTTTGAGCAGTTGTAGGCCTGGACACAAGGTTTGTTCCCGGTTTTGTTTGGGACACAGTTCGCTTGTTATCACTCACGGGAGATCCACTCGACCGAGATGTAGAACCAAGCCCACTGAAACTGGTGGGTTGCTGCTTCAAATTTCCTCTAGGATACGTTTGAGAGGTTAGAGATGCTGACATTGTAGTTGTTGGTTGTTGCAGCGAGGTAGCTTGGGAAACTGTAGATCCATTGGCGTTGAGAGCTGCACCAACACGGCTTGAGAGGGTAGTTGCGTTGGTGCTAGCAATACCAGATCTTGATACAGCTGGAGCTAAGTAGCCGGCAGGAAGGCTCGGTTTAGAGACTGTGCTGAGGCTATCAAGAGAAGTGTGAGAACTCGCACGTTTCGGCTGGAGTCCTGCTGCCGTATTTCGAGTGGGTGCCTTTGGCTTAGCAGATACAGAGGGAGCTAAATAGCTGCTTTTGTTGCCGGCAAGTAGGCGCGGTTTAGATACTGTGCTGAGGCTCTTAAGAGAAGTGTGAGCACTTACAGGTTTCGGCTGGGGCTTTGCTATCGTATTTTTTGTGGGTGCCTTCGGCTGAGCAGATGAATATTGGATTATGTATTCTGGGTAGAACTGATCGGTGTCAAAGACCACAAAGATTGTGGAATTAGACTTGTTATCTACACAAGAGTCGTAAAAATCGCTGGCGGGATCTCATGGTTGCTTCGGCGGTGGTCTTGGATAATTGGAGTGACCTTCTGTAAATGAACCAACGAGAACTTTGCTCAAGAACATGAATTGAAACATATTGTCATCTATCTTTGCGTAAGAATGGCTGTATGATGCATTCACTGCAAAATAGCTTCCTTCACCATACTTAGATGCGTTTCTTCCGTGCAGACGCCAATCAAAGTTTTCTTTGCAGATGGCCTCCACCGAGTCTGGAGTGGTTCTTTGAAACAAGTTCATCTCATTGACAGCCTGTTGATTGCTCCTGGCTATTAGCCTCATGCTCTGCTTCTTCCTAACAAGAGGAAACAGAAAGACTTATTGTAGGTAACAAAAGATAATGGCTATTGCTGATCATTCATTTGCCCCTAAATTCCAATCTTAAAGTGTCCCTAGTCTTACCCACAAGAGACCTTCAAGTATTTAAGGAACTTTATTTGGTGCAAAATGCATAATTATCAATAGACATATTAAGAATGTCATCTCAAGTGTGCCAAGTGTGCACGTTTCATTCAATTTCCCTACGTTTAAATATATGAATTTATTATATGGATGGGATTGTATTACCGGAAACTCAAATACTGGTAGAATCAATGTGGCTACCACATCCGGGAGTGGCGTATTTTCCGTATGTAACACGAGTGGTCATATTGAAAAACGACGCTTCGATCCCCGCCTGATCTAAAGATTTTAAAGGAATTTCTCGAAAATTGCGAGGAGACAAAAATAAATGTTGATAAAACTCTGTCGATCTAAATATTTTCAAGAAATTCTCGAAACTTACGACGAGAAAAAGATAAATGTTCGTGCTTAACAGCCTTGAAAGGTTCGTACTGAAAAGAGCCTGAAAATAAAAGTATCTGATGATTCATGTCAAAGTCAGGAATCGAATTTTTATGAAGCTTATTAAAAACCAGTTCACATCATTTTGATCCAAATGACGGTGTTATATAAGAACCTTTTTATAATTTGGGCAAGGGGTAGTTTGCTACCATTTATACTCAGTAATTGTATTAAAGAAAGCTTTTCAATCTTTGTCATGTATATTTACTGTCCTTAAAATAAAAAGAGAATCACAGGTCAGCTCAAAGATATGAGTTTTATATTCTAAAATTGATATCGTCTCTACACCGTGTTATATCCTCTATATCTAAATTTCTATTAATACTTTGTGCAAGTTTATGGCTGTATAACTTTCTGCTCTCATTTTATACATTTCCATACATTTTCTTCCAAGTTCTGTTTTCCTTCTCACCTGCAATACTTCTCCCACATGAAAGGGTTCTGTACACGCTCGATCCTTTCAATTGAAATGTGGTCGTTCATCGACTTTCGGAACAATTGTTCCACTTCTTTATATTCCTTTGATGATGTCGTTAACATGACGCGAATATACTGTCCATCGGGCGGCAAGGAAGACCAGTGGTTTGGAACGTTATACATAGCCGTTCTGTTTTCTATCTTTCTCCTCCTGGAGGAATCCCCGTGCGCCCTACAGAAATGGAAAAAGATGAAAAAACTTGTAACTGAGAATGTCATGAAACAAGGTGATCCCCATTTCTTTCCCTCCCTTTCCCGCTTCATGAATGCTTTTTGAAAATCAAGAACCCCTGTAACAGTCTTTGATAACTGGTCACAGTATTTATATTTCGTGGTGTGTTTAGTTTTCGAAAAAGACGGGAAAACTAAGGAAGGAAAAAAAGATTACTGATCATTTGGATTTCTGCACGCTGACAGCGATAAAACCGCAATATGTACATACCATATCAAGTCTTCCATGTCTTCATTTGTTAAAGCTTTTTCGGGTCGTCTTTTAACCGCCCTCTTGGTTCCATGTTTCAGATTTATTTGATGCATGTTACTTGCTGAATTAAATACCAAGTTGTATTCGTGCTCTGAGGTTTTAAACGTGTAATTGGGGCGGCCATCGAGAAAAGATTTCTCTATATGGCCCTGCAGAACGCTTCCCTAAAAGAGCAAAACACATTTAAGTTTATTTTCGTATTTTATTTTCTCCATAGCCTAGATTAACCAGGTAAGACATTTATTCGAGCTTACCGAATGATCTTTATCGTACGTACGCCAAACATTGCCATTGTCTTCCCAGTACCATTTCCAATTTGTACCCATGACACCACAAGGAAAAGTTTCATAAGCAATGGTGGACAGTCGCCTTAGTTCTCCGGCGAATGAGCGGAATGGTGGTGAACTTTGCAAAATGGACAAAGTCATATTATTAACGTCGATCTTGACTTCATATCCATCGGCAAGAGGACGAATTCCCACTCTGAAATTTATGATCAAAGAAAAAATAAATTCCTGAGGTGAGTTCACAAAAATTGACTTTTCATCCGATGGTCTGTTGTCGGTATGACCTTTTAAGTGTTTTCGAGAGATTTACAAAATTGTCCTGACTCTCCCCAGAGATGGCTTTTCAAACGCGTTAACTTGTTATAGAACCAGTGTTATAAAACTGCTTCATTTTAATCGCTGCTTCTCAGCTTTCTAAGTCAGTTCACATTTTCAAAGATATTTACTACAATATAATTTCTAGGAGTGACTTTTTTCTAATATCTACATATCCAAAAGTTCCATGGCCATGAGCACTCCACTTTTGACCAATTATAAGTCTACTTTACACTAAAATCAAGAGTGAACATTCAAGCAGCGCCAATTTCAGATTTGGATTTCAGATTTTCCGTGGTAAATAGTACGTTTTAACTCAACATCAACTTTGTGCGTATATCAAAACGATTTATAACTTCGGGCAAAGTAAAAGGTGGAGGCCACACTATCTTCCTTTACCACGGTGATTAATTGTTGGAACTAACGTCTTGACCACCAACTCCATCGATAAAAAAAAAAAGTATTGTGAACTATTTCATTTACTTGCCTTTGAAGAGAGAAGACTTCAAGGGATTGTGCTGGCTTGAAATCAACTGGTGCCTCGACATTCACATCACAGTAGAGCTTCTCCAATGCAAAGTTGTCCACGTCACCAAAACTTTTCCATTCATCGGACCCAAACCCTTGATATTGCCAGTGATACGGCTTAGACAAGTGATGTTCTGGGCATCCTGTGCCTTTTTTACATTCGTCAATAAGAAATCTTGAGCAGATGTAAGCATCTGGCTTGTCCTTGTGAATGTGTCCTGCGAATGTTATGCATGGTGATGAAAAAACAATGTTCTTATGAGTAAAATGAATATTAAAAACCATTCAAATTAATATTAATCTGTAAAACACTTAATCACATTCATTTTGAAATCGTTGGTGATCTTGCAGTCTGATTGGCTCTCGGCCACAGGATTTATTCACGAATCGCACCATTTTTTTACTCTAAATCTCATCTTTTTCCCACCTAACGAGAAAACCGACACTAAAAACAGACGACCTAATAGATTTCAAAGCAAAGTAACTGATCAAATTTCTGGAAATGAGAGATAATGAGCCGTCGTGTGGCGATTTTTGCTGATTTTTGCTTTCGTTATTGTAAGGATGAATTTAATTCCCAACAGGTATAGTAAATAGAAGCAAAAAAAGTAATAATTGAACAACGTGTCGTGTTCTATTTGTCGAGAATTATATTTGTGATTTGAAATTACACGTATGATTCTTGAAAAACCGTACTCCTCTCAGTACAATTATAATCAATTTTCTCATAATATAAGCACGCTAAAACGAACCACTTAATTTGGACTTCCCACGGGTCGCTGTTAGTATATAAAGAGGAAGAGTACAAACAAATACTGACCCTTCGCTTTCTCTTTGCCTGAAAGACAAAGTTTATCATCAAGAATCATCGCAATTGCTTCATGTTTTCCAACATTGTGTAATAAATAACGCCCAAGAACTGCTTGAGTGTGTTTGGTATCCATGGCTTCCTCATGATCCAAGCCGCATTCTTTCATATCACCGCAACACTTCCTGATATGACCACAACACATGTGAATCCTGTTGCAGTCGTCACCACGGTTGCAAATACCATTGTTGTACTCTACACAAATCCGAGGCGTTGAAGAAAGAACGAGCTGTTGGAGCTGCTGTTCGGTAAACTGGTCAAGCTTGATCCTGGTCAGAGAGGCTTCGTCTCTCTGATTGTGAAAGTGGTGATTTAGCGGACATGTTACGCCATTGCTACAAGAGTCAGTAACAAAATCTCTACAAATATGCAGAAATGAGCAGTCAGATCTATGGCATCTTCCGTTCTCATTGTAACTCACACAAATGCGAGCTCTTGCAGAGAAAGCCCTAACTCCTGTAATCGTTCCTTGGTTGCCTCTGGTTATCAAGAAGCTTCCCTGGGTCATTTCACGAAACCATCTTACGGCGCTCTCTACTCCTTGAGGAAATAAATCCTTTCGCCCTGCAATATTTTGGATAGAGGCTGATGAGCCATACTCTTTGCACAGACATTCGAATACTCTCCACTCGGTTAGAAAACAAGGGGTCGAGGGAACACTTCGAGTTTGTGAGGATGGTAATGAAGCCTGTGAAGTAACAGCAGCACTTGCTCTTAACATGTTGGATTTTAAATGCATTGTTTCCGGTTCAATTTCCGTAGGTATACAGCTAATGGAGGCTGCTCTTGGCATTTTATAGTTTAGTAAGTCATCGACTTGCTGTTCCTCATGCACTAAGATTTTACTCCGCAGATTGATGCGTTTCTGTTCCTCCAGAATCAAGACATTGGATCGAACAAAATTAATGTTTATTACTTGACTGGGTGGTACCAAATCGTATCTCTCGAGAATCATAAAGTTATGAGAATCCTCCAAGTCATGTGACAAGCCACAATTTGAATGTGAAGATTCTTCAATAAACTGGGCACAAGCATGAATATATGGACATTGGCTCCATGTGCATTCATTTCTTTGATACAACTCGCAAACCTGTGGCAAACTCCAGGATACAATTTTCTTCATTGCCCCGTTTGAATATTTATATTCGGGAAGGTCGAGGTCTTCCGCTATTTCCCAGTTATCGTCGCTGTAAAAATCATGGGAAAGCTCACAAAAGTCGTCACATCTCCCCTCCACGAAAGTTTTACAAATGTGCCAGTATTTGCAGTTGCCTTGCTTACGTCGTCGAAAGCGACAAATGCCTTTAGTCGCATATCGATAACAAACTTTCTTTCGCAAATCAACTCGGACACCAACGATTTTGCCATTTTGATCTTTGACGCAGGCGAATCCAGCCCGAGGTCCCTGACGACTTTCCAACCATTTCTTGGCTGATTCTTCGGATTTTCTGCTTCCTAGAGGCGACGATGATTTCAGAAGAACAGTCAAGTCGACAAAACCTCCGTTACCGCAAATGAAATTGAAGAGTTTAGTTTGCAAAACGTGATCATCTGCCATTTTGTCTTTCAATGTCACAAAGATAATTACTTTTCCCGGAAACTAAACTGGTACTGCGGTTTCTCAGAATTTCTCAGTATTGTTCCTGAGCGGGGTATAGAAGGGGAACAGTTTTTCACTACTTTAACATGTACATGAAATTCATCATACTAACGTGCAATTTTCCGTCTGTTAAGTCTTACACAGCGACACCGAAATGACTAACGACTCAGACGAATTAATTCAAGAAACGTCAACTGTTCAAGTCGATCTGTCCGTAAATTTAACATATTAAGTTACTTTTAGACTGTTGCACCGCTCAAAGCGTTCAGTCTAGCATGACCTTTCATTTACATTTTGTGTCAAAACGAGTAACGCAATTCCAAAGGTCAAAACTATGTCTCTTGCTCGATATTCACGCTTCGAAAAAAATGTTCGACGCTTTCCGTCACACGAAACAGAATTTAGGCCCTCGTTTAATGTCAAACCTCGTCAAATGGAAATGAACGCCATAGAACGTTTGTTTGAAAGGTGTTTTGTTGTTCATGGCAAGTGAAAGGATGCACATAATTAATGCGCTGGTGAGAATGTGATTTAAATTAATAGATGCACAATATTTCACTTCGATAATTTTTTGCTGTGATCAGATTTATGACCGACAGGTTTTCATAAATGGTTTCTATCGTTTAAAAATCGCATAGGAAATCTAAGGAGTTTATTAATACTCGAGTTATGGAGGGAGGGTTAAACCCAAAGAGGCTGTAATTCATAAATCAAAACAGCAAAAACACAGGCAACACTGAAACTGTCGAAGCATGGACAACGACAAGACGTCTCGACAGAAACCCGCATTGTCCTACAAGAATCTTCCACATGTGATGATGAATTCATTCCACCGGCTTCGAACAGGCTCACAGCACTTTATTGAAGCCATTATTGCCATGATTTCATCAATGGTTAACTTCTTCGTCGCAATTTTCGAGGCAATATCCGTCGCTTATACACAAGTAGGCATAATGATTATGTCCATGGTCGACTGGGTTCGACAGATGTGTTATTACGACTACAAACAGTCCATGATGTGGGTCATAACTTTACCCAAGCGTTTTTACACAAAATGTGAAGAGGAAACCAGAAAACATGTTTGGACACCGATTTCCCAAGCGTTTTCACGTAAAGTAAATCGTATTTCTAGAGCTTTAAAAGCGAAACTGCGAGACAGCGAAGTATATGTGAGGGGCTTTTGCGAACTCTGTCGAAGGCTGTTTCTTCTCACAAGCGATTACACTCCAGGCGGAAAGTACACAGTCACAGCGGTCCTCGCGATCATCGCCATAATTTTCTTTCTCAAAATTTTGACGGTTATTCGATTTTTATTTCAACTTTTGGAGCTCACTTATAGTATTGCTGCATTCCTGCTGCACCCGTTGTTGCAAACACTACACGACGTTTTGTTATTATGTGACCCTTTACTTCAGATTGTCACCTCCCTCCTGCGTATCATTATCTACGCAGTCTTTACTATCTTCAGAGCAGTCGGAATTTTTATCTGGCTAAACCTTGTCTCCATTGCATCAGGTCTGTACAGGTGTTGGCAGATCTTTATTAATTCTACAGTAGTAAAACTGTTATGGAGTTTATTTACAAAAATGCTTTACGCATTTTTGGAGTATTTCATTTTCGTAATTGTGCCCATTTTGTCGAAGGCAACATACTACTTTGCGGAATTTTCGTTCGACATATCTTCAGTTGGTTACACATGGTGTTATCCATGGCTTATTCGCGGCTATATGGAAGAGCAAGTAAAAGGCGAACAAATTTATTTTTTCACCCCAACTGGAGTTGGAAGCAGTATGTTTATTTTCCTGGCATTTCTGATAGCCTATAGATATCGCAATCGGCTCACTGGAACATTTTTCTCAGAAATTGATGGGAAGCAATGTGTCATACGATCATTAGCTGCATCGAAAGAGGATCGGAACAAAAGGGATAATCAACGGGAAAGAAGGTCTACCTCTCGGAATACGACAAGTTACGAAGGCTCACGAAGAAAGATGACGAACGACGAAATGAGCCTTCGTAATCGTGGGAAAGCGAAAAAGGATGACTCTACGGAGCATACATCTGAGAATGTAACTGAAGGTGAGGAAAATTCAATTGTAACTAACTTTACTAAGAGACATCTCTTGGTTTTCTGAGCGCATAGCTGGGCGAGGGGTGGGGTGGGGGGCGAGGGTGAAGGGAGGGGCTCTTACAGGTGCATAACTGGAAGAACCTCTTGCAGTAAAATGTTGGTGTAGGACCGTTGCAATAGAGATCTTTGTCTCTCTCCAGAAGTCGGGCTAATCTGATGTCAGAGATAAAAATCAGTGTTAGTAAATAAATGATATTGATCAGTAAAGTCAAAGATGAAAATAAGAATTCCCTGAAAGATTCCTATATATATTTTTTCAGGGCACATTCACCAAAACTCGCAGGCCCACATCTGTGCCGATTACATAACTGGAACATGTCAACAGAGAAGCAAGTGTGACGGCCACCACTGTCCCCTCCCCTATCACTGGCAATATCGCATGTCCCTAGAGGGGTGGAGAAGTTTTAGTGAAGAAGACAACAGGAAGATAGAAGAGTTCTTTTGTGATCCAGCGATCGACACCATTACTTCAACAGAGATAGACATAGTAGTCAAATCTTACAGGGAAACGTAAGTTTAAGTGTACATGTACGAGGGCCGCATTATCCCAAACAATTTGATTTCCATCTTGTGCGTACCAAGCGCTGTACCTTCCTACGTTGGTGAATTAACTTTGCAAGAAAAATGGCATGTCCTTTTTCCACCTAACCTGCTTTGCAAATAGGGCAATTTTCAATTGGGTGTCAAAATCAATTCGTGATTGCATTTGTTTTGCTCTACTTCGTTCTGAGATTGATCCCCAAAACCCGCGCCACTTTCTCAACCGATCAGAAAACTTAATCCAATCGCGCCTTGGCTTCGGCCTCGGCGTTTTCCCACTCATAGGGTAATTTGGATGGTTTTCCTTTTAAGTTCTCATCGAGTTATAATAGGTATTTTTCTTTCTTCTCATTGGCCGTTTTGAATACTTTGGCTTGGTTTTACGAAACTCAATATAAAAGTGTTTTAACCCACAGGATATGTTGGGGTAGCTACCTGTGGTCTCCCTGGGAGACGTTGTTTGGTCTAGTCACGCAACGCGGAAGAGATGGCGCTGCGTGATGGGACCCAACAACGGCTACAAAGGAGACTTAGCTTCCTTCTGCGATAATTCAAAACAGTCACAACGATTTATCTATAATTTAGACATTCCAGCACAGTCTAACTCATGTGATTTACGTGTACCTTTCTTAATGCAATATGTAGATATAGATCGCAAATCAAAGACACCGTAAAACTCGACTTTGAAAGCATGAAGGTACAAAAAATTTATCATAGAGCGGACATGAGAAGACTGACTACAGACTCGTGCATCAAACAACAAGGCAACAGTCTGGACACTCACTGGCTTTGGTATAGAAAAGAGGAGAACGGCGACTGGGTCAAATATGGAGAAGAGGTATAGTCCGAAAAAGGAAAAACTTAGCTTCGGTTATGACAAGAGTCGCCTAACTTAGGTGGTAGCTACAAATTCACCTTTTGCCATGTTTGAATGAGCGAGCCAGGAGGACTGAGTCTATTACACGAAGTCGAGGTTCACTCAAACACTTCCTAAGAAAATTACTAGCAAGAACAAATTTATTTTTGAAATTGGTGTCGAACATAGCGAGGCGATTAAGTGAAAATTTAGAGTTGGCCCTTACATAAAACTTGCGTTATACCTATCGGCCCGACACAGCACAAAATCCCATGACAAGCACTTATTTCGACATTTAAGCTTATCCAGGTCATAATTTCCTTCTATTTCAGAACGATTCAGATGCCAAGCAAGAAGATCTTGAGACTGCTTTTCTTCGAAAAGACGGAAATTACAATTTCACCAGAAATGGACAGGAATTTCGTTTACAGTTCTTCATGAATCCCATGTGTGAAAAATCTTTCAGGCCATACTCGAAGAAAATCGTTCGACGTCGGCCAGAATTCCGATCCCCTGATGACATCCGAAAGCTAACTAAAGGGAATGAAGTCCCAAAACATTCCTGGTTTAGTCTAAGGAGGGTATTTTGGTGGCGTTAGACAGTGCTTTGAAAATAGCCGGGCGTGTTTACACCAACCAGTGACCCTAATGCGTTGCTAAGAAACACGAATCATCCACACTAGCAACTGGTAAAGTAGACACGAAAATACAAGAAATTGATTTTCTTGAAAAGATCCTCGACCTTAAAGTAACATGCCAAAATTTGAACAGAGGCTCAGGGAAAAACTACCAAAGAACGAAAATTTCCAGTTTAGATTATTTGATTAAGACACATTTTGGGAGGTTTTTGGGAAAATTCTACTCAGTACAGCAAAGTTCCCTCACCAGATGACGTTGAAATTTTCTTATTGATACTAACTACAGGGAGAAAATTTTCCTTGACAAACGCTCCTGTCTAGCCAGCACAATACGCGCCATTTTTTTTAATCATTATTTTTGTTCAGGCGAGCGGAGGGCGCGTGACACTTGTCAAGAACAACTTGCTGGTGAGAGTACGGTTTTATCTTTTAGGCATGTACAGCAACAGTCAAAAACTGTTGAGAAATGGTGATTTTGCAACTCACAGAGGACTTTTTAAATTTTTTCTTCTGTATTCGATAAAGAGCTGAAGACAAATTTAAGTTAGCTTTTTCGGTTGTTACCAATGCCAAGCCCATTGGTTTGTTTACTTAAAAACCAATAAAATAGGTTGTTTATGACTTCTGGTTCTTTTTGTTGTTTGGTAGCAATGGAAGGGTTACCATATATACATGTACGGAAAGAGTTACCGATGAAAAAGAGGTCGCTAAACTTGATCAACGCAAATCATAGTCAAAATAAATTATGCGCGGAGTTGTTTGACTGATATAAAAATAAATACAATACCTATTTCAAACCTAGAAGTCTTTCAAAATCTGAGGGACTTCGTTTTTTCACTGTTGTGTATTTACAAAGGTTGAGTGTTGGTGAATCTTCTGTCACTTACTCCTTGATAATGTTACATCGCAACTTTTTACATAACAAATTATTTTTTCTTTGTTGATGCCCGAGTTGAGGGCCTTGTGGATTGCTGGGAAGCTGTTCGTGGAGGCTGAGGCGTCTGCGCCTGCGCAGTGGAAGCTTGAGAGGTGGGTCGCTTTGACATGCTAGTGCTGACCGGTCTGTCCGCAGGTGTCTGAGATTCCCCTGCCGATATCGCACTTGCACGGGACGCTGACCGTTCAAGGGCTCGGATTTTTTCTAGAGCTTGTTTCAGGTCAGTTTCAGCTTGGATAGCTCGCTCTTCGGCCGCTTGGGCTCTCTCTTCTGTTTCCCTGCGTCATTCAACAAAAAAAATGAAGGCAAATGAACACATTTTCCTATCGCGGATTTGAAAGTTCTTCCAATTAATTCCATATTTTTTAACAAAACTGCAACCGGTAACTAGCTCAAGTGATCTTGTTTCAATTCTCATCAAGGTAACACACTGACCCCGCAAAGTTTCCCGCTCTCCTCCGGGTAATATCTACAACTTGTCTTTGACTTATTTCAAATCTCATTGGAATATGAGTTGTGGGGACCTGAGACGAATAAATGAACCGCCGGTGCAATTATGCATTTTTTTGGCGCGCCGACGCGCGTTAGACAACAAACGCGAGTTAGGACAAGACGAGTCATCGTTGTGATCAATTTGAGACGTGAAGCAGTCAGAAAGGTAACACCGAGGACGGCGTCCATGAAAAAAAGTTCTAGTTTTCTTAAGAAATTCCCCTTCCCGTCCTGACTACGTGCGTTAGAACAAGACAAACTCTCACCGTTGCAATGTCACATTTTATGCGTGCGCACGTGTTGAAGAAGACAAACTGTCATAGTGTGCGCACGCGCGTCAGAGCATGACCAACCGTCATCGCAATTATGACGCAATTTGAATCGCCTAGACCGAGGACGCCAACATTCACTTTCTGTTTGGGGTGTTTTGCAGCAATTTCAAAAGAGTTTAGAGAATACGCTTCAAAACTTTTGGAAAGGACCATGACTAAAAAGGGCCAGAGACAAATCCAGACTTTTGCATGAAGGTAAATGACGGACAATTTACAGAGTCTTTGCAGATATTACACGGTCCTTTGAGAAAAAAAAAATTAAGAGAAACAACTTACAGTAGCTGTGCTTGAAGTCTTTCTACAGCAGCGAGGGCTTCCAGAGCCTTCTTAGTATCTGGTGACGGAGAGCGAGCTGAAGGAAACATGGCAAAACATCTTTATCATCATACTGTTTTTGCTTGTAAACAACGTGAGTAAACCCAAGCCTTACGCTCTACTAATAACGTTCAACTGATCGTTAGATAACTCTAAAAATGTCCTTGACGATATGAAAAAATTTTTCGTTTACTAGTAAGGTTTCCAACAAACATTTCAAAGAGAGCAGCACATTTGTATCTAGATATAGAACAAAAATGCACTCACCAGGCAATTGACCTTCGCCTTCAGGAACAGTCAGCAGTTCTAGCTCCTGTCAAAAGACAAATAGAGAAAATTACATCACCTTACAAGGATGTTATACTTGTGTCACTGGATTGCCAAACTTGCATCTATATTTTTTTCCAAGAGGCGGGAAACCTGCGCCATGCCGATGAAGCCTGATGAGGTCGAAACAGTTGTCACTGCCCGTTGACTAGATACTGGCTCACTTTTGGTTTTCCTTTTTCTTTTGATGGTAGAGACCTTGTGCTCTTTGGCCTGAAAATGCCTCACAATAGCATAATTTTAGCACCATCTTTGCCTGACTATTACGACAAACCAACATATCTTTTTTACCAACATACCGACAAAAAATATAAATAAGTAAAATAAACCAGGAGATTACGTCTGACTGAGACTACAAAAACTTTCCATATACGTGCCAATTAGAGAAAAAGTAGCTTGGCTTTGGTCACTGCGGCAGTCGTCACCCAGAAATGAAAAAACGAATGATAAGTTATATAATATTCAGTACTGTAATACTACTGTGTTAAAAAGTACCTGGTCTGGAGGAAGCTCCTCGAGGGACTTGGTTCTTATATTATCATCATGTCCAAGCACGTGCATCCGGGATGCGTCCTGTTCTTGGTCTGGCCCTTCGACAAGAAGAGCTTCATCAGGCCCTTTCCCAGACTCATCCCCTTTTGTTTCCTCGCTGGTGTCTACAGCAGGTTCAGTAACATCAGATGTGTTAGTAGTTTCCACGGGTGCTTGTTCTTTCGCTGAGTCTTCCTGAACTTCAAGAACAGCTCCAAGTTTGTCAGCGTCTTGTTTTTCTGCTTCTTTCACTGGCTCTGCTTCCTCCACTTTTTCAATTTGCTTAGTATCACTATCTTCAGCCTTAAAGAAATGACCGATTTACTTAAGTGTACGTCATTTATTAATACAGAGCTTCAATTTGGTAGAAGATCGGGCTTGGCATCGAGTTCTCTGTGGCTCAATGATTGAGCCTCGAACCGTGAATTCTGGAGGTCCGAGGTTCGTATCCTTGTTTATTTCTGAACACTCGAGACTAAAAAGAAAGACATCTTTCTTAAACTATAACTTTTGTTGGACCCAAACAAAAATCCCTTGAAACGTCTCTTATTAACCCATGCGAAAATATCTGAGGGCAAAACGAGAGTTGAAGTTCAGTAACCGTACACTTGACCACACAAATAAAAGAAAGCCAAAGAGAAGAGACAAGATTCTATTGCGTCATAACACGACAACGTAAAAGCAAAAACACGTATATTATTTCAATGTTACCTCAGTTTCAGTGACTTTAGAATCCGTAGACACCGCTCTATCAGCCCCTTTCTTCGTGTTCGCAGAAACATCTTCAAAGACAAAGTCCTCTCCCATAACATCCTGGATGAGCAACCGAGCAGTTCGTATCCAACCTTCACATTCCACACTCAGCCGCTTAAGATCTTTAAAGTCCATATCTGCGTGTTCATCACCTTGATCGCGCTTTTCCTGTAAAACATGATATGGTTACCTTAAGCAAAGTGTGAAGAAATCGGAGACGACAAACTGGTAAAAAAAGTAAATAATAAAAATGAGCAGAACAATAGCCCTGAATGTGCGTTTTAAACTCTGAACGTTTTCAAGAGGAGAAGAGAAACCTTACAAAGTACAACTAGAGCCTTCAACTTAGAGCCGGTGTAACATTTCAGTGCAGTTAAACATCAAGCTCTATTTACTTCTCAGTCATTATTAACGAGGACCTTACTGTGAAATTGGCTCAGCTGACAAGGTGGTTACTTTTGGAGGCGCGTATTACGGAACGAGCGTCATGCATTTGCTCGCATTTTCCTTACCTGCATCAAATCTATTACCAGATCAGAGCAGCATTTTGCCAAAAGACCAGAAAACTTTCTCAGTTCTTCAAACAACCTCTGCGCCCGACTGCATATTTCCTCAGGAATGGCTTGAAGCAGGATTTCTCCACCTCCTAGAGAGGCATCCACCTCTTGATCATCTGTCTCTTTGTTAATCTCTTCCAGTTCTTTGTCCTCCATGTCTGGGGTCAGGCGAAGGAGAACTGTGATCATCCAGCGAATCATAGCGCTATGAAGTTGTGTAACCTAGTAACAACGATCACCAAAAAACAAATTAGAGCACTTCTTGATTAGGTGTCATAAAACTAGAACTGAAACGATTGGAACAAGTTAAATATGGCAACAACGTACAAGAAAATTGCCCCGAGGACCGGAAAAAGAGAGTGACCAAGTCAGAGGTGAAATTACTTTACTTAAAGGATGCTTCCTTTTTACTTAAAGTTCACGTAACTGTAGAAGACATGGAAAGCAGCCCTGCTTGTACACGAAAATCACTTTGCTGTGATTACCGACTGTTAGTTGATAACCAAATGTATGAGAGAGTCTCTCGCAGTCAAAAAGCTTTCAAGAGATTTCGCAAAATCTCAACACCAAACTTAACGCGCCCACAAGTTAACTTAAACATATTCTGTTTAAAAACACCGTGCAACACAGAAGAAAAATGATTTTCTTTTTCAACCTACTCTTTCAACAACTTTGGCATCCTCGTTGTCAATCCCATTTGTTGTCGCTGACAGCCATTTAACAGCGTTTTTAAAAACTTCTTCCACGTTCACTGGATTTTCCTCCTCTCCGCTCAACCGAGCACCTTCCTTCTGCGTTGAGCCAATCAGAGCAAGCGTTTCAGTGAGGTGATCAGCCCATTCTTCGCGTACCTGATCCGAAAGTCGTATCCAGTCCGCGTCGAGCAGCATGTCACCTCCATTTAGGATAGTATTAAGTTTGTTTCCCCTTGGGATAAAAAAAATATTTTAATGGATTGGACAAAGGTTAATGTTATGTAACGGACGGAGTTAAAATAGCTGATACAAGCAAACGAAATTATCACATTAAGGAGCACATTGTTCTTTTTCAGTCTGCCCCTGGACATGTTTTCAAAACTTTATTTGAAGATCATCTAATTCTTTTAATGACTATTCAAAGAATCTGACGCATGAAACAGAAGGACTCCAACACCGAAAAAGGCGAGTGATTAAGTCGCCGTTAGTGTAAGTTTTGCATCTTTAGGGTTACAATGGTTGGTTGACAAGTTCAAGCGAGTTTTGTGGCCTGATCACCGAGCGGAAGATAGTGTTGAGAAGTTAGGGGGAAACTTGCTTAAGCAAACTCGCTGAGCAAATGTGTGAGCCTCTCGCTGATAAAACAGCTTCAAGTCTTACATATCTAAAACACTTAACACAATGAGAATTATAGTAAGCGAGATTACATTCGAGAACAGATTAACGAGGACAATAACAATATTATTCTTAATTTAAACAACACAACAGCAGTCCATATTTCTTATACAAAATATTTGTTTTAAGACACGCATGTCTTTTAAAATAAAAGTCACGTCAATAAATCAACACACCTTCACTTACATAGACAGACAAAATCTGCTCACCATGTTTCGATTGGATTCACCAGATCAATAATCCCTTTGGCCACTCCGTTTTCTCCGATAATTCTTACGTGATACTGCTGATGTAAGCGATCTACTTCTTGGTTCAACTGGGACATCACTTCGTGTTGCAGCCACCTTGTTCCATCGTCAGCTTCGTGGCGGCTGAATACCTGAATAACGTGACAAAACTCGTTTACAAACTAGAAATTTCATATCAGTGTGATCTCATTATCATAATATATGTAGCCTTCAGCAAAACACTTTAGTGGCAAGAACAAGGTATAAGCAGGATTACTTTAGCAATATGTTGTTTTTAAAGATGACGACACTTTTCCTTTTGCAACTTGACGTTTAAAAAAAACGGTTCTCGGCGTCATTTGTAACCTTCGAGCAGACTTACACTAAACGCATGGGAAGTCTAGCACCTTGCCTGCAATTTGCACGCGTGTAATTGCGAATTATGGAATTCCGTTTTTCCTAGCAAAGGCAAGAATGGACTCTTTCAGTGTGGCCAAACGTGATCAAAGGAAGAGCCCCCAACTTACGGTGTGGCCAAACCCGATCAATTGAAATTTAAGCTCCCCGACCTACGGTTCAACTTGCACAGGAGGGGAACATCTCTTTCAATCTGGCTAAGCCCTATAAATAAAATACCTCACCTACCCCACCCCCTGTGTCATTATTTGTTTACCTTAAGCGCCACATCAGTCCATCCATCCACCTCCCTGTTCATCTGGTACAGTTCGTCTTCACGTGATAGGAGTGTCTCCCCTGTGAAATGCTCTGCCTCTTGGTTCAATGTCTCCTCCCATGATTTCAAATCCTCGGATAAATTCTTGATAAACTGCTCGTCAGGGGGACGCACACTGCCATTATCATAACTGAATGGAAACAGTATAAGTGTTTTCCTTATTAGAAACTCTATAATTTTGGTTAAGTCTTTTCTTCTACGAAGGCCCATATACACAAGGCGGCAACTCGCTTTGTAAACTCGCTTTTTAAACTGATTTGAATTTGTGTGATGTTCGCATTGAGACGAACCGCGAGACCCGTTTTGGAACAAGAACGAACATGGCGACTAGGGAAGAGACCTGTGGCTAAGATTTGTCGCATTGTAAGTCCCAGCGATAAAGCTTAAGTATCTCATCTCAACAAACAACTTAAATGATTATTTAGAACCAACATCATGACCAGCTCCCAGTTGGCTTGTTAGCTCAGTTGGTAGAGCGCTGCACCAGTATCGCAGAGGTCATGGGTTCAAATCCCGTACAGGCCTGAATTTTTTTCCGGCCTTATTTTCACTACTGCTTAAGTAGTGCACATTACTGCGAGGATCACTTTCATTCACGTCTTTATCCGCAGTTCAAATATATATGACTTTCATATATTCCTAACCGTTTATTAAATAATGTTGGAATACTTTTTCTCCTGAGGGAAGAGGTTTTCCCAATAACTGCATGCCTCACAAACAATTTATCTGTTAAATTTGTGACAATGTTTTCAACACTTCAGACAACACAGACAATGACGTATTCTTCCATTGGTTACATGACTCTTGCCAAGAGAAGAATGGTATAACGTTCTCACTTACTTGACAATTTTGAGAAACTCCTTCTTCCATCTTTGAAGTTGACCTATCAGTCTTTCAAGCTATATTAAACCAAACAAATTACAAATAAATAAAAAGTCTACAACTATTACAACTACCAAGATATTCGGATGATAACCGCCTTTCACAACCCGCTATGGTTCTTTTCACGCGTGACAAAATTTTTAAAGGGCGTAGTCGATGACCGTCACACTCCAAACAAAACAGTGTACATCCAAATAAAGTTTGTTTTAAATCCTTACACCAACATAGCGTAGGGTTAAAATACACATACTTCTTGACCTACTAGGCTCCCTGCACACATAGCCAGTTCAATAAGAATATAAACTTTGTGCTCTACACTAAAAAACAAATTAACCACCAAAAAAATTCCAGCAAACTGACCCTGATTTTCATTTCTTCTTCAGAGGAAACGAGTTTTTTGTTAAACTTATCGGAGAGCTCTCTCCACTTCTGAACATGGTGAGTCAAGGTCTCCAGCTGAAATACAAAGCAAGAGAAAGTTATCGGCATTTTTAACTTTCAAGACCAAAAAATAAACAGGGAAAGTGGTAAATTTCAGGAAGAAAACTACAAACTACAGAACAGAGACTTAAAAATTTTAGCAATGTCAGAAAACTAAAAGCCGTGAACAAGTCAAGAAGAACAATTAAATTTGTAAAAACTCTGGAGGAGAATAAAAGATAGATCATATTAGAGAGAGAAAGAAAAAAAGGGTTCTGCAAACCTGTATACTGTCCTTTTCACTCAGGAATATTGCAAAGTGTCGGCTCAACTTGGCCCAGGCTTTTTCACAGAGGTGTAATTTCTTAGCTGTGTTTAACGAATGTTTGTCTGTGACCTTCAGGGAAAGGGTATAGGCTGCACTGCTCCACAAATCACGTTCTTCAGTTAATTTGCCTGCGCAAGGAAAAAAGGTACTATCCATTATTATAAAAAGGTTCCAAGCAAACGTTTAAACGTTTACCAGGGAGGGCAGGAAGTAGCTGTGAGCAAAACAATCTTTACCCTTTTCTAAAAGTGTTCGTAACAACATACAAAGCGTGCAACATACAAAATTATTGCTAAAATATCGTTAAGAGTACTCACCAACGAGGTCCTCAAGTCTCTTTCTTTGTAGCTCGTACAAGTCGTGGTATTCTGAAATCAAGCTAAAAGGCGTGACAAAAAACGAAATATTATTAGCAATTGAATGGATTTCTGGAACCTTACATGGAAAACGGTTTGTTTAAAGATTGCAACAACCAAGATTTCTTTAACTGTATGACCACTGAAACTTACCTGGCGTTCTTATCGGATTCCTCCAGTGCCTCGTGCAGCTAAAATAGAATGCAAACGAGACACGCGTCAATAAACAACGTGGAGAGCATCGGCTCCTTTTATTCGAAATTACAAATGAAATTTTCGGATTTTCATGCTCAAAATGATACAAAAATAATTTTTTAATTCATTTACCTCTTCTTGGGCATATTTGGCCTGTTGGGTAACTTCCCGATCATGAGCCTTTACTGAAGCAAGTTCACTAACAATAAAGACAAAAATGACAAATTATCACTAAGTCTTCTCTGAGTTTTCTCGATGCTGCCAAATCAGTAATTGCATGGTAGAGCGCTTTTTCGATTGAGCGTCTTAAACCCAAAACCAAAGTAACCACAGTAATCAAAAGAAAGGAAATTTACTTTAAGAGCCGATGAGAACTCAAAGTAAAACCATCCACAATTCCTAGAGCGCGGGTAAATGCAAGCGATCAAGTCGTGATCGGTGTTTAGTTTGGCATCTGATTGGTTCAGAGAGTGGCGCGAGTTTTCTAAACCAATCACTGAGCGAAGTAAAGCAAAAACAAAGCTATTCGGATCAATCTCGATGCTTAATTGAAAATTGCTCTATCTGAAAGTTTTCGGCAATATACTTTACATACCTGGTTAGAGAACTTATAGATGCTTTAAATCGCACAAGTTCTTCCGTTAATCTCCTGTACCGGAAAAATGATTGCATACGAAACATTAAATACAATTAGAGAATCAGAAATGCTTGATGTGTCAGAAATGCAAGTCACAAGATATTTTATTCTGATGTCAGCCATTACATTTTGTTAACAACACCTTCTAGCACATAGAGAACACTTATCCTATAGAGGGTACAGTTAAGTAAGTTTTGCACATTCACGGAAAGGCAAAAAGAGAACATATTGCAAAAGAGCTCCTGACCTGTTCAAGGCGCTCAGTTAGTAAAACGAAGCGTGAGGAGGTTTGAGTCGGGTCGCGTAATACGCCTAAACCAGACCTCCTTGGTTTTCGCCCTGTCGCTACTAAAAATCCCGCCGTTTCCTATTTCGCTTAATTTTCCTAACAGAACACCTGGAACAGGCTGGATAACTCCTAATAGGTTTGTGTTTAATGGTAAGACACAGGTAGAAGCTACTGACAGTTTTCCTACCTGTCTAAAGCTCTCTGAGCAATAACTTCCTGGTGGAGACTGCAAAGAAAATAGACGATGCTGAATTTTTTTAACAGTTGAATTTTTACACCTAGATGCCAATATTTTAGTTGCATTTTCCGAAATCAAAATTCAAAATTATTACATTAGTCTTAACTTTCATCTCCATTGAGGAATAAATGAAATCACAGAGTACGGAGGCGTGGTAAGGAACATTATGTAGTGTGGCAGATTTATGCTAACTGCTGGTTGTAATTAATTCTCTTGATGATAAGTGTACATTAAACTTAGGAACATGAACAGCTATCGATGGATTAGTGTTTTCAGTCTTTTGTTACCTTTTCACTTGTCTGGGAATGCGATCTAAGAGATCTGCATAGCGCTTCCTCAAGTTCGCTAACAGTTCTCCCCTCTCTGCACATTCAACCGTTACCTGAAAATAGATAATAATAATACGAATGGAATTTAGAGGTGGTCATTCTATGAGGTGGCTCTTCTTGTCCACTGTTTCCAAGTTGAACTAGCATTGGGAGTGTTGGAGTGTGATAATGAAACTCAGAAAACTGTGAACACCACAGGAGGTTTCCGCTGTGAATCAAGTGCAGTTACCTCTTACTAATGGTAAACAGTTCCCTTTCATATAGCATGTATGATTTAATCTAGCTTCTATATACTTCTACAAATTATATAAACTGGACAAAACAATAACTACAGTAAGATGAATTTAAGTCTAGATTTTTGCTCATTTTATTCACAACAATAACGGCTAACTGCATATTCAAGAGTTATTCAAAGTAACCTTAGTGTATGGATATAATAACTACAAGGCGGTAAGATTTAATTATCACTTACTTGACGAATTATTTCATTAAACGCTACATTGTATATGTTTTGCTCCTTTTTAACCAGCTCAAGAAGGTTGTGAATCTGAAAAGAATTATTTTCCATTGTTACAAGGAAGTCATATGTACATGTGGTAACAACTCTTGTAAAACTTGCCAAACATTTTGTCATTATGATAAATAAACTACTAGTCAAGGTGGTTACTGGTACCTCATCTATTATAAAATAAAATAATAAGCAATGATAACTTTTGCCCTAATTAAGTAAACCTTAGACTATATACTTAGTGAACTTATACTGGCAGCACAGCAGCAATTATACAGTCTGCAACTGTTAAACTGCAGCACATGATTGTATGAATGCAATATTGCACAAAATGTCCTTTACCATTTTTTTCCTTTTTTTTTTCATTCTTTTTTTTTTATCTTTCTACTAAAATTTTAATGCTGAGGACAATCTTATGACCTAAGTTCACGACAAGATGACCCAGAGAGAGTTTCATTTAAAGCTCTGTCATTTACCATTTGGTCATTTAATCAAAAACTTCCTAGACTATAATAAATAATGCCAGAAAAAATTTTAGTATTAATCAAGGAAAATCTGTTCAAATTGTATAAGAATGACTTGTGCAATCATCTCTTGTACCTGAGTTGGGCCCGATAATTCTCTGCCTTCATCATCAACACCAGCACGTGCCAACATAGAATCCATAGCATGCTACAAAGAAAAAACAAATAAAAATGGTTAAACCCAAAACATTCCCTAAGGCAAAATTATCATTAACGGACATGTAAATTAAGTGATTGTGTAGATACAGTGGCCAATATAAAAAAAAACAGCTCCTGGCACTAAATAAGGGACCGGTCATTATTTATCGCCTGGGGGGGGTCGGAGTATTTAGGGGGGGATCACATGGTTTTTTGAAGACCTTTAGGGGGGATCAGCCGTAATTGACAAGCATAATGGGGGGATCAGACCAAAAAAAAGGAATTTTAGGTCGCGCCGGGACCCCGGTGATTGCATTTGTAAATACTTTGGTAGGATTTGCCGCTGAGACTCTAAACCCCCAACCATATATTCAAGACCACGTTCAGTTGTATTTTGTATTATATAAACTCTATTCTAGCCCAGACACAAAACCCAAACCCTTTTACAGACCCTCCATTTTGTAAAAAGAATCACTATCGTAGTCTAACATACACGTTTTTATTCAGGCACGATCTAAATTAGAAAGGTAATCAAGATTTTGAGAATGGAATACTTACAATTGCTCAAAATTGTTTCATAACGTTTCAGTTTGTTTTATAGAGAATCGTAATCTAAAATCATAAACTTTCATTATTTTAATACGCGGCCGAATGAAAACAACAAATAAAAAAGTGTTTATTTTGGTGAGGCTGTATCTTGTTCCGCTTCCGTGTCAGAATCTTCGGCAGCCCTCTCCACTGGCTCTTGCACAGTCTCCTCGTCAGATTCATCTGAATCCTCGCCCGAACTTGACCCTTTTTCAGCACCATTACTGCTATTCTCTTCGTTCATTCTGGCCACTACCACTTTCAAATTGCGTGCCAGCTCTGTTTCAAACACGCCTCTTTCCAAAAGCCATAGCAGAGGATCCAGGTGGAGACGCTTGACAAATCTCGCAGTGAATCCTGCATTAATACTTGAGACACATTTGTAAGTATTCTTTTCGAGTGAATCGAAAACCTCTTTAGCTACCTCTTTTGAGGTAAGTTTTTCTAGGAGAATTGCTGCTCGCTGATGCAACCTTTTCTCCTTGATTTTTTTCACTTTTCTCTTGTTTTCTTTTTTTCTTCGGGATTGGCCGTTGTTCCCCATGGGAGATGGGAACTTTCTCTTCAAGCTCATGAGGGTGGTCGTGAGCGCATTGGAGGCTTTCTGCAGCTCTTGGTGTATGGCCTTCACTCGCTCTTGAGCTTCCTGGAAATATTTGAGCTCATCACTTGCAAACGACCTTAAGGTATGCTCTTCTGTATAAAGGTTCTTTCGTCTGTTGTCGATAAATGAGAGCAAATCGGATGCTGAATTAAAGGCCTCATTGACAGTGGTCAAGGAGGACTCACACTTCGCGACATCACCACTGCCCTTACATCCATCCACGCCTGACATGAACTTCGTGATGTTTTGGCACACTCCCCAATTCTCGTTTCTAAGCAAGTTGTTTTCTTTATCGGAAAGGGCTTTTATCTTTGTGTTTAACTGCCAACGCATTTGCTGTTGCTCGAGGAGATACTGTTTGAAACCGGCTTGTTTACTCACGAATGAAGATTCATAAATCTGCGGTACAACACTATTGTAGAATTTCAGCCTTTCTGTGTGTGGGTTGGGAAGAAGATATTTTATATCTCTGTTCCTGGTGTTCTAACAATAGATGGGTCGGTCCAGAAACGGAAAGAATTCCGCAACCTGTACCAGATTCAAACAATCCTGGACATTTCATGGATATCTATCAGACGGAATCGACGGGCAGGACACCAGATGATTACCTTCCAAGAAAATGTATTAAAGATCTGTACGAGGAACATTCTGACAGTATCAGAAACGATCAGGATACCATGAAGAGCTTCTGCTCAAAATATAATGTGGAAGAGAAGCACGTCATTGCATATGTTAATCATTTGAAGGATATTGAGATCCGAAAGGACATCAGAACAAGAGCAGCTCAGGAGCGAAGAAGGCAAGAGGCCGAACGAACGTACAAGGACTTTCAATGGGATAACCTCATCGAGGGTGGCAAAGTTGAAAAGTTGCGGGTAAGAGAACTAGACCTGTATCTCAACAAGCATGGTTTGACGACTGTGGGTCGGAAACTTGACAAAGTGAAGGCCATTCGATGTCACTATTACCGACAGAATAAAGAGACTGTGATAACAGAAGAACTGTCGAGTGATGAAGATGACGTGGAATCCGAGGATGAAGAATCCGAAAGTGGAGAGGCAGAGAGCGACGATGACTATGTTTTCGTGGATTTGGATGAACAGCCTGAGATTGGCACTTCCTCGACAATTCAGTTCGTATCTGACGAGCAAATATTTACCGTTGTGGTTCAAGGTCCATGAGACGTAAGTACCACTATTAAAATATCACTTGCATATTCAAAAAGTTATTTGGCGGTGGCTGGGAGAAAAGGGGGGGGGATCATGAAACTTTCCACTACCGATAAGGGGGGATCTCTAAAAAACTAGATACTCTACGGGGGGATCAGGTAAATGCTCCGATGTGACAACAAAAATACTCCGACCCCCCCCAGGCGATAAATAATGACCGGTCCCTAAAGAGCAGAAAGGATCTACAACAAACCTTTAGTTTAAGCACTTCTTGTCTCCCTGTTGGTTTCCTTCAAATAAAAAAGAATCTTTATGATAGGAAAATTCACTGTCTTTCTATGATTCCTATTTATCAATAATATAAACATTTCAAATCAATCAACATGAACAAGTAGATATAAATGAGAATCCTTCATGTTGACAGCCACCCAACTATCCAAAAAGTTTAGCTAAATGGTATTGCTCATAGTCCATCCCTTATAAGGTTTTTTTAATTTTTCTTTTTCGCTAGCTTGAAAAGGAAGTAGACCCAAGATGTATAATGGCAAAAAGGGCTTGGGTTTCTTCTTACTTATTACACAGCCAAGACAAGGTGACCAGAAGACACACCCTGTGTCATCTAAATCTTGTTCTTCTCACCCCTTAAGTTTTTCCTAATAACATACATACCAAGATGATAGTACAAATTTTTACAAGAAAGAGCAAGGCATATTTAATCCAAATACCAGTAAGATGCAAATAAATGATGGCTAAAAAATTGACAAATTATATTTCAAAAAATTGACCAGGGTTCACTTACATTGAAGGGAAAACAGTAAGATGATCCTCATGGCCATGAACATATGTGGTATACTTACTGTAATAACAATAAATGTGACTTTTACATATCAAAAAAATAAACAATGGAGATTTGTATGAGTTACATCATGAATAAAGGTATGTACATGCACAACTGTAACCAATTATTTAGAGTTAATGAAAAAGGAATGAATGTTCATGATTACTTTGCCTATTAAATATAAAATGAACCAGATGTGTGTGTTACATTTGAATCATATGTAATACTTTTTCACACTTCAATTTACCCTTTAACTTTCAACATTTGACAGATAATTTACCCATCTAGCTGCCACTTGTTTTCTTCTGAATTTGTGAGCAAATAAGGTATTCTTAACTATTCTCCCCACATGTGAGGTGGATAATGTATTACATGATATTGAAAACAAGAAGAGAAGTTAACTTCAGTTGGCAAATGTTTTCTGTACATACTCTTCTTGAAACTCTAATCCCATGACACCAGGATTCTTGACTATATGATACTCTGAGGGAATGAGGCTGTTGGGAATTTGAGATCTCACTTCCTATTGAAAAAGAGCAGAAACAAAATTTCAAGTTTACTGTAGAGTTCAACCTAACTCTAAATAATCAATAATCTTTGTTACTCTAGGTAATGTGCTGTCATGAAAATTCTCCAAAACTTTACCATTGCATCCTTCTCACTTTCTCTGCTTTTTTCAGCACGCTCTAAATACTTGTCTCCAGGGGACATCTTTATTCCATCAGGCCCTGACATAACCAGCTGTTTTCCAGCTGAGTCTAAGACTCTCTTGTCTGGGACTGTTGCATCATATAGGAATGAAATATCCCTGAAAAATAATACAATCTTCTTTTCATAAAGGTGAAATACAAAAACAGACATAACAATGTCTATATTCTAGACAACACTAAGTTGAAATTGATCTGCCTTCTTTGCTTGCAACAGTTCCTTAACACTAAGCAAAGAACTCTTAAATGGAAATGTTATGATTCAAATGAACTTCAGGTCTGAATGATGTTTAACTAATTTAATCTGTTTTTCCCACATCTCAGGTAAATTATCATCTTAATTCATCAACAAAGGATAACCATTATCAAAATCCATCAAATATTTTTGCTTGCATGTGATTGGTAAAACTGGAGAACATCAGGTGATATTTGAAGGATAATATGCATAGCAATTCCCATTTGGTGCACAGATATCTTAACCAGTACTTTATTTGTCTTTGGACTTTATTGGTTCCTCAATTCCTCACAGTTTTCCTCATGCATTGCTCTCAGAAACATGTTTGCAACTCAGAAGAAATTGTGTCTGCCAACAAATATCCATGCATATTGTCTTACTAAATGGTGGCTTTGTTTATCTATTGAGCACCAAATGGAGGCTAGTCTTCCATGTCAGCTGTAATACATGTTGTAAGTCTTTGTTTACCTCCCTGCTCCACAAACACAAGGTGGCTGTTCTGCAAGATGTTTAAGCTTTTCTCTTCCTCTGGGAAAATTCCAAACATTAGCTGGTCTTCTACGAGCAGGTGGAGTAATCTAGAAAGTTGATAGAAGGAAGTGATTATGCTAATATCAACAGTAATCAAAGGTTCAAAAATTGTACACATCCTGCAAAAAATTAAGAGATGCCCTCGCTCCAGCAGTTTATTTCAATGTAAATATAATTACACAAAAATAAGATGATGATGTCTATGTTTTAAATCTATCGGAAATGACATTATCCGTGCTTACCGCTGTATGGTACATGTAATTAAGTAAACAAATACGTTCTGGTTCAATTTGATCAGTAATCAGTTTAAATTTGGTTGGCTTTCCATACAACATGTACATTACTAACTATTTGACAAAAATAATTAGAACTAATGCAAGAATAAGATTGAACTAAAACAAATAACATGCAGAGAAAACGTATTTGATCGAGTCGCATTTTTTACAATGATACATAAAACCACCCTATTCCTGTTATTCAAAGATCCCTACCTCTAAAGGTTTCAGTTTTTTGTGTTTTGATGAAGGCCCTAACTGTTCTCGCGAAGGCGGAACAGGATGCTGCGTCAAACTGTTCAAAATATCCTCAGGTATAAAGTCATTCATTCCAGTTAAAAAAGTCTTATCTCGGTCCAAAATATCACTTCTTCCACTGGAATCCATTAGTTCACGTCTTATTTCATCCGTCTGTGGTTTTCCACCTTCAAGAATTGGCAAGACACATGGCGAACTAGGAGTCTTTGCAAGTTTGTTTTTCGCACGGGAAGACCGCGACGAATTTTCCCCGGGAGATACGTGCGGTGATTCACTCGGTTTTACTGCCGTTGAGACGCTCATCTTCGAAAAATAACCCTTTATGATACTTATGGCGTCATGAAAGGTATGCAATTGACGATTAGACGAGGTGAGAATTGAAAAACATTGAAATATTCCCAGGTTGAAACTCCAAAAAGTCATCCGCCATGTTGCATCCCAGTAAAAATCTCTCACGTTGCCACTGGTTACTATATTGATAAACTTAAGCCCAGTACTTCTCTGTTGTCATTGGTGTTAGAGCTCAGTCTATCTCCTAGCTGTCCTGAGAGAATCGCACTAAAAAACAAAACAAATTATTAAAATTTTCTACCGTCACTTTCCTGAAAAACGACCCGCTCTTTTCTTGTATGCACACAATAATCACCTGTTTCCCTTACTTTTATCACAATTTGAATGATTATCTGACAGAAGTTCTGATCGAGTCAGTAAACACAGTTCGCGCTTTCCTCCTTACTAACAAGTGTTCTCTTGATAAGACCTAATGGGGCAGCCTTCAGTTACACATATAAACACCCACATACACGTAGTTACTTCAAAAACACAATAAAACGAGTAAATGATAAACTTAAAAAATAATAATAAAAAAAAAAAGCAAGTGTACCTCAAGTAAAATGACACTATAAAATTACCTAAAACACGTTCAATCATCAATGCGCTAGTCCTGTGCAGTGAACCCTTCCCAGGGTGTTTTTTGTTTTTTTATCCCGTTCTTATTTATTCATTCATTATTATCTCTCGAAGGGTGCGTAGAGAGAGGGCACGGTGGCAAACAACGCTTATCGACACTAACGTAGACAGACAAATGTTACAGATTATTATTTAGTTCAAGATCGCTCACGCCATAGAACTGATGGAAGCAAAATGAATTACATCAAATATACTGTCTATTAGGTGTCAACCAAATTCAAAACCGAAAAGGTACTTGTAATTCATGTTTTGATCGCACACCTGCCTCTCTTTCCATCCACTCAAGTTTCTTTCAAAATTAAACCGGATACGAGGTTTTCGTTGTGACGTCAACTAGAAAAGAGTACGTGGCAAAACCCCGTGGCGTATTATGGTCTACAGTCTTCTGCGCGGACATCCTTACCGCCATTTCTTATGCTGTCTCTTCATTCTAAACAAGATGTCTAAGCCTTCCCAAGCGGGATCGTCGCCTTACAGCGAGTACATAAGCAAGGCAGAAGATATTGCCGATCAGATCCTTCGAAACAGCAAACACGTGCTTCCTCATGTCGCGCGATTCTGTTTGATTTCGACTTTCTTCGAAGATGGCTTTCGTATGTGGTTCCAGTGGGATGAACAGCGTGACTACATGGATCAAACGTGGCATTGTGGAACAGTCGTCGGAACCTTGTTCGTTCTCTTCAATTTAGTCGCCCAGTTAGCGGGTTGTGTAATGGTGTTATCCCGGCAAAAAGTGGAAATCGCCGTGGGAATGTTATCTTCTGTTATTGTAGTCCAAGTAAGTGTTGCCTCTGTCGTGTATACCTTTTTTATTTATTTTTTCCCCCTCAAACTCCTCTATACGTCTCCAGAAGATCACTCAACAAAGAGTGATTTCTATGTATGGTGAATCTGTCTTTATAATAGCTATTTTAAATACTTGTTTCTTATTTAAGTCTCTGCAATATCGGGTTACATCGACTCGAAGAGGAAACTAATTGTAAGGAATTATATCTCTTTCATTTTCCTCTGTCGAGTGCCTTTGAGAGATCGAACTGTATAATCAATAATTTACGGTAATTTAATGCAAACCTAGAATTAAGTTCTTTTTGCGCTCCCACCCAAAATTATTAATTGCTCATTTCATTTTCTTTTACAGACTCTCGCATACAGTATCTTGTGGGATTTCAAATTTTTGCTCAGGTAGGATAATGTTACTATTTGTTCTCTCTCTGGCAATTAGTGGAAAGATGCTCCTATTGTTTAACCATTAAGCTTCTTGCATAAGTTTATTTCCTCTGATTCACTATTTATGTGTTGAAACAAATAAAAATTATTTTAAAAGGAATATTTTTCATTGACTGGCTCCAAGGCCTTTCACGCCCAGGAGTGACCAAAAAATGTCTCCTTGCAAAATCAATTAATTTTTAAGCAAAAGTTGATAAGAAAGAAAAAAAGTAACAATTTGGGGATATATGAATAAAGGGGGTAACGTTCCAAAGAAACTGTGGTGCTGCATCAGTTGTAAAGTGTAACAGGGTAATCAAGTATTATTAACTGAGTTGATAACGTAAATTGGCCGCAGTAAAGAGTTTTGCGTCATCAAATCAGTTGATAATACTTAATTACCCAGTTATTTGGGGATACAGTTTTATTATTTCCCAAATTCTGCTCTTTTTAGTATAAGAAATGTATAATAGACAGTGCAAAGAATTGCCATAACCTTAGAAGTGAAGGGATTATCCCATTTGCTGACAAAAGTGACTAGCGTGCAGCTGTTCATCTCAATATCAAGGCAATAACAGGAAGAAAGGTGATAGAAATTGACAAACTTATCAGCTTGACAGAGTTGTCCTCTGCTGACACTAATTTTGTATTTTGGATACAAAAAGTTATTGCAATGTTTTGACATCTCCATTTTTATTTTTTCTCTTTCTTTAGAAACCTTGCTCTTGCCGGTGCCTTGTTACTTCTCTTGGCTGAATCTCGGTCTGAGCAGAAGAGTCTGTTTGCCGGAGTGCCGACCATGGGAGGGAACACCCCTAAAACATACCTTCAACTAACTGGTCGCGTTCTTCTTGGTTTCATGTTTGCAACCCTGATCAAGTTAAGATTTTCTTTTGTCTACATCTTGCAAGATGTACTAGGTACAATTCTGATGGTCCTCGTGGCTGTAGGGTACAAGACCAAACTTGCGTCATTGGTGTTAGTGCTTCTTTTGGCCATAATCAATGTTTATCTGAATCCTTGGTGGATGTACCACTCCCAGTCACCATTGAGAGATTTCTTAAAGTACGACTTCTTCCAGACCACTTCAGTTATTGGTGGTTTGCTCCTAGTTGTTGCCCTTGGCCCTGGCGGAGTTAGTGTTGATGATTATAAGAAGAAATGGTAAATACATCAAGGGACATTAAAGTATACAATTTTTTTTCCCTATCAATGCAAGTGAAGTCTAAAACTATCTGGATTACAAACTAAAGACGTAGCTTCTTTATACTCCTTTATAAAGCCTTGCACTACATTTGATACATGTTAGCCTTGAATCTGGCAGTATATCATTAGTTGATGTGCAAATCTTTCGCTAAATTTGAATTTTTTTTAAATTCTGTTCTACATGTGTTAGAACTGTTGCAAGAAATTAGAATTGTAGCCATGTTAGAGCTGTATTGCCAAGGTTCCAATCTGCCTCTCAGCGTACAATTTGTTGAGGCATATTGTAACAGGTACTGTCATTTCCTTTTAATTTTAAAACTAGGAGATTTACGTACATAAGTGTATTCTTAAGTTGTGTTTGGGTAATGATTGTCTGTCAGACACAGCTCTCTGTTTACACTTCAGACCTAAATACAGAGTTATATGTTCCTTCTTCTGAGGTGTCTTTGATGAGTAAGTTAAATTATTGTTTTGCTTTGAAATCTATTAGTCATGGAGTTTGCAAGTTTGTCAACAGACAAGAGCTGAATTTTTTTCATACATATTTTTGTTGTTTCAGCACAGATAACATTTACTAACCCTGTGTGGTTTGTCAAAAGATTTGCCTTTACCCTTTAAATCCCTGAAGTGATTCATATGAAACTTCTCCCATTAATATTAGGTAGAAGGTTTTATTCAGATTGAACACCAAATTCTATTATTTTATTTACAAGGAAATGTGTAGTAGCCAGAGGGGAGAATTAACAATCTAATCTTAGGAGTTAAAGGGTTAAGGCTGAAGTGGTTATCTTGGTGGGATTTAATTAACTGTTTGCAGAAGTTACTTGTAGTTTGCTATTTATTTTGCAACAAATCTATGAAACATGAATCAGTGGAATATTTTTCTAGCAGAATTACAAGTGATAATTTTGTAGTGATAGACTCTCAAAATGAACACTCAACGAACCATAACAAAAGAGTTGTAGACTGTAAACTTAAAAAGAGTGCTGGTTTTGAAAGTTACTCTGATTGAATCATGGTGTGATCTATTGGCAGACTAACAATTTAGGATTTAAAAAAAGTGCTGTGTAGTGTTGTGTGCTCCACAATAACATAGTGTGTCAGAGAGTTTTCAATGAGAACTAAAGTTAAATACTACAAGTGTTTGTCTACTTATTAATAAGAATATGTCTCCGAAAGATAGGAAGGAATTTTGTTGCTTAGTTATGCTCGTATGAATACAGCTTCCAGTTTGCTTTCCAATTTTTAAGAGTTAACAGTGATAATAGTCCATTAACCCATTAACTCTCATGAGTGACCAAGACAGTATTTCTCCTTACAGTAATAATAAGATATCAAGCAGACAGGTGATGAGAATAAAGAAAAATACAAATTTAGGAGCTGATCAGTTGATCCAATACTAAATTATCCTAACTAACATTATAAGAATTGTATGACTTATAGTAAGGAGAATTAGTCATGAAATCTTGGGAGAAAAAAGGTAATAATCAGTTGAGAGTTCAGTCATACAATCCATAGCTAGAGGAAATTCACTGTAGAACTCATCCTTCCTTGTTGAAATTGTTTCTTTAAAATTCTTTATTAATTCAAAAGGTAGAAGGTAGAAGATAACCTCTTTGAGATCTTGAATTGTTGAAGGATATATATTTTATTTTTTCATACTCTGTATTCTCTTAAAGAGAGAGAAATTTGCACTTTGTTTGCTATGAATAATTAAATATTAGGTCTTAAACTGCTTCATTGATGGAAAATTTAGCACCCATATTGATCAATTGTAATTATCACAGACTATAGAAATATCTTGTAGAACATCTCTTACACAGGTCAGATCAATTTAATTCTCCATTAAAACAATCAAGAAAGCTAACTCTGAAAGTTGTAAGGTTACTAATAAACATAATTTATAGTTTGATTATTTTTGCAATATCTGTTGTTTATTGTATTATGTAAAGGTATTCTAACAGTTGAAAGTAATTTCAGTTGCTGTAGAGAGCACAATTGACTACTCTAGATGGAACAACACAATGAAAATGTCATTAAAATAGAAAAACTTCCCATCATTTTCACTGGTCTGATTCATCTAGTTAGTAATCAGCAGTCACAAAGAAATTTTGCAAGTGGCCCTAACAAAAAGTCCTGTAGTTTTATTTACTTTTTCTCTTCTTGTTTGTTTGTTTGTTTGTTTTTTTAAAGATTCTGGAACAGCTAGACCTAGTACATGAATCAAGATAAATATTTCAACATTTTAAGTTTTTACATGAGCTTGAAAATAGTGAATTCTAAGTTGTATAGTTTGTATCGAAGAGAAAAACTGTAAAATATAATCTCTCTCTCCAGTCTCCCCACTAAAGAACCACATCGTTTGACAGTGCGTTCAAATAGACTGGGCTTGAGGTGAGGAGAGTTCGTTTTAGTTTTGTGGAAGATGTAATATTCGGACATCATGGCGAAGTTCTATGCATTAGCAGCCGTTTTCCTCCTTCTGCGTTACACTGCAGTGGCAACTAGAGATAGTAAAGAGCAAATCAACCACGAGTGCAAACCTTTTCCTTATCCCTTCTTCGACGCTGTTCCATTTCTTCTCGATTTGATTCGTTGGTTCTTATGGTTCTTCCGCAGTTTGATGAACGCAGTTTATTTTGTACTCGATACAGTAGTTATCACTGCCTGCCAGATTATCTCCAACATCTTTGGTGGTTTCAAACACGCTATCAAACTGGTGGAGTATCTCGGCTACTGCGTTCGAGTGATCTTGCAACTGAACTACAACTTTGTGTCTTCCATTTTCGCATGTCTTTCCAGGATCGCTCAGTATATCAAAGATACAGTTACTTATGTTATCGACGGGACAATCAACGTGGTACATTCTGCATTTCGCTTTCTATTGAACCTTATTCGCGGTATTGTGTCTATAATCCCTACTGGATTTAATCAGGCCTTTCACAGTGCATCCCTCGCGAAGAATGCCACTGGAGTGCTTCTTCACAGATCTTACCTCGGATGGAAGTACATTTTAGGAACTCCTAGCACAGCCCTGACAACTATTGTTACAAGTATAAGGGCTGTACTTGAGTGTGCATTAGTATCAATCTGGAACACAGGTGTACTATTAGTTGATCTGTTATGGGCAATTACAAGATCAGTTTTCCGTGGAATCGAATTCGTTGGGAAAGCTGTGCATACCTGTTCAGTTTCTTGCTACCAAAACTTGATAAACTTTACGAAGCTGCTTCTCGATGGCATGCAGTCTTTGTTGATGGCAATAGGAAAGTGTTTGCTCTGGATGAGTAACACATTTGTGTGGTTTATAACTTTTATCTTCCAGCTCTTTGTGCAAGGATTATATAAAATCTGTTTTACTATTGTATGGCTAATTAATCAAGCTTTTTCACTCACATGTACTGTTTTTGATGTGATAAGTACTTGGTTTCTTCTTTGCCTCAGGAAGCTTTACAATCTCATGACTGCTACAGCACATTGCATTCCAGGTGGCAAGTGGACTCTCCTGAGTCTTGTTTCAACCACATTTTTACTTGCCTATTTATGGTCTGTGTTGAAAATAAATGTGTTTGCTAGGGCATTTAGACTTTTGGAAAACTATATTCAAGCTTTTTTAGCCTTTCTTACCACCCTACAGGGTCCTGACATTTCAAGATTAAAACAGATTTTCACAACTCAAGAGCAATCACACCATTTTTCTGCAGACGGAAAAGACAATGGACTTAGAGAAGAACTCGAAAGAGAACGTGACAAAAACCTTTGTGTTGTGTGCCAAACAGAGAATAAGAATATTGTCGTCATGCCATGCCGTCACATGTGTATGTGCAAGAGTTGCTGCACACAGCTTTTTCATCATCAGAGATACGGCAGACAGACTTGTCCCTTGTGCCGTCACACTGTCACATCAACTCTAGAAATTTACTCCTAAGTGGTGGTTTATATGCACCTCTATCAGGTGCACATACTTGTATCAAGTAAGGGACAACAATTATCTTTCCTAGGATGAAAAGTCTTCAGTATGAAGCAGGAATGAAAGGAAACTTTTCCCACGATAGGTTACCGGTGAATTGGTGCAATTACTAACATCTGGATGACACGAACTACTACATATTCTGTGGAACAGTTCTCTCTAAGAATTATTTTGGTTGTTTGAGAGGTCTACATTGTATTCCTCCATCAAGTGCAATAGTTGCACTGTTCCCACAAAATCAACAGCAATTAGAATAAGCCTACAGCAATTTTTTTTTCACTGTTTATAATGTTCAATATCTGAAACATTTTAAGGAATAGGCCATTTTACAGTTGTGTACTTAGTTGCCAAGCCTTTGATTTGAAGTGAGGCTGTAGGTGACCTTGTTGTGATAGAGACCAGTATCCAATTAGCATGATAACAAAGTAATTTGCATTTGAAAAGCAGCAAGGTTTGTATCATAACAAGGTCACCCTTAGCCTCATTCCTGTTCAAAGGCTTGGCAACCAAGCACACAACTGTAAATGAACTATTAGTGCAAAGAAAGAACTAACCCTAAACTTGGACAGCAAAATATGTGAAGTATCTTTCTTGGAATGCTTTCTTTTTAAATCACACTTCTCAGTTCAAAGCTATGTGGAAAGAAAGAGATAGCAACAATATTAGAGATGTTCTGTTATTATTGTTATCAGTAAGGTAGAGAAAACTTTGAATATTTCTTCAATAAGTTTTGTGGTTTGATTTAGACAGATTTGTCATTAGAGGGTGAAAGGCAGCAGAAACCAACTGGTTGAGACCATTTTGCACCGGCTATGTTGTGATTTGTGATCAAATCTGAAAATAACTATTTTTAACTGATTCCAACATTAGTGTATGTTGAAAAACCTTACACAGGTATGTTCCAGAATCCTGGAAATCATGTCTCAGAGAATTTCAAATTTCAAAATCTTAAAAAAATTTCTAACCTGCCTATTTCAGATCATAGATGTTACATTTTCTGATGACAACCTTGCATAGATATAGTACCTTGTTAAGAAGTCCACTCCAGAGAGTTTCAAAGGGTTGGGTTGCTGTTGTCAAGATCTCAAACCTTGTCAAAGAAACTGAAATAATCACTGAAGAGTAATAACATTGCCGTGCAAAATTCACATCGTGACAAATGAATTAAAACCTTGTGACAAAGAGGGCAGTGAAAAGCAAATGTAAATTTGAGCCTAGAAAAAATTACCTGACATACAAAGCCTATGCCAAATTCTAGGTCATGAGAAATTAGCAGGCAACCACTAGAAGGTAAGATCAGGCACTCTTTAATTTACCTTCATTTTTCCCCTAACTTGTCTTTTTTCACTCATCTGCTCAAGCTGCATGTCTGTATGCAGAACAAGCCAATCAAATTTTTAGGGAGACCTTTCCAGCCTTTCACTCAAGGAGAAAGAAGCTTGATCTTGGTGGGGGGAGGGGGTGGGCCAAAGGCAATGTGGAAAAAATTGCCCAGTGAACAATTAAATCAAAAAGATATTTCCATACAATATACCCCCAAAAAGAAAAAAGACTGTCAAAGGATGAAAATGAAAACACATTTTCACCATGAGTGTTAAAAAAAAAACATATCTTGCCCTCCCCCCCCCCTCCCTCTCCCTTCAATTATTTCTGATGATACTGGCTGGTAATCGTGTGCAGTTAACAGAATCTTATCGTGATAAGTAGTAACCATGGTAACCTAAAGGTTGCTGGGAAGTGAAGTTATGATGGCTCTCAATAAAGGTTAGTGGGATGAAAATTTGGTTTCTGCACCTCTGCTCCATCCCCATGGTCTTTATTGGCGAGACAGTGCGATATGGTTCTAGAAAACCCACTCACGATCGACTCCGATGCCAAATGTATGGCCTGAGTTTGTCTCTCGGTTGACTGAAAAGTTTCCCATTATTAGCTTTTCCGTTATTAAAAAATGACAACCTTCACAGTTAACAATAATGTAATTTTTTTAACGCTTTTTGTATGTAGGTTTAGAGATCGCTGTTTATATATGTGGCGCATTGATATTTTTGTTTGCTTTTTACTGAATTTTTCTTTTTTCACTTGTGCAAACGAGTCTTCATGGAGACTCCGATATGAAAATAGTCACTCGCTAACTGAGAGGTAGACACTGTAGTAATTAGTCGTCCCGAACTCGCCCGAGCGCGAAACCACTGCGCATAGTGACTTTGTTAAATGCTAACCATCGTTGCTTTAAATATAACCTTGCAAGCGAGAAAACCTGGCGCAAGACAAAAACCGTGATTGAATTCAAGTACGTTATGTAAACATTGGCGGCTGGATCTATCTGAGGAGGACGAAAATAATCCTTTGCTCTTCTGACAAAGGAAAACTTGTGAAATTCACTGCCGCTTATGTTTATTTTCAATCAGTCAAAAAGACTTGCGGTCGCATAAAATACGTTCTGAGGTATTTTCGTTCCGAGGCAGAAAACTTAGAGGTTTGGTATCAGGTGCAAGCGGGAGAAAACCCTGTAAGCAAAAATAAGTACGTTAAAATGCAAATGTTTATTGAGCAATTGTGAGGCGAAACGTGACATAAGGATGGAAAATAATGAAATTTGGTTTGTGTAGTTGAAGAAAGATTGGATCACCGCGTCTAAATTTGACGAATTTTGGAAACGAAAATTCGATAAACGCAGGATGCTATTTTGTGCTGTTTCTAAAGACTATCTATGCATTTATTATTCTGCGGAGTTCGATAGTTTCCAGAGTTCTGGATCTCAGCCACTTTTTCGAAAGCTTGGCCTGTGGGATAAGTGCAACCTACCATTGCTGAAAGTTCCCAACCATGTTTCATCTCTAGATTATTGTGCGAGCATGCACGAGTTGGTCATAGGTACTCCTTTATTTTCCTTTTGAAGTGAAACCAATCACTTTCTTTATCATTGAAACGAAAAACGGGAAAATCGCTTTCTTGGATGCTTTTTGGGTTTGCTCTTTTCCAGAAGCTCCAAGAATATGTCTCAATTAATTTGAACAGCTGGCAAATGATGTCATGCACTAGGATCTCTAATGTGGAGAAAGGGGGGGGGAAAGGGCAAAAATAAAACAAAAATTATGAATCACAAATTGTGGTTATCCGCAATTTAACCCTTTGTAAATGAAAAAATAGCAGAAAGCGGAGATGTCCATGACTTTTCTGCTTATCAACAGTATCAATGACTGCCAGCGGCGTCACGATTCGGGGATAAGATCTATTGTCTGTGGTTACTAAACGACGCGAAGGGTACTTTACAATTTAACTAAAGAAAAACAAACAGATAGCTTCCTGAAATGCCCCCGAAGCAGATTGTTTCCAAGGTAGACGTCTGTAAGATAAACGATGTTTGATGTCTGAAACCATTTCCTGAGTTTGCACTGTGGCTGAATGTAAACGGATTCTTTTTTTATGCATCCGCACATAGATGCAAATGTAATTGAGAGATGCATAAGCTCTTTTTTGTTTCGGTCACCTTCAGCTTTTACAAGAGCTGCTTAATTATGCAACGTCCTGTATTGCTTCATACGTTTGAGGTAAGTAGCTGAAGGTTACGATATTAAATATTTTTAGAAGTTTCCGAAATTCCTCCTACTATCGAGAAAAGAAGATTTTTCTACTGAAAATAACAATCCTAATTTACTTTAGCAGACAGCACATAATTAATCGATTTCTTCCAGAGAAACGCGCTTCGAGCAATTACCGACGTAGATGTGAACATCGATGAAACCGCTTGAAACTGTCAGTGGAGTTGGCACCGAATCAGAGAAGCTTCGGAACTACACGAACGTACTCCATCTAAAAAGAGGTAATTACAAGCATGTATACACGCTTGAAATAATGTGTCAATAAAAAAATGCAAACGACATGTCCGTTTACTAGGGTTCTGCACGTCTCCACGCGTATAAATATCGAAAAAAAATGCAATTAAGCACACGCTAGAAATTCGAAGATAAAAAAGCAGAGTTTAGTAATATACTGGTCCGGTCTCCATATCCGTCTCGTATAAACCTTAGCAGGAGGTTGGAGAGTACGTGAAAAAATTTATTATTAAGACAGATTCAAACATTGCAACATGAACAACCAGCAAACAGAATCGGTTTATCTTGGCGGTTATCGGCAACAAATGCGTCCTTAGTTACATGAAGCTAACACCATGCTTTTACAAGTTTAAAATTAAACTATCAACTAATACATAAGCAGGCACAGCAAGTAGAGCAAACAGAGCAAATGATGACTAGAACTGACGTTGAAACAAAACTGAGGTGGAGAGGAGAGGTTATGATACACATAGCTATATAGGACAGTAATTAATGATGTTGAATTTCAAGATTAGGGAATGAGCGGCAACGTAATGATCCTGTAAATCATAATCAGAATGATAATTATTTCAACTGACGTTGAAACAAAAGGTGGAGAGGAGAGGTTATGATAAACAGAGCTATATGGAACAATAACTACTGATGTTGAATTTCAAGATTGGGGAATGAGCGGCAACGTAATGATCCTGTAAATCACATTCAGGATGGTAATGATTTCAGATCCTTTGAGTGTATGTCCTTCTTTCATTTTGAGAAGGTTGTTACACTGGCGAGCAGATTACGAGTGAATCATGCCGCGTTTATCGAATGATATTAGACGTTTAAGTGTCCTGAGTTTGCCAGTACGGTAAACGATAAGAGTTTGCATAACTCATACATGCACGCTCTAGCGTATAAAACTACTATGAAGGTTATCAATTTTGCCCTCATGGAGCCATTTCTATCGTTCACATTTGAATAGAAAGTTTCCCTAATTAATTTTTAAAGGCCGGGTATTGTATTTTATAAGGTTTTGATCATGGAGACACTTCTCAGGATCATAACGGTGATAATACTTACGGTACGTATGCTTTCATCTTACATGAACTAATCAACACAACCGGAAATGGCAAGGGGACCGTTTGTTTTGTGTGTAATATGAAATGCTCTGATTATGATAAAGTTTACGATAGTCGCAATATGAGACAGTTCATTTAAGGTTACAGCGGATCTTCAACATCAAATGATGTGGGAAAATGACAGATTAATGCAAGTGTGTGATGTTGGAAGAGGTGCTTTGAAGAATTGTCATAACGTATGTTTAATTCATTGGCATCTTGTTTTCTACACAGCTTCACAATAAACGATCGCAAGTATCCGCTCACTCGCTACGAGGTATGCTCCAAGGACTGCAGTTCAATCTCAAACGATTCTAAATAAGCTGTAAGAAGGACAAGATTACAACGTTTTGTGATGTGCGGAATTTATACAATTGTCTTGCAAAAATAGTGTGATAGAGAGCGAATGAGAGAGAGAGAAATAAAAACACGAGAGTTCCGACCTTTTTGAAAAAAAATGCGCTTTGTGATTCTTACAGGGCGCAATGTTCACGGGCATTGGTTGTTAAACGGTTCAGACCCAGACGTGAGGTCAGTGAAGATGCCACCATTATCTTTATTTATTTCTTTAACTGTCTATTCTCTTACTTTTATTTACGTTGTGCCATTTTGATTTGTTTGTTTGTTTTTTTTCATCATTCCTTTAACTATTTTTAAAAGCTCAGTCGTACAAAGTGAGAGATTACTGCACACATTGGCTGAGAGGAGAGAAGGGACTTCTTCGTGGGATTTTTCATAGTTCATATGACCAGGTGCCTCATTTGGCGAGTGAATTTGGAAGGGTCACCATATGAAAATTCAAACGTGGGATCCGTTCACTTCCTTTAGTTCAATGGCAGGGGAGGGAAGTAAGTTTGCTTGAAGTACGCAACAAGAAAGCACTTAATACGCTGTTTTATTTTCTTCCTTCTCTTTGTTTATGATATATACTTACAGTTTCTCCAGTTCTGTGAGATTTGCAAAAGGACGCTGTCCACGTACCAAGGCGGCAGACTTCTTCGCGGAGCAATCCTACGCGACAGTACCCACTACAAATATCACTGACTGTGATTTCACAATTGCGTTTTGGATGAAAATCCCCGGCCATCATGATGACATCCTACGTAACACAGTAGTATTCACAGCCATCAGCACTGACGGTAATCCACTTTTCCTATCATTATCAAGGCAGACGGCGGGAAAGATCCATTTTATTTGTGGACAGATGTTGGGCTCCAATGTCGATTCCTTTATCAGGCTAATCATTTCGACAGGACAAATACACTTTGACCAATGGACTCACCTGGCTGCAACTTGCCAAGAGAAAAAAATTAGTCTGTACATTGATGGAGTGGAACAAAGAGCCTTTATCGAAAGAAACACCTCTAATTTTTTCTTCAACTATCTTTTAAGTATGGCAGAGCAGAGTAGCTTGAACAAGTTGTATTACATTGGAGGTTTGCCATCCAACGGAGGACTTAGCATTAGAAGTGTAAAGTTCTTTGGATCGGTAATGGATCTTCACGTCATTGGAGTAGCATTTACTCCAGACGAGATTTACGACTTATACAAGGGTGAGATAAACATACCGCACTAAGGCAACTTTCGTTTGAATGTCGAAAGAAAACGTTGATTTTTTTGCTAAAATTATCCACTTATTTATGATTATTTTTTTATCTAGCCATTTCCTCGTGTATCATTTTACTAATCGCAATGACTGGTTCAAAGACTTCTCAAAATTTTCTCAGCTAATTTTCCACTCTCTAGATGTGACTTGGTTGCACTTAGAGGGTGGAAAAGGTTTATACGTGTTGTGTGATGAACGCCAAAATTCAACTGTGACGATGAATTTTTCGGGAAGGCGAGCGCGATTCGTGAATAAATAAACCAGCGTGACTTCAATTCGGTCTGTATTCATACGAGTGATTAACAATATCGGACGACCGCGGGAGCCCAAAATTTAATCACGACTTTGACCTAAGACAGCATTAGACGAAAGGTAATCCTGTTACCAATAAATCGAAACTATAAAAAAAATAAAAAAGTTAAGCAAAAACTACCTATCGGTTATACCGGTTTTAATGATGAAAAAACAACCAAACAAAAGAAACTGACAACTCGGCGAAAATTACAACATCGGGGCGCGAATATGACGCTAACTGTCCTATTACAGTGTTGAATAACAAGAAAGACACATACACTATCCTTAATTAAAGAGCTCAAATTGGGTTGATAGCCTATTATGTTGTGCTAGGATTTTTTTATAATATTATTGATTAACAAGGAAACATAACTATATTGGTAAGTCCCACGCTTCATAAACAATTTCTCGTCATCCCATAGATTACGCACTAGTCATAAACGTCACATTAACTGATGCAAAGGGAGACATTGTTAACGTCGAGTGGGAGCCGCCGTCATGTCCAGCAAACATCAAGATGTATTTTGTCCACTACAGGGAAATCGATAACAAAGACTGGAATGCAATTGCTGTTTTTTCAAATGTAACTTCCTATGATCTTCAGCTACAATCCTACAAGGAGTATGAAATTACTGTTACCACGAGAGACATTGATAAAGATATTCCTCGTAAACTATGGAGGGTCAGAACTCAAGGAGGTAGGTCCATGTGAGATCATAAACCCGTTCCTGGGCCCAGTAACGTTGTTGTTGAAAGGCGATAGAGGACTGGGGAGAAATGTGTCCTGGTGAAGGATGCAAGCTATTGTGGGAGACTTTGTAAAAGTCTAAATATTTAGATTGTTTTTTGAGGAACTATAATAAAAAAGAGTTCTATGTTGGACCAAGATGCTTTGATGCACCGCGCAATCATAATCCGTGAAAACTCACTCCACAACTGAAACTTGTGTAAGGGAGCCGATTTCTGTAGAGATCGCATCGGTTTTTTGGTTGAGTTATGTAATTTATTTTTATTTACTAACGTCTAAGTATAAGATAAATAAATAATTAACGAAATAAATACAATGAATTTTTGAAGCCAGATATTAATTTATGTGCCTGTTTTATGCTGCGGGCGTCTTTTCGTTTTTACCTTTGTAGATTGCTAATTAAATTGATTCCCCTTGTTTTACAAAAGCGAGTTACAGACCTTCATTTTAGGTTACATAACAGGTTTGACGCAATAAAAACTCGCTTTTCACCACTGATGTGGACAGCTGTAACAATTATTTATTTAACTGATTGTCTTTCAGTTAACCAAACCATTCTAGTAAATCCTGACGAGCAAAATGACAGCACCAGTTACAAAGACAATAAAAGATTAAAAGCTCTAATAATCACTGGGAGTGTCGCAGCTGTGTTTGCGGTAGCTGTCAGCTTGTTTTGCTACAGAAGGAGACAACTTCGCTCTGTTTTGGAGCAAAGGTTTGCAAGAAAAATACTTCACACCATTTAAGCCCGGTGGCTCAGTTAATATAGCGCCCAGTTAGTATCTTGGATGGGCAGGTTCGAACCTCGTAGAAGTCTTAACTTGTTCTAGACATCTTCTCGATTCAGTTTCTTTAATTGCAATTAATTTGTGAGGATCACATCGTGATTTAGTTTAACTTTATTATCGTCAATTTTGCTTTCCATATGTTTAGACCGCTTTCAAAGTCAAAATCTAAAATCGTTCACTTATTGCAATCGGAAGTGATCCCCGAGAGGGTAACTCTGTTAGAAGAACTGGGACAGGGAGCTTTTGGAAAAGTTCACAAAGGAGTCTTGAGAGAGTTACCAAAATCTGAAGTCTTCTATAAACCAAAGAGGGAAAGAATCAACGAAGTGAGCAGAGAAACTGTTGTTGCTGTCAAAGTGTTACTTGGTAAGAGGATACATTATATTTGAGATAGGCATTTGAATTGAAACGGGAGTAATGTTATAACAGAGCCACGTCCAGATTTCAGCGCGTGCGATTGTGGCCTGAGGCCTTTGGAAATGGTTGGCCATTCGAACTTAAAATGTTTGAACATTTTTTTCAGCACGTCTAAGGCCAATTAGCGGAGCTCTTATACGGGCAAACTGCAAGGTGTTCGAAAGGAAAGAGGTTAAGAATTCCGAAAAAAGGGGCGATATAATTGAGATAGAGGGAAAATGGTACAACCTAATTATTTTTAATGGTGTTGGAAGGAGGGTGGGGGGGGGGGGGGGGTTTGCAGGAGGGAGAAGGTAGTAGCATTGAAAAGGAAGGGTTTTAACACTTCATATCACATGGGGTACTTCTGTGTACACCTTGAAAATCTTGTTTAATCTCTTTTAACTCTTATTCAGATACAGCGAGCAAGGACGATAAAAAACAGTTTCTGCAAGAAATTGAATTTATGAAGAAAATTGGTTCTCACAGGAATGTGCTAAGCATGATTGGCTACTGGGAAAGGTCAGGACCAATTATGCTTATCCTCGAGTATGTTCCGCATGGAGATCTTCTTCAGTGGCTACGAAACAAAAGACAGGTAAACAACACTCTCCCATGGTGCCTCCGTATGTCTATAAGATACCGTTAGGATACCGCTTGGATCCAAGATGAGACTTAGGGTGGGATACACGAGCAATCCCCTCAGGTTTACCGCTGATATCGCGGTGATAGTACAAGTGGGCCTTTTGGGCGCAATCCCAGTGCTATGCAAAGAGGTAGGCCTGTCGCGATTGTACTCGGCAACTTTTGGCGTTCAAGGCAATTTTTTGCGGTATTAGAAACCTCAAGCAATTTTTCCTTTTTGGCAACTTATCAAAAAAATCAACGATTTCATAAAAACTTCGATTTGTGCGAATTTCTTTAATGCTTCGCAGGCCTATTATCTAATATCAAAATGGTTTTCATCGTTAATTTATTTTTCATGAACGGAAATGAATAGTTAAAAGTCTCCTTTATTTGCGAACAACTCTTGGAAGCTAGGTTTATTATTGTAAAGAACGAAACCTATAAGAATATATCAAGAAATTTAGGAGGCAACTTTTGAAATTTAGGTAGCAACTTTTTGGATTTTTGGCAATTTGCTAGCAATTTTTTGGAACTCCAGTCAGCAACTTTCTAGCATTTTACGAGTGCAATAGGGACAGGCCTACAAAGAGGTAAATTTGCAGCTCCGGGTAGGATCCCGAAACGATCCCGGGATGTACACCGTGGATATTGCGGCGATACTCCGGGTGAGATCCCGGAAACCCTCCTCACCAACATGAGAATTATTCTCTCGCCAATGGTGAACATATTTTGCCAACCATTTTTTTTCTGCTCCTCTCATTTCTACTTAGTATATTTCTTCGCATCAATATGCTGTAGGCGACCAAACTCCGTTTACTTGTGAACAGCGAAACAATGGGGCAACACGAATAATTGAAAAGCCAAGTAGAATTCAGTTGATAGAAGATGATAACGAAACTCGCCTGAATGAAAATACAATTTCATTGGATTCCGAGAAAACTGAGAAAAATGCGATCCGTCTGAGCGAGATGAACATCAGCTTTTCCCTTGGCAATGAACAATACGGAAATAATAATGAAGGCCTTTCCGCCGAAGATCTGCTTTGCTTTGCGTGGCAAATAACTCAGGGAATGGTGAGAAACCTTGAAATTCTTGTAAATATTGTGAAGTATGGTAAATGATCAATGACTAAAATCTAGCATTTTGGAAATGTTTTCACCGTTGAATAAGAACAAATGTTAGAAATGTTGAGGTATGGTTTTATGACATAGACGACAGATCTTGCTCTGTGAATTTATGAGAACGGGATCAGTGTTATATTGGCACTACAAGAGTGGCCTGTTTCTTTCTTTCTGAGACTTAGAATGAAAGTTTTTTTTGGAGATGAAGTTAAAAAAATGATTCTATTAATTTTTTTCCATCAACACTTTTGGTCAAAATGGTTTTGTTAGTGTTTGATGATATCTCAAAAAGGGAGCAAACTCATTGATTGCAAACAATCAGCACCAAATACTGAGACTTTTACTGCCATACTTAAAACAACCGCAAAATCTAACGCTTTCTCTTCAACGAAACGCACTCTCAGGATTACTTGGCCAGCAGAGGATTTGTTCATCGTGATCTGGCTGCCCGTAATGTTCTTCTCGGTGAGGGCAGAACTGTCAAAATTGCTGACTTTGGACTGTTACGTCGCACATATGGTGAAATATACGAAGTGAAACAGATGAAGAAACTGCCAATCAAATGGTCAGCGCCGGAAGCGCTATTTTACGGAACATATACCTCTAAAAGTGACGTGTAGGTATTTACCTTGAGGTTTCAAATCGCAGGCCTTTAGTTTGTTACAACTAATGAAACGTTTCAATTTTTTTCATTTAGCAAAATAAATAAATACTCAATTAATAATTACTTTTAGGTAAGTATGCTCGTGGCACATAAATACAGGTACAGCGAATGCAGCTTTGCGTAAATTCGGCTGCATATTAGTGAAATTAATTAAAAGTATAATCTTTTTTGATCAAATAAATTACTTTTTAGGTGGTCTTTCGGAGTTCTGTTGTGGGAGATAGCTACTATGGGTACGTAAGAGATTGTTTGTGATTGTGCCTTACGATAGAACGTTAACTATTACATACGTTAAGGAGATTATATTATCGTTCTTATGGAAGATCTAACAAAAACAGCATTTATCTCTCTTTCGAAAATCATTATTTTTAAGAGAGAATTTTTCCAAACTGAGTTCTCAGTTTTCTTCGAAAATCAAGTATCTTGGACTATGGGGTTTTCGTTTCAATTAGCTCACTTTTCCTGTGTCCACAGGGAGTGATATATATTACAATCAAATTATACTTTATCATTAAACTTTCAACTCCGAATATTGCATTTCTAGTGTTCTGATTGGTTCACTCAACTCCGGTTATCAGCTCATATTCCGAGTCACCTAATATGGAAATTTATGACCCAACTGTTGCGGAAAGGAAAAAAGGTGTTAAATATCCAAACATTTCGGATTCAATAAATTTTTCCAAAAACATTTTGGATACGAGATTGGTTATGGCCATCTCGGCGCCACGCGCCTCGTTGGCTATTTACCAACTTATATCCAATGCACGCTAATGGAATAATTGTTAAGTACTGGTTTATTTCATCAATTGGAAGTTTCTTCAGTTGAGGTGGGAACTCATTGTGATGGTATAGCTGCGATCAAAAGTGATGAGCGTAAATAACTTTTGAAATAGTGGTGCAAGACGAGTTGGAAGACATTAAACTGTAATTATCAGAAGATATGAGAAGAGTGTAGCTGTGTAGTAGAGTTGGATCTTAATAAGTCTTGTGGTATTTTGTTAACTGATCCGTTATGTATACAAAAGGTGGCATTCCATATCCTGGCATTAGCAATAAAGAGATATACAATCTTCTCAAGACTGGATATCGGATGGACAAACCAGACATGTGTTCTAACGAAATGTGAGTAGCTTTGCCTATGGCTGTATGTTTAAGAATCACTTTTAATGACAGATGTCAAAGTTACCTCGCTAGTTTGCTTTACATTTAACTGGAAGACTGCTTCAAGACACCACAGAGCATTGTAAGTTATGTTTTTACTTGAAAGTCAAAGACTCTCTTTGCCGGTCATTGAGAAGCCATATGAAGCCGTCAACGATAATCGTATGAGTCAAAATTTACATGTGTTATATGAAGAAAATCCCCTTTTTTAAGCGTTTATTTGCTCGAAATCTAAGATAAACTATTTTCCGTTTTGATGCCGAGTCCCAGCGACCCAAATGTTATTTCCCAGGGAAAACTCGGCAGATGTCAGTCAACTTTCCAATTAGAGCTTCAGGCTCCACAATAAGTATAAGCATTTTTATCTCATCAGATACAAGTTAATGCTGGAATGCTGGAAGGAAGATCCTTGCGAAAGACCGACATTCAGGGACGTGATTAAAACGCTGGAAGAAATAATGACTAAAGACACTCCTTATTACGACTTCGACAAACTGGACGAGAATGATGCTTGTTACGAACAATTCATTTCTGACAGCAGTGACACTTGCGATCCAGATACTCGGTTATAATTTGCTAGTTTCAAATAATGCAAATGAGCTAAATCTTCAAGGGGTGCATGTCCTTCGTCCGCCCTTCCCCCCCTCCAGACGGTACACCATTTCATTAACATCAAGCATTTATCAGGTTTTCCTGACAGTTCAACAGTATTGTTGTACTATTTGGACCTATAGGGACTCCCCTTAGGTAGCCCTGATGTTTAATGGTTGTCACCCCCCTAGAACAGCCATGTACGTTTAGTGAAAGTACTAGTACTATGAGTCTCAAGCTAGTTCAACTGCTAAGGTAATTACGATATAAAATGAACTTAATTCTCGGCTCTGTGATTGGTCGTTGCATAGAGGGCACTTGTTGTTGAGAATGACGTAATAGGAAAGTTACATTTTTCCTCATTCGTGTGTTCATATCGTAATTTCTGATCTATAACCAAATAGACAAATGGAAAAGAAATGTTTTTGATGCTTTTTTCTTCCTCTAGAGCTTAATTCCTTACATGAGAAATCTTGTCATTACTTATCATTAATTAATTTGCACAAAAAAAGCATCTTGCGCTATTTGTAATTTTCCCCCATGTTACATGAAAAATGCACTAGTTTTCAGCCAATCAGAAGTGCGTGTTTTTTTCCAAACTTTTATTACAATAATAAATGAAAGAAAATGATAATGCACCAAACCAGTGTGGTGTCCCCTCCCCCATTAGTGTAAATTGTCCTGGGCAACACACAACCACAATGTGTAACTCTGTTATCAACACTACTTTCCCCAAAAGGATTGATATTGCATTACAGCTGATAATGAGCATCCAGGAAAACATTCTTGGAAAGTACAAGAGCAATTCTGATGTCACTCAAAGGGAAGATACTTGACTCCAATACCTAAAAAGATTTGTTGTAATAAGAGTGAGACTTAGTAACATACAATTTTTAAAATGCTTCTCTAGTTTGACAGCTCAAATTTTGATGACTTCTTACTGCGCCTATAGCAAGTTCATGAATACAGCAAAGGAAACAAGCCAATGAAATGACGGACTCTTTTGGAAAAAGCCACACAAGAAAAGAGTCATATTCTTTCACCACATTTCTTTTTGAATCTTTATTTGGAAGAGAAAATTGCAAAATAAAGATTACTTAAGAGACATTAAGGTGACTATGAAATATTACCATTAGGTACAATGTAATGTATGGTGTACCACTAGCCTTCAGCTAGACATGTTCAGAATGTGTTGACTGAAGTACCTTACAGTGACATGCAAACCCTGAAGTTCAAAGCTAACCTAACAATTTGCACTTTTCCAATGAATAAAGTGACAGACATCCAAAGTGAAAAATATAAAATGGAGTGGAACAAGATTTTCAAGCATTTTGAACTTGATGAAATTGTCATCACATTTACTGAAAGGTCTGTAGCAAGGGTAATTGTAGCATAAAAAAGGGACCTTCTATGACAAGTCTTGAACACAACTGCTCATAAATTAATGAAATGTGACATAAATAATAACACTAAAGCACATTTTTCATTCTTTAAAGTTTATAATAAGCCCAATTAGTAATGCTACAGATCATAACATATTTAAATGAATAGAGTTAATCACATCACACTCCAGCATATTTCATAAACATGCCACATAAAATTTTCATTTTAAATAATACAGTATTTACACAGATAAAGAAGATACCATCTTAGTATCCACACAGTAGTTACAATGGAAAGTTACAATAGTAACCATAACATCTTGGTTAAGCATCTATCATTTCAAAGCTTTAACATTCCTGCTCCCCCCCAGATGACCCTAGGGCATTTGAACTTTCGAAGATTAACTTGTTCAAATTCCTTTCTTTAAATGCCAGCCCAAATGACAAATTTAATGATCTATTTTTTGTACAAGGCAAAACCAGCAACTATGCCTCTCTACACACACACTGTAGACCAAGCTTCAAAACCAAGACCTTGTAAACCTATCTCTTCTGAGCCATTCCCATGTAAAGGTGAACTTTCTACCTTTAAACATATCCACATTTAAAGATAAAATACTTGTAATCAGCTGGGAACAGACAATGGTTAAATGCCTGTATATTTCCTAAGGGGATGGGGGGATGTTAAAGCTTCAAATTGATTGGCAGGAACACTTTCTATCACATTGGAAGGCACTCGAGAAAATTACAATTATGTTCTTGACATGTTTGATTGTGACTGTAATTTTATCAAAAGCAAAAGATCAAGAGAAAGGTGGTAGGAAAAGATGGGGGGCTTACCAGTGGGAACACTACTATTTAAGGGGAATAAGGTGGTTTATCAATTACCAAACCTACAGAACATCCTGTTATACTTGGAAGTGGAATACCTTAAGTATTTAACTCCCTAGATCTCAATAGTAATTCTCCTTACTGTCTGCTATATTGTTCTTGTGACGTTAGTTTGGAGACTTTGGTATTGGATCAACTAATAATTCCCTGATTAATATTTTTCTTCATTCTCATCACTTGTCTGCTTGATATTGTATTGATATTGTAAGGAGAAATTCATCTTGGTCACTCATGGGAGTTAAGGGTTAAGACTAAAATATAGTTTCTGTTTACAAAAATATTGGTGTCTCACAAATTAAGTGGCTTACTAGTGACAGAAGATTATGAGCAGGATTCAAAGTCATCTATCTGTACCTTGCTTCCAGGAGCTCATCAAGGCTATCATCTCCTTTCACAAGAAGTGTTTTCATTTTACTATTCCTTGCCTCTGAAATGTTTGTTTCATCATCATCTAAGAGAATAACTTCCTCCCTTTTAATTTTCACTTTGTGGTCTTTTTCAATCTGTTGAATCACAGACTGAATATGCTGTTGTTTTCCTGTATGAAAAAAAGGATTGAAAATTCAAATTATTGTTAAATGATGTTGAAATTATTGTGACATGTTCAGTAATAGAAGCAAACTGCACACAAATGACAAAACCAATTTCTGTTCAACAGCTGGTCACACCTGAGTCTGACTGATAGACTTCAGGAAACACAGAGCTCAGCTAATGCCAAGTGAATGTATTTTAGAGATTAATTCTTAGTCCAGTTGGATGAGATACAGGCCATTAGTCAGTCCTGGATTTCCATTGATCAGGCTGGAAAAGCTATCACTTACCTACACTCAACCCTCATGAGTATAAGTTAGGAGACAATTCCTTCTCAAACATTTAATTTTTGACACCCTTTTAGCAAATGGATTAAGATATTTTCTTCAGAGAAGCTTATAAACTTTGAACCTTTGCACTCTTTTTATCTATTTATTCCTTCATTTATCTGTTTTGATTAAAGTGTAGATTCTTGCCATCTTGACTTGGGGGTGAGATATGGGTATTATTTTCTTCACCCTAAACTCTTTTAAATTTCTCGCATGAGAAAATAAATAAAAATTATCAAAATCACGTGATACCTTCTGAAAGTACTTGCCTACCGCTTCTCTTTGTTCCCTGTTCATTGATATGTTAACGGCCAACGATTAATTACATGTATAGGTTGATGTTCACTTATGTCTTTCTCGGTTTTGAATTTTTACCTGCACTTCTGCTTTTGTTAGTTACTGCATTACAAGTGTTGGTTCGGCACATGTAAGTTTGACGTTTGAACCGGACACAGAGTTCGCTTACTTAGAAAGAAATCTAGTAATAATCGATCCAAACTGAAATGTAAGTAGCGTCTCGAGTGCGCGGTGTTTTATTTCTACTCTTTTCGATAGCGTAAACAAACCATCGATAACAGAAATTTGCAAATGAATGCAAGTACCTTCCTTCGAAACTCCTTTCACTTCCTTCCATTCTCCATCTGTACCTCTATAATGTATTCTACTGGTGTCACATTCAGGCAAAGCTTGCTCCATAACCTCACGTATAAGAGGAATCTGCGGCGATTTCGTCACTATCGCTACGTGCAAGTCGCCACAACTCAACGCCGCCTTGAAGAACTGCTTGAAAGACGGCCGCACACGAGGAACAAGACTTTTACTAGAAAATTGCCACACACCGCACGTATGCATATTGATAATCGTTTGATCAAAGTCCACTGCTACTAATTTGATGTTTAACGAAGTAAGCTTTTGAACAATCCTGACATATTTCTCCATTATCTGTCACTAGTTTTAAAGATCGTATGCGATATGCCGTGCTATTTCAGTTGACTACTGTTACCCAGGTTTCGTCCAGCGGTCAAAATTAACGGACGACAGCTACTTGATATACAAAGGCATGCCGTGTAACGCAAGTAACTTTGAAAATCTTATTCCTTCCTAAAAGCGCAAGAATTGTGAAAGATTACTTTTTGAAAGACTATCATATCGAAATCCTATGATAAAGAAATGTCGAAATCGTTCACCACAGCCCGACTAAGTAAACTGAGACACAGCTAGGATTGACTGGTGGCATTAAAAAATTAAAGGGAGATCGGGACTCTGAGACGTGACGTAACGACACTTACGTTACTAAAGAGGTAAACAAAAATATCGTCAGTATCCTGTCAAGTGTCTTACTAAACGTGGCAAAGGCGATTCTTGTATTTTTGCGCGACTGTCATATTTTAAAACTTGCTGGTCTGAACGATCAATTCTCAAATTACCAGAAACATTTTTGAATCGTTGCCATGTTATCCTGAGATGGAAATTTTTAGATTTATCAAATCTTTATTTGGAAAACAGTTTATTGCCTTGCCTTATAACTAATCCAGCCGTTTTTTTCCCCAAAGCATAGGTAAGGGCTGTGTAACAGATCGCGTCTTCGAAAAAGAAACAATTAAAAAAAAGGAAATGGCTTTTATGAACTTTACCTCTCATTTCTCACTGTCTTTTGAATTGTTCACAAGAGTTGATACATAATGAAAGAATCTATGAAGTGTTTTTGGTTAATTGTTCCAGTACCGATGGAAGGTGAAAGCCGTTTCTTGTTTCAAGACAAGTTGGTTTGCAATTTTTTTTTGGACCTAAATCCCAAATCACGACTAAATGATTATTTCTACTCAGTCTTGCGGTTGGGCTACTCGATAGCAACCCTCCCCCCCCCCTCCGCCCCTTTACCCACCCAAGTGTATCTTCAATTGTTCCACAAAGTTCGCAGACATCCTTCCACGTTGTAAAAAGGGAGACTGTCCAACATCTGAAAAGGATCATCCCAGCCTGGTATGCGAACGGGGAACTTATGATCGAGGGTGCGCTGCTGGGAAAAATAGGCCATCAAGTTTCCCCATTTGTGTATCATATATGCAAAAGTCAGTAAATATTCTGTGAAATGCTCTTTAATTCCGACACACTTTAACACTATTTCAAACGGGAAATTCGGGAAATCAAAAATAAGTGATCACACAAAGTTGCCCTTGTTGAAGGAAAAAACCGTAAATATGGTGATTCCCATAATAGGCAAAAAAAATAAAAAATAAAAAAAACACACGTAAAGCATTAATCTAGTTCGATGATCAGATAAAAGTGAACAAACATAGCACAAAATCTTACCCCTGTTATATGAAAAAATTTAAGTAAATCTACAAGTTTTGCACCCTTTAACCCATTAAACTTTTTTTTGGTACTTTTCTTGTTTTTGATTTTTATTCCTGTTTTGTAAGTCCAGTTGACCAGTCCGGTATTTAATGAATGTTTTGACCTCTTAAAAAGAACATTCTTCATCTGGTTCTGTTTCTTAGTGTTTGCCCTTTTGGGAATTTTTAAACACGCGATTCTCGTCTCGTGCTGCCAAGAAAAAGTTGTCATTTTCCTGTCGCCTGGCAAGCATCCACCAAGGCTTGTTTCCCCAGTGATCGCCGCCAGTATACGAGTTGTCTCCTTGCCAGTACTGATCATTTGACCAATCAGGGAGCCAGAATCCTGGTTTGCAAGGCGCATAGGCGCATTTCAAGGGAAGAGAAATGGGCTTTACAAAGCTGGCACCATTGTCGCACGTAAATATGGCGGTGGTGTTCTTAAAGACAGTAGGTCGTGGACACATGGGGACAGAGATAGGAGTTTGGCTGACACGTCCAGCTTTCATTCTTATGATCCTCTTCTCTCCAAAGCAGGTAAGGTCATGAACAATTGTGTTACAGGTACCATCACGGACAAAGATCACGTTGGTGTAAAACTCGCCGCGAATGGATTTACGACTGTGCATCAGTGGACCAGTTTCCATGAAATGGTTGGCCATTTTACCGCCATGCATTGGCTCGTTCATGAACTGCTGTTTGCCCATCATCTTCATCGTTATCATCATTGACTTGGACGAAGGCTTAAAAGGATGCATTCCCATCACTTTTGAAGGCGTCATGTATATTTTGTCCACGCCAGATGTCATCATGGGTCCAAACTTCATCATATGTTTCATACCGAACTTTTTTGGTCCGGCAGACATCTTAGGATGTGGAAACATCCTTCCTTGCATTGTTGGCATCACTCCGTGCTTCATAAGTCGCATGCCAGGCTGAGAACCCATCATAAACCCATCCATGGATCTCATATGATCATGGTGATTCATATGTCCTTTCATGCCGAATTCCATCGTACTCGTTTGCATTTTGCCCATAATCCGGCCGGTTTTCCGGGATTTTGGCTTCCAAAGAGTAATCTTTTTCACACCACCCATCAGGATCTTCTTCCCTCCGTGTTTTCCTGTTATTTTTAGATAGTCAGGTTTCTTAGGAATCTGATAGCCTTGGAACATTGGTCTATCGTTCTGTTGGAAAGGCAGTTTTTCTATTTCTACGGGTTCTTCATCCCAGCAGTTCTCAAGACACACGTTGTCACCCTCTAGACAATCATCACAGGCGGGCCTGTCCTCTTCATCTCCGTCGCATTCTTCCCCAAGGCAATCATCAGCGTAATATTTCATTTCTTTCACTTTAACTGCCGAGGAAATACAAGGAAGAAAGATTTAGGAACAAGCACATATGCAACGATCGAATCGAGGTAAGCTATGCCATGAAAGATGATCGGTAGCGTAACGTCGTTCGTGCGAATGCTCTGCGAGAAAACGACTGCTCCTGACATGAATTCATTTTCTCAGAAAGTTACCAATAAGCCGGAATTCTCTCAGGATCATAGCCAAATCATGCATCTACAACTATTCGAAACATAATTAAAACACGCGAGCAAAATTAGGCCATGATCATGACACCAAGGCTGTGAAAGCATCGGGTTTCATAAACATCAAAGAATGTCTTTAGCCGAGCAAAGGCCTAACCTACGCCTGCATCTTTGACCTAAAGTCTGCCAATTCAAGATGTATAACGGTCGACTAAGTACAATACCTTCAAAACGTAATTAAAAAGATTGTGTTGGAAGGATGTATTACCTGGTGGTTGCACGAGGCTTTCCATGGCACGAAGGAACATCGGGCCAAGTCTTACTTGGTAGGTCTGGTTGACAAATGGTATAGGTGTCAAGCTCTCCATGTTCTTGCTGAATATGCAATCTTTGAATACCTGTTGTGGCACGACTTTCTGAGCTTCAAGCAAGGCTTTGGTAACCTTCCATCGCCATATGCCATCGTGCATGTTACAGGTGACGAGTGCATGGGAAGGTACACGACCAAAGTTGCATTTTTCATAAGAATCAGCTCCAGTGTACTCTACAGTTTTACCATCAGGGCACAAGAGAACAAAGTCGTCTTTACTATAAGAATTTTCTATGATGGTATCGTCAAAAGTGTAGGCATCGATGAAAGCAACATTGCCATGTTTCTTCTCGAGACACTTCAATGCTCCTTGGTAGCCGTAGTAATCTTCGATGCTAGAATCCATGGAGCATTTCTTGTCACCTTGGCCAGCACAGAGATCACACAACTTTTCACGGTATTGTCTCATGTCGATGTCGTCATACTGGAGGTTCTTCCATTCATTCAACAGCCAATAGTAACGAGAGCACAAGAGGGTAAGTCTACGGAGGTACAACAAAATGAATATTTATTAATAAATGTCGCTGGACTAAAATTACTGAGACCCAAGGATTATTAGAATCACTGGCTTAATGTCATATTTGACTCTCTAAAGCTCTCAAAAAAACTGGAAAATGAAACAAATTAACCGCATATACGAGTTTTGGAAATTATAATCTATACAATAACTTATGTTATTCGTACTTTAACGTATTAGCTTCAAAAATCTCGATAGCTCTTTGTTCTTTTTTCGCAGTAAAAATAAAAAGAGATAAAACCGAACCCCACACCCCTTCTCCCTTATCAGATCTGTGGGTCTCTTCACCTTTCGTCGGACATCAAAGTTCTTGGGACAGTGAGATCACTAGTTACTAGCCTATTTGAAGTATTCAAATGTATTTTCGTTAAAATATTTCTTAGCATATTTAAAAACTTCAGGATTCGTCCTTGATTACCTGATAAAAGTATCCTTATGTAAAGACTTGTCATATTTATGGTAATCTTGAAACTCTGCGTCCATCCAGGACTTAAATGTCTTCCAGTCTTCATCCGTCCACTTCTCAACGTAAAACGCCAAGTCTTCCTTTTGATCCCAGGAGCGCTCGGCCCACATCTGAAAGAACGCCCATTGCTCTTCTGTCCAGTCTTCAGGTTTGTGCCAAACCCACCCGATCATCTTCCACTCAGGCATCTTAAAGCCATAGAAATCTTTCAAGCCTTCGTAGTTTTCCCACTTGAAATCCTTCCCAGTCTATCGTGCAAGAAAAACGACATGCAAATGTGTATTGAAGTTGCACATGCTGTTTAAAAACTACATTTTTGAAAACCGATTTTCCTGATCTTCACAAAGGTAAATGGCAGGCAATCAGTTCTAAGAGATGATTGAATAGAAAGCCTAATAATTTTTATTTCTAGGAAAAATACTTCAGTTAGGTTTATCTTTTGCAAGACGGGAAAGATTGTTCTTAATTTCAGTGAGAGGAAGCACTTGAGGATAGCCATCATTTTCAACAGGAAGCTGGTGGACATAAGATTTGAGAGCCTGGTAAGATTTTGGTTTTACAGCTAGTGGGACCATTAAATTGGAGGAGTTGGATGTTTCTGAATGCCCGTTTTTCAAAGCACCACTTACATTTTCGTGCAAATCATATTCAGTAAGCAAGTGTGCGATTCTCTTGGTCTTTTTCAATAATCTACCCTTCAGGAATCTGACTTAAACGCGGTCTCACCAACTGAGACTGTTGTAGTAGGACATTAAAACGGTCTAGATTCGTTTATCAGCCTCTCTTTAAGATATATTTGGTTTCGATATAAAGTATTTACCTTCTCAAGGATCTCATGAATCATCGGTGTGTAGTGTTTACGCATGCGTGGATTGAAAGAGCCCATTTCTTCAATCATCGCCTTAAACTCTGGACATTGAAAGTCCTCGATCTTGTGCATGGCTATGTAGTCGACACTTTTACCGTCCTGCTTGTCTTGCCACAAACGCCAGAGAGGGGCACTGAACCAGTCCTCCCATCTTACAATCTTGTCCTTGGACATGCCTATCCAGTTCAGTGTGCGTGAAAGCAGTGGGTGAGAGGTGAGGTCCATTTTGTCAATACCGGGCACGCAGCTCTTGCCAAAGTATTTTCTAAAATATAACAGAGCTTTAGGGTTAGACTAACTTCGTATGAGGGAGAAAAAAAAAGAGATTCTCTATGTAACATTTTTCCAATCTTCCTCAAAACTCGCATTTTTGTTGCATGATTGCGTATAAATAATGAACTAACCCAATTGATTCCAAAGGCGTGGGCCTTCTTGGTACGGTGCCATTAGCCATAAGCCAGCCCATAGGGTGCAGGAATCCACTGAGTTTGTCCACACCTCCATTGCACATTTTCAAACCCTTCATCTCTGGAAAATCGTTCTTGATGTCTTTGCGCATGACACCGATGGTGATACTTTCTGTCATTGGATCTTTACTGTTAGAGCGAAAGTGAAATTTTGGCAGTAAATAAATAATGCGCACTGGTATATACATTAAAGTCACTTAATTAAAAGGCAGGAAACGGCAAGTCCATGAAATATGTCGCTTTTGTCTGCATCGTAAAGCTTTCTTTTTTTTTCCCTGAGTTAAAGATTCAACATTTTTTCACGCTCTCATAGACATTATTGCAACATGTTCGGCAGCGCTTCTATAATTTGAAGGTCTTAATTCAATTTGCGGCTAACCGCAGTTCTTGATTCACGCACATTTTTGGGACCTACGACTAGGAAGTATTTGCTTTTCGCACTTTCAGCATTTTCGAAATAGGCGGTGGTTTACACACGAGTTTCCTTTAGGTAGAATGGGAGAGAGTCTTCCCTTAATCCTGTTATTTACACCCTAAAGATATCTTCTGATGGCGATTTTTTCACTCGTTATTGTTGCCTAAAATCTTTTCCTTGTCGGTATTTCCCCGCTTATCTCATTGAAACACAAATCTAAGATTTAGATTGTCATCAAGCTGCACAATTGTCATACTTACTCCTTGTAATTCTCCGCAACTAAAGGAGCCAGATTGAAATCCATTCCTGCCACGAACATTTCGATCGCGTTAAGATCGACCATATCAGCTTGGCCATAAGCCACCATTTCTACGCACTCTTGCTTAGAAGGTGCCTCTATACAGCCCCAGGACACTTTTTTGACCTCTGTTGATAAACAAAAACGGTAACCGGTGGCTGAGATAATTTTATCTTAGTGACAACAATAGTGATACAGCTAAAAGCTAGTTGAAGGAATTCGTGGCAAACCCTATCTTAAGTTACTAAACAGCATTAATCTAATTCAAGAAAACTGCTGTTAGACTTCTTTCTTTTGCTTCAGAATGGCACAGGTTTTGAGGATGATCTACGTTCACTACATCGTGACAATTGCCAAGGGAAAAGGTAAGTGTTTTCTTCTAGAACTTTTTAAGAACTGTTTGAGAAAGTTGGCCATGAAATACGGTCATGATCCGAACATTGCTGCAAAATATTTCCCGACAAAAGTTCGCAATAATCTGCTCTGCAAACGTTAAAACTTACCAGTTATCGTTTGGAATTTCTTGATCATATCCTGGCATTTTTGCATTTGGTCGTCTCCAACAACACAGATGAAAGCGCGGGGTTTGGGCTCTAACTGCTCGCAGGTTTTCCACACACCGACCATTTCATTGCCAAGGAAATTGTCGTAGGTTCTTTCATCCTAAAAGAAAAGAAAATAACGGTTCTGAATAAACGAAAGACCCTCCTGAGCTTGTTGTGGTGTTCTTTTCTTGTTTCGTTTGCTTCTTACCCGTTTCAGTTGCTGTCAACCTAAGACAACCAAATAGCTTTCTATGATCACTGGTTAAAAGTGTATCTCATGTCAGCGGCAAATGAAAGTGTGTGTGTGGGTGTGTGTGTACTGTAAGGAATTAATTACGCCCCCTTGTGGCAGCGTTAAGCAAATAACTATCAAATCAGAGCTATATATTGCGTCTCGTATACATTGAATATTTGCAGAGAGCATAATTATTCAGAGTTGGAAATTTTCTGTACTTTCCCTTTAAGCTTCGATTAACGCTGAGTGATTTCCAAAATTTCAATTTCATCTCGTTTTATTTGATTTGTCACTAACAATTTTTCCGTATTCTCTTATTCCTATTTGAATATATAATGTCTAGAGCCACCTTAAAGGACCACGTATTGACAATATCACCGACATTACCTCTGGAATAGGTTTCAGAGAACCAGAATAGTCTTTGAAGATTAGGTCCTTTTTCTTCATGACATTTTCGTCCCACTTGAATAGCCCGTCCGTCAGCTCGCTTCCTTTCTCATCACTGTCATCCTTCGTGCAATATGGGGTGGAGTCAAACAGACCAAACTCACCGCTGGTTGGTGACGAGAATTTTGTTGAGGCGTCGGTGAGAGCATCAACACATTTTTTTATCCAGTTCTTCGGTTTCTTACCATTTACCATCAAAACCTGTGTGGGCAAAGAAAACGCTGTGTGTTATGCGAGAACAAATGATATTTGTTATATTATCTTAATAGAATTTCAAGCTCTTATTAACGTATAAAATAAATTTGTCTTAAATTTGAAAATCAGCAAGTCGCCCGAACCATTCACCTCAATAAGAAATATAAGATATTCTACACAAGAGTTAAATTTATCCACAACGCTAAAGCTCATTGTGGTTCCTTTGGCGTGAAAAGACAATTGCTTTTCCTCCCGCAGGAGATGATAAAGCAAGTAGCTTCCCCCCCCCTCCCCACCCCTCCATAGTATTGTGCAGGGTTGCCATAACAGATTGTTCATACCCGTTTTATACTCTTGGATGAAATGGAGCACTGTGAAAGGGTTTTATAAACACAAACGAATGTCTTTGGCTGAGCTTAGGTCTAACCTCGCCCCGGATGTTTAGCCTTACGTCTGCGAATTCAAATACATAACAGCCGCTGAAGTCAAATACCTGGGGATGTTCCTCAGTTAGACGACATTCTGGTGTCATAAAGTTTTGCCATGTCAAAGTACGCTTCCCGTTCTTGCAAACGATATCAAACTCTTGTGAAAATGTGTCGTACTTCATCAAAATATCGCGCGTGTGGAAGAAAGCCACATCGCCTTTTCCGTCTTGAAGGCACTTCAGTGCCCCGTCACATCCATAGTACGGCTCCTTGTCTGAGAGGGTCTTGCAGAACTCCTCATCTTTATCTTGTTCTCCTGAGTGAAACACACACAAAAAAGAAGAAATCCCTCAGATTTGTTGTTGCATGTTCTTTTTTTCGTTCTTTCTTCCTTTCGTTCTTTCGGCCTTTCTTTTTTTTCTTTTGTTTTCTTTTTCTTGCTTTTTTTTCGCTATATATTATGCATGCAAAATCACAATTTAAGCATAAAGGCACGTAATAATAGTGACTATCTGGATGATGCTAGTACGTGAAAGACGTCGTGAGAAATCGCACATGAAATCTCACTTTGCCACAAGACCAAAGACTTATCTTGCAGCAAAAAGAAAGTTAATTAGAATTATTTAAATAGTTTGATCTGTTTGCCTAATGAAAAACTTTTTAAAATACTGTGTACACAGCAGGTATGTATGTGTAAAGTAGTATTCTGAGAGCGGCCAAAAATAATCGGAAGTTATATATGCAGTAGATTCATTCGGCCACATGGATTTAACCCCTTAACTTTCATGAGTGACCCAGACAGAATTTTTCTTCACAATATCAGTAAAATATCAAACACACTAGTGATGAGAATCAAGAAAAGTATAAATAAGGGGATTTTTAGCTGATCCAATGATAATTCTTCGAACCAACGTCATAAGAATTGTACGACAGACTTTAAGGAGAATTACTAATACGATTTGGGAGTGAAGGGGTTAAAAAGATGTAATCTGCAAAATTCCCGTGAATACCTAGTCATGTCTTTCATTATCTTTTCATGTTCTTGAGAAACGCATTATTAATACGATCGAAGATCCATTTGATAATTCTTAAGAAATTGCGAAATGCATAATAGCTGTAATTACTCGTTGAGAGAAAACAATATACTCACACACAACTATCCTTGATCCGAAACGAATCCATAAATAACATTATGAGAGTAAACTTGTTTTGAATGATTGCTTACATATCTGATTTACATGAGTCCCTGGTTGTGTCACGAAGAAATCTACCTGATCCCCTCATAAAGCCCTGTCATATTCTAACAATCTCCCCTCCCCCCCCCGTCCCATCCTCACTGACAGTTAATTGGCAGTTAATTTTCTAAATTCCCGCCTTTATACTCTGTTGGCGATGACTGATTCCCCTATCCCCCCGATAGCTATGCGATCCAAACAAAAAACTTCCACCCCCCTCCCCCTGACACTCCCGATTGTCATCGGCAACTTTTGAGCGACAACTTTTGGCGTTTGGAGCAACTTTTTGTGATTCTAGCTACTTCGAACAGTTTTTGCTTTTCTAAGCAATTTTAACGCAGAAGACGAACCATGTGTTTTGTTCCTTTAGACCTACGGTAGGTATCCTTAAATAAATTTCGCCCATATTGCGAGCAACTCCTTAAAGCTAAGTTTCAAGCTATTTTCCTTGACAGATGACAGCAATTACTGTGAATAACGAAAAATAAAGCCTTGAGTAAACGGTTACATAAAAGTTTTAAAGAATTTATGAAGGCAACTTTTAAAATTTAGGTAGCAATTTTTTGGATTTTTGGAAATTGTTTCGGAAAATGTTTTGGTATTCCATTGAGTAACTTTCCACATTTTTTACAAGCATAAGGGGAACTCCCCCCCCCCCCCCTCGAAAAGTTGCGGTGCATCAGAAAACAATTTTGAACTCATGCAGAGGATGACCTCTTTTGCAGTCATCTCATTCGATATCATTCACGAGCCACGAGTCACATGAACTAAGTAAGCATATGCTTTCCCTGATAAACAAAAGAAAGGAACTAATTATTTTTGGGTGTCACTTTACAGCGAGTTTGAAAAGAACTTTCGATCGCCCTCAAATGCATACCCGTTTTTCTTTTCTTTATCACCCATAACGAGATCTGAAATAATACTTTTGGATAACGGGTGATTTTCCATTTTATCTGAAAACAGGAAATGAACTATTGGCACTAAAGCACTTGAGGTTTCTTTTTTTAAAACAAACGGAAGATCAGGAATCTCAAAAAAAAAGCGAAATTAAAGAGTACTTTCAGACAAGTGTGCGATTTGATTTTCCGCATTTAGTGAGCACTTTGTCTCAACTTTTTTATCAAACAGAATTCTGCTGAAATGTAATTTCGGCCTGGGCTTGTACATTTGCTTTTAAGTCGAGTAAAATTTCGATAGGATTTAGTTTTTAGTGTTAATTTCCGGCCCTCAAATTAAAAAGGGTCATGTTGCTACAGAACGTGATGTAAAAAATCTGTTTCTTGAAACTTCAACTTCAGTAACCTCCTTATCGCACGCATACCTGAACAGATCTTTACGTTCATTTTTTCCAATTCAATATTGCGTACACAGATCCTAAAATTCTTAACCTAAATTTTCTTCTCGTCTCTTTTCTTTTCTTTTTTTGGGTGCAAAAACGTAAAACTCTCGCTAAAACCAGCGAAAACACTCAATTTGACATAGTTGCATCAATTCAGGTCAGAAATAATCTATTTGTTGGATATTGGGTCAACAAATAAAGCCACTGAGAGCCATTTGGTATGTAGAACCTTTTGAAATTTATAGCAAAAAAAACCGCCACGTGAACAACGGGTCACCGGCTGAGCGCGTCATAGTGATTTACTGAAATGCGCACAAACAAGAAACTTAAAACCTTTCGATTCCTCAAATTTCACATACCTTTGCATAACTTGCACAGAGATTCCGGGTTTGTCATGTTGGGGTTGAATTTGTCGTGTTGCACGCCAGGTAAGCAGCTGTCACTGAAAAACTCCCCGGCGCACTCGTACACATTTCCGACCTCGGGTACGATGTCTTTCTTTATCAGCGAACAAACCGGGGACTTGAAACCGGCTTTTGAGTCCACGCCAGGGTGACATGATTTCTTCTGACTCAAGTCTTGGAAACTGTTGATACCGGTGGTGGACTTCCTAATCAAAGCAACGGAATAATGCTTGAGGGTACCGTCGGCTTCTTCAAACTTCTTAAACTTCGTATCATAGTTGGTAACCCCGACATAGTCCTCCTTTTCAACCATGATCGGCTTTAAGTTGTGCATCTTCCCGGCCGTGTAAATCTCGTCACCTTCGGCAGTCATGATGTCTGCATTTTCATTTTGAATCTCCTTCATGCACGATTCTTTGCATGACGCCATTACGCAGCTCCATTGCATCCGAGGCTGGACTTTGTAGTTGAATTCCATCGCCATTCTTTCGCACTTCTTCATTTCGTAAGGGTTGGTGACGCACCAACGAATCACTGACATACCAGTTTGGTCGTCCTGTTTCATTGGTCCTCCCAACTTCTTTATCTTTCCCCATTTCGCCTTCCAGTCTTCAAATTTCCAGTCCTGGTCCGAATCCTTTTTCGGCGTTTTGATTCCCAGGTTTGCTGCCGGTAAAAAAAAAAATGTCAGTGGTCACAATGCTTTATAAGTATACAACCACAAAACAAAAAACGCACACAAAAAAAGCATATGAACGGGCTAAAGACACTTCCGCTGTCTCACTAAAACAAAATTGGCTTTGTGAAAAATGTGGCTAACTATTCAGTTGAGAGATACAACTTATTTTATAAAGTTCCCCGCTGTTTCTTTTTCGTTCGAATTTCGGAAAACATACAGTAAAGCACATTCAAAACCCATCCTGGAAAAGGTCATTCTCCTTCGACATATAGCTGCTTTTGTAAAATAGCGATAGTGACGTAAAAAAAATGACTTTTAAATTAAAATGCACCAGAAAGTCTCGTGTTTAAAAGACATACCTGGGAACCCATGAACCAGCGCGATCAGAAGAAACAGCGACAGTACGAGAGCCTTCATGGTGCACTTTCCACTTGTGGCTGTACTTGCCTACTTTGGGCTTGATCGACGAAATTTATATGCACACCTCAGCTCTCTTTTCGCTTAATCACCCAGGTCGCCTGATCAATCGTACGAGCTATCTATTGTTTGTGTTCCTGTGGCATGCTCATCACCTGATAAAAGATCTATTGTCCCTGGGACATCCAATCCCCCTATTATTTAATTACTAAAGTCATATCATCTTCTTATCGTCGTCACAAGATTTTCTGACGCTTAATGAAAGAAAGAAAAAAAAAAGGGATAATCTTGTAAGAATGACTAACATAGCTAAGGATTTTTTAGTAGAAGAATGAAGAAAAAGCTGACTCACTTTTTACCATTACGTTTGGTTTAGAAAGATTAACTCCATCTGAGCAATCTGTCATCTTAAACACTTGAACAATGTCTAAAGTCAACCATGTGTTCTTACCTTTGTTCTTTTTGATAGCCTCGGGCTCAAAGAGCAACCGTCACGAAGACGCCTTGCACGAAAGCTACCTGGTTCTCATCACGTCAAGCAATTTTCATTTGCGTTGTGAGAACTTAGGACGATCATCACTGTAAAAACGTTAGGAAATTAACCCCTGCAGCGTTTTCATCTCCAATTTTGATTCAATTTGCAAAGAATTGCTTTCCCCAAAGGTGGTAAAAGGCAATTAAAAAGGCTTTTCCTCAACTATTACACGAAGGCAAGGCTCAGCTTAAGAAAAAATTAAGTATTCTACGTATCCAAACACAACTTCCCCCAACACTTTCCACGCGTGCCTTTACTATCAACGACATGTAACCCTGGACTTTAATTTGTATACAAGAAAAGGCAAATCGAAACAATAAATGGATTCTTTGATCTATTCAGGAAGTTGTTTTAAAAATAGCATTTCAAAGGAACATTGACCATGCAAGCTAAGCAGGATATACTCAACACTACTCAAATTTACCTTAACCTTTTGAACCCTGAAGGAGGATTAAGCGAAGGGGAAATAGGAAACTCTGTGTTTAATAAAGTGCAAAGCTTTTAAAAAAAAACTTTATCCGTCTACAAAAAGATGCAAAAAATTTCAGTTTTATTGGGTGGCGCAGGGCGAAATACAAGCAATTAAAAAAAGAGGCACTGCAACAATATGCACGTAGGTCACGAGTTAGAACAATGATTTCTAGCTCTGCTTTATTTTTTTTTTCTTATGTAACTTAACCATATTACCGAATGAAACAAGAGCTAGGTTTCTGAGAAAAATAACGGAAATCATTTTGAAAGATACCGTAGGGGTTCTATTTCGATCTAAAAGAAGGTCAGCTGAAGGCCTTTTCGAGTCCTCGCCTACGGGCAGGGAGTTGTCCGTGCATAAGATATTTTGCAAGACGGCGAGGTTTTCTTCTTCTTTGTAAGCGTAAAGAGTTTAAAGGCTGACGTTTCGAGCGTTAGCCCTTCGTCTGAGCGATTGGGGGAATTGCGGTTTGTGTGTGGCTTTATATGTAGAAAATAGAGCTATACGCTACTGGTTGGAATATGGTGACGAAAAAAAAAGAATTAGTTGAATGAAAAGCGCTCGTCGCATTGATATCGGGGCGATTAAGAGTGCCGATTTGCAATTGGAAGTTAAAATCTTGTGCAAGAGTTTTGCGGCAGATGTAGGGAAAGGCCGCAAACTGCCATATGCTGTTTAGAATGATTAGGGAGATTTAAGTGTTTAGCGACTGGTTTAGATGTGTCCTTGTCATTTCTTTCTACGTCGCGGAGGTGTTCTCGGATTCGGTCACCCTGTCGTCTTCCTGTTTCACCAATGTAAAACTTTTTGCTATAAGTGCAAGTTATGCAGTAAATGAAATTGGCGGGGGTGCACGTAAAGTGATTAGATGAATACAACAAGTAACTTGGTGAATCTGTAGGTTTGTAGTAAACACTAGTGCATAGACCATTGCCTTCAACTTTGAAATTTTGATGTCCAGAAAAGCCGAAAAAGTGTCGGAAATTTGCCAGTATATATATTTAAGAGCCGGATGAAAGGAATTGACGGCGGTTATAAATTGATTTAACTCCTTTCTGATAGAGGAAGTAATGCCGATGCAGTCGTCAATGTAGCGGCCGTGGAGTTCAGGTTCGGGGCAGTAGTATTGACTGAAAAATTGGTGTGTGATAAAACCTGCGAAAGGATTGGCGTTGCTGAGTCCCATTTTATTACCTATGGCTACGCCATTAGTTTGTTTGTAGTTGTTGCCGCCGAATGAAAAGCAATTGGGTGTAAGTACTAGTTCGGCCAGACGGAGAAGTGTTTTAGAGCTAGGTTCCTTAACAGTGCGTTGATCGAAAAAGTGTTTGAGGGCCCAGAGACCTTCGTCATTGGGAATGACAATTTAAAGATCGAGATGTAATAATAATCTTCGCATCCATCACACGTCAAGAATTCCATACCTTTTTCACAATTTCTCAGTCTTCGTCGTTTATGTAATGACGACTCTGATTCTTCCGAAAAATCACAGGCAATGTGCCAGTTTTTCGATAAACGCGGCTATCCTGTTTCTGTACGTCGTTCAAGCACGTCGTTCGACAATTAGCACTACAAACCGCCGCTGAGAAGGAAAACACTGATCGTATTCCATTCACTCTCACATTTCACCCTCACAACCACGCAGTTATTTCAAATCTTTCTTTCTTAAAAACTTTAAATTACTCCAAAACGATTAAGAGACTGATACTATCTTTTCGCAACCTCCACTAATTTCATTCAAAAGTGAAAAAAACATTGGCAACTTTTTGGTTAGAAGTTCATTTTAAACTAATGATCAATCTGGAACTTTCAAATGCGCTCGCTCACGATGCAAAACTTGTCCTTTCATTCATAACGTAGAGAAAATATCGGGACCCAAGAGATCCATCAACACCGATCACTTTAAGCGCACCTCCGCCAATGTCATTTACTACGTGACTTGCACCTATTACCAAAAGTTATACATTGGTCAAACAGGAAGACGACTAATTGACCGATTCCGAGAACACCTTCCGGCGACGTAGAAAGAAATGACAAGGACGCATCCAAACCAGTCGCCAGACACTTTAATCTCCCTAATCATTCTAAATAGCATATGGCAGTTTGCAGTTCGGAAAGCCGCAAGAACCCTTGAACAAAAATTTATCTTCCAATTGCAAATCGGCGCTCTTAATCCCCACGGTATCAACGAGCGCTTTTCATTCAACTAATTTATTCTTGTTTTCTCGTCACCATATTCCCACCAATAGTGTATGGCTCCATTTTCTACATATAAACCTACACACAACCCACAATTCCACTAATCGCTCAGACTAAGGGCTAACGCTCGAAACGTCATAGTCAGCCTTAAAACTCTTCAAGATGGCCAATTTACGTTTTCAACTCAGTTGATAACTCTAAATTTCCCTGTTATACTCTCCCACCGACGCAGCGCCACAGTTTCTTTAGAAACTTACCCCCTTAATTCATTCCTTCTTGTAAGGGGGGAGTCTCTTTTTACCCTACGGAAAAATGAGGCCGAAAATTTGGACTTCCGGAATTACGTTCTCCTGGACGTCGTTCCATCAGTAAGATCGTATGCCTTCATAGTTTATCTATTATTGCTATTCTCGCAACTTTGAAACTGTTTCACAAGCTTCTGACCAAGGGCTATTGTTTGACTTTCAATAGGCATCAGTTTTTCTTCGATCAGTAGCTTTTCAAGAAATTGTGTCGATAACCTACACATCGGTTGTCATTATTTTGATTTTTTCAGATGGATGTCGGCAGGCGACACGAACGCGAGATCGACGCGTGTGTGAAGAGGAGCCTCTGCTACAAAAAAAAAAAAAAGAACAAAAAATTATACGACCGTATCAGGCTTAGGCAATTGTAGTATGAATTAAAAAACGTCAATAATCGTTCAAAAGCTTGTAAACGGAAAGAAATTGCATATGAACCTTGCTGCGAGACCTGTGAGATCGAGTGCTAACATTGAATGCACATGCCATTACATGCATGATTTTCCATGTAATCGGACATGTACAACCCCATCCGATGGAACCATCCGAAAACAGACGGACCAGTCCGATGAAACCTTCCGGAAACAGATGAACCGGATTTTGACCCATCCATAAAAGTATACTTTTAACAACGAACTAAATTTTGTCTTAACTTAAGGGTTGTCTTAACGGCGTTACAAAGTTTTCAGTAGAGAATGTATATGAGGGTTTCCAACCTTTTTTGCAATCTTTCCTAACTCATCTATTTTTCGAATGATTCTTTGTGGGGGCAAATTTGAGAAATTTACGAAAAAAGTATTTATTTACTGGTTATAATTTCTAATACGACAACTGGGCACGGTCTTAAATCATGAGCCTAACTGCCCGACATTCAGAAATTTTAACAGCATTTCCACCCAAAGGTTCTTTCAAACTTCTTAAGAATATCAAATATTTGTTTAGAAAGGTGAAGTGATTCCAAAAATTGATTTGGCCTCCTAGTGGACAAATTCTCCGAGCTTGAGCACGCTGTAATATCACTCGTTATCGACACTCAAAAATTGTATGCTGATCAGACTACCGAGCATAGTCTCGAATGGACTAAATGCCCGGCAGGTAGAAATTTTCACCAAAATGCCACTGAAAGGTTCCTTGAAACTTATAGAGAGTATAAGATTTTGAATATAAGATATAGAAATGTCAAGCCATTCCAAAAATTGTTTGGGACAATTTTTCCGAACATACTGAAATATATATTGCCTGGTTGTCGACTACCAGTAAGGTCTCAAATGGACCAAATGCCCTACAGTCAGGAATTTTTACCGAAATGGCACTGAAAACTTCATACAAACCTATTGAGTATATTCGATGTCAAGAACATTCTAAAACACATTAAAAATTTACTATGCACAAGCTCGGAGAATTTGTCCACTAAATCAACAACATTTTTTTTTGGAATCGCTCGACATTTCTGAACAAAGATCTGACACACTTTAGAAGTTTCAAGGCACCATTTAGTGGCACTTCGGTGAAAATTTCTAACTGCCGGGCTTTAGTCTATTCGAGACCATGTTCGAGCGTACAATTTAAAAGTGTCAACAACCGAGCGATATTTTAGCATGTACAAGCTCGGATAATTTATCCGCTAAAAACCAAGTTAATTTTGAAATCGCTTGACATTTCTAGACAAATACAACATCTGATATTCCCAAAAAGTTTGAAAGAACCTTTCGGTGGAAATTTGTGAAACTTTCAGCCTGCCGGGCATTTAGTCTATTTTAGACCGTGCCCAGCTGCCGGGCATTTCGTCACAGCGTTTCCAATATGCGATCGAACAGACCTCTTCAACTTGAATATTTTGTTTATCCATCTCTTAGCATGTTATAATACTCCACAGAACTGTTGCTTTCAAAATTTTCTTATTTACTTGCATATGTACCAAAAGTTTACCAAAGATAAGGCTTGGAATTTCCTTGGGACTTGAAATGGCTCAACTAAAGAGGTTTATTTGCCTGGATTGGGTTTCGGCAACCTGTCGATCCCAGGATTCCTCACGCGTAAAATTTTATTGTCCGAAGAAATCTGGGTTCGAGAAACTGGTATTTCATGAGTGATGAATCAGTTTTAGCTGCTGTGAAGGCTTTTTTTTTCTAGATCTCGGTCTTTATATTGTACTATAGATCGGTGTTGGGGGGTTTTACATGCTGTGAAGATGATGTCTCAGACAGAACTTTTGGCTTGGTCGGAGTCGGACACGAAATTTTTTGCCGACAATCTGTTGGGAGTTGAAGATTGGGGTGAGTTTGTTGCACGAGTCTGTTAGGATTTTTGAAAGCTTGTAATGTCGGGCACCATATATGCTTCGCTTTTCGTATTTGAACGGGGTGATGATTCGTATCTTCTAGGAGACTCTATCACAGACGTAAAATTTGACCCAGACGAGTTATTTGGTGGGGGAGAAGATAACGATATGGAACTGGAGGTAAGGGAATAAATACTACGAAAATTCTCGCTCGTCTATCTCTGTCGCTAACCATTGCAGTTGCGTGAGTCACTCGTGCATGAATCGGCTTGAGCTGAAATCCGCGTTTTGTTTGCTTCTTTTACTTTCGAGCTCTTCCAAAGCTTCTCTTTACGTCATGAAGATGAATTTTGTTTAATTTAGCTGCTTTTTATTCAGAGATCTCGCGAAAAGCTGTTTGTTGTGAGGTCTCTGAAACTCGAGATCGCGTCGCATCATACAACTTCCGCAAGACCTACAAAAGGAAGTCTCACGGCACAAACTCAGTATCTTTCAATTTGTTTATCGGTAGCGATGCAAATATTAAAACGATATCGTTCTTTTTATAGCTTAAGAAGGCTTTGCAACATTTGTCAAGAAGATTCAAAACCATTTCAATGTTTCTTTGAACATATGAAACCAGCTGTTAAAAACTCTTCGTGAATTGGGAATGTAACTATGACGGTTTTATTTTTAGCTACTTTTCATGAAAGATATTTTGGTTTCTTTCCACAACGTTTTTTTTTATTATTAACCACTGCTTCATGGTATTATCTGACATCAAAATGCCATGTGTTTGATCACAGATTCAAAGACAAAGCTCATTGTCGAATTTTGCTGTTCAAGCACAACTCCTGGACGACAGTCAACTTCCTGAACTATTTTAATTGAGCCTAATCTCGGTTGAGTTTTTTGAGCCTAATAAACCGAAAGAAATACGTGTGAATTTCTTCACTAGTAAAACTTGTGTAAAAATTTTGGTTAGATATATTTTGTAGCGTTAGATTAATGGGTGGGTGCGATATTTCGTAAAATTTTAATGAGACATGTTCTGTTGTTTATTTCTTTGCAGGGCAAAGGAGATCACCTCAGTGAATTTTTATCAAGTTTAGGCGACTCTTCTACCTCTTCGATTATTGAAGATTTCGATTTTCCTTCAGGTGAGTATTGAGTCCTTCTCTCTCGATTAATTCTCTGTTCTTTGTAGTAGGATTTTTTCGTTTTATTTGTCCAGCTCTGTGGCTATTATTGTTACGCTTAAACAGCCGCTGTTAATGGTCATATTTGTCATCCAACAGGTGTTTGCATCAAAGAAGAACCTCTCTCTCCTTCCTCCTCAAACTCTTCTTGTGTTTCTCTTCCAAGTTCACCAGAAAACCAGGTATTTTGAAAACAGTAGTCTGCTATGTATAAAAAAATCAGATAAACGTAGTTTGTACAATTCTTTCTGTTACTCAGTGGACGAACTTGTAAGTATTCACGTATACCTAAGAGCAATAAGGTGTATTTATTGTTGCTGATTGTTAATGATAATGTCCTCTGGTTGATACAAATTTACAAGTAAAGTGTCTCAAAAGAAGAAAGCATTAAACCTACTGAAATTGTTATTTGACTGATTTGATTCAACCGGCTTTAAATAGTTATTTCTGTGCGAAAGTCAAATTGAAGTAAACCATTTAATGAAGAAGATTTTTGTTCTGTCTTCCTCTGCCACTGCATCGGCATAGAGGCTGTTTTTACACTGTAGTGCTTTGCAACTAATTGTTCTTCAAAGTTCTTTTTTTGAAAAAAAGTAAAGATAGGAGTTACTTTAAATTCACGCAGAGTCTAACAGCTGTGACTTTTAAAAGAAGGAGAAATTTATACATACTTGCAATACAAATATATATCTATTGAAATGGTTCATGTAGTTGTATTAATGTAACTTCTATCATACCAATTTTTTTTATGAGAAGCTTAAAAATACATTTTGATCGGCTCTTTCTTATGATCTATTGGTGGACAGACGTATAGGTGACACCACCATTAACAACAGTTTGCTTTTTAATCATATAAAACATATTTTATCATAAAATAAATAAACTCCCTTTTGCCGTGGGCCTGTAAAGTAATAGACCACACAAGATATCAAAATGTGATAAGAACATCAGTGACACATCCAGCTGCACCTTGTTTTCCCCATTTTTTTCCATACCAAATTTCAGTTTCCCCTTTTTTTCATTTCAAATTTCATGGCAACATGTAACTTTGTGTTTAAAAACAGGAGACATAGTGTATTCTAGTATCTGAGCTTACAAATCAGGAATGATCTATTTACAAGCTAATTTTGTGGTTCATAACTGACAAAAATTCTCTCTGCATTTGTTGTTATTTCAGTTTTTGATTAATGGAGATGGTTCACCAGTTCATCAGCCAAATGCAGATTTTGAATTATCGCAGACAAGCCTACTTCCTGCAAGTCCTTCTACCATTAAGACAGAAGCAACTCTCGCACCACTTGCATGCAATGTCAAACAGGAGAAAATACCTATGCAGTCATGTGGCATCAAATCCATTCAACCTATGCCGGTGGTTACAGCTGTACCTGTCAGTATCCAGAAGGCACAGATTGGACAACATGCTTCGACAAAACCTGCTGGAGGTACATATAAAATTTATATAATTATATGTAGCAACAAACTTGATTTTCTAAAAGCATTTTTACTCAAGTGACAGAACTGTCATGAAGAACCAATAACAGGCCAACTTTCACCTTTTTTTATCAGGTTTAGATGTGTTAAAAATTTGCTTAACCCTTTAAATCCCAAGATCTGATTGTCAATTCTTCCCTCCAGCTACTACACATTTCCTTGTAAATTAGTGATGAGAATTTGGTGTTAGATCAAGATAACAACTTCTACCTGATAAGTTTGAAGATTCTCATTAAATGTTTGCTGGATTATGTAAGGATATTATAGGGAGAAGTTTCATGTTGATCATTTTTGGGAGTTAATGGGTGAAAGGTGTGTGCACACTTTGTGGAATGTGTGGGAGTCTGGTGAATAGTTTCTTGCTCCAATCTTGCATGCAGTCTGACCAAACAACATGGCATCGTGATAACTTGGCCATCTGCATGTACTTTTTCTTATTTATCTATTTCTAATTTACAATCGAAAGCCTTGATTCCATGAATGTTGTCATTTTCTCAGTACTTTGACTTAAGTGATGTAACCTTTATTTTCCCAAGGTATTCCTGTATATATTCCTTGTACTGGTTCACTACCAAGCAATGGTGTTGTGTCAGTTGTAGTTGGGGTAAGTACAATTTGTCTTCATCACAAATTTTGTTGATTTTGTGATTATATTATGTAATTTCTTTTCAATTTCTGGGGTAAATCAACTGTTAAAACAACTGCTTTTTCAGAAGTTCAAGTTTATGTGCAAGTAACCTATACATATATGACTGTAAACATGTGTGTTCAATGTTTGTCTTTTTTTTAACTCATCTTCAGAAGAATGTTAATTCTACATTACCCAAAGCAGTAAATGTTGGCATCACAAGGTCGAATACTACCTCCCCAGAAACTGATGTAAGTACCTTTTCTTTCAACTTTGACACAGCATAGCCTGTGTTATATATTAGTTTGCTCATAATATGATGTTGTTATATGACGTATATTGTCCTTTGCATGCTTTTATCATTTTATCACATACCTGATATCATTCAATGCTGTGCAAGGTTTTAAATCCAATGCATTTTTCTTTTGTAGGCAAAACTTTTGAAAAGACAACAGAGAATGATAAAAAATAGAGAATCTGCATGCTTATCCAGAAAGAAGAAGAAAGAGGTGAGAAGACTCAGAACTTCACTTAGATATCTGATTAAGTGATGGGCATTGAATTAAAGATTTCTTTCTTTTTACTCTGACTGTTAAACTGAACCTGTGAGTCACTGAACAGCTGAACAAGGCAAAATTATTTTATTAATGACCTGACATTTGCCATATATTATTATATCCATTGTGCCTATGTCCTCTGTAGATGTCAAGAAAGACATTTTCCAAAGAAAGGAGAAAGATTGGTGATGAATAGCAAAGCCCATATTTGTTGTGTTGTACTTGGCAGGGATATGAAAAAACTATTGTACATGTTATGGTCAAATTTTATCCTTGGTTCAAATTTTGTTTTCTTTCGTTTTTGGGTATTGTGATGTATGATAATGAGTTTGAAACAATTTAAAATAAAATTTGAACCAAGGATAAAATTGAACTACAACATATACACTTGAACTCTGTTGCTCTCTTCTGACATGTTCATGGTGTTCTCTCAATAGTACCTACAAAGCCTTGAAACTAAAGTAAAGGAGATCTCCAACATAAATGAATCATTACGAATGCAAAATGAAGGCTTAAAAAGAAGGGTCAATGAACTGGAAGTAGAGGTAAGTAGAAAGTTTTCAAACACTTCACTGCCTGGTGGTTAGTATTTCTTCCCTACATGCACATCACATCTGGAATATGCATCATAAACTTGTACACAATTGAACAACTATGGTATATATATACTAGTCATGTTAATAAATGTTCATTTATACAGTCATGTGAAAGACAGAGCAATATTTCTTATGGCTACACAGTAGTATCTATAGGTGACACTATACATTTGCATCAAAGAAATATTTGAATGTGTTTTTCATAAATTTTATGATAAAGTTTGGATATAGCACATGCTGTCATTGGTTGAAAGAGCATACTCCACGAGAGTATAGACCATAGAGCTAAGCTAAAGCTGTTATACCATCTGCTAAATTGTACTACATCTCGTGTTTCTTCCCAGACTTCTTTTGTGCTCTAGCCCCTTCCTGCATGCTTTACAACAGAACAAAGCACAGTCAAGGCTTCTGGATCAGTTAAATATTGTTTCCATTTATGTTTCTTGAACAGAATGCACTGTTGCGTAGCAAACACCCAGAGTTGACCAGCACCATTAAGAAATCCACTTGTGTTTTGGCTGTTGTTCTGTTTGTGGCTCTAAATTTTGGTCCCTTCAGGTAAGTGCTTACTGTCAATTACTTTTCTCTTTATGTATTACTATGTGTTATTGATTACTTTTAAGCTATTGACACCGGCATGTTTAGCCAATGACTTGTCCTTTAATCTTGTGTGTTCCAGAGGTGATAGATATGTGACTTCTCTCTACAATATCAATACATTTTTCAGCATATCAGTGGTGAGAATTCACTCAAGGCCTTAGTATTTTCTTGATGGGACACCAGATCATCCCAATGTAACCTAAATCTTAAACCTACCAGACAAAATTTGTCCTTACAATATAAATACAATATTAAGCCGACAAGTGATAAGAATAAAGAAAAAGTTACATTTTTAAAGGGATTATTTGTTGATCCAATACCAAATTCTTAGAACTAACATCATAAGAATTTTTATGGCAGACAGCAAGGAGAATAACTGATGAGAACTTGGGAGTGAAAGGCTTAAACTTAACCTTTTAACTCCCTGAAGTGACTAACATGTAACTTCTCCCTATAGTTTGCACACTATTTTTAGCAAATGGTTAATGTGAGTACTCAAACTTATTAGGTTTAAATTTTTTATCCTCTGATCTTTCACCAAATTCTTGCAACTAATTTACAAGGAATTGTGAAGCAGCAAGAGGGGAGAATTAACAATCAGATCTTGGGAGTTAAAGGGTTAAATAAATCCCTCTATGCCAACTGAAAGAGCAAATCTCCTGCATATCAATTAGCAAGCACAGTCTATAAATTCCTCATTTCCAAACTTTGTTATATGACACCGACAGCAACCTTAAGGAACAATGGAAATTTAACAAAGCAGATCTGCTACCAGGTTCAGTTGTCCGTCATGGAAGAGCTCTTCTCAATTACCAAGGAGATGGGGATGGTAGTGACCTTGATAAACCACTGGTGTTTAGCCCTGTCAATAAACGTCGTGGAAGGCAACCATTTGCCAAGGCTGACCCCAGCATGCTCAACACATCTCACAAAAAGTCTTCACTGCTAAAGAGTAGAAATGCAGAGAGGAAGGATTTGATGGTGATCAGGAACAAGTGGGACTTCCTCGCTGATTCAAGGCAGAAGAGAAGGAATTTGAAAAGGAAGGAAAGGAATCCTAAGTCAAGGAGAAAGATTGCTGAGAAGCAGCATAATGCAACATTGGATGATGATCAGTTTTACTGCCCAAGCAATTTAAACAAGACTGAAGTGAACAGGTTAGTAAATTTAACTCGGTTTAATCAGCAAATGTTACTTTCTGATGACTGAAAAATTCAGATTGGCTTAGAGAAAGGAGTGTTGAATGAGAGAGTAGAGCATCATTTGGACACAAAGTGCCTTCCTCCCTCTTTTAATCTTGATTCCTCTGCTTTCCTGATGCATTTTGCTCTCATTTCAGACCAGAATTAACCCTTTAAAGCCTAAGAGTGACCAGCATCTAATTTCTCCTTACAATATCACCATTGAATCACACATTAATGTCATGAGAATAAAGAAAATGATCACTAACTGATGAAACTCTTGATTGTTAGACAAATTCTCCTTGTCAGCACCTTAGTAAAGGTACAGAGAACAGTATGGAGAATATGAATACTGATGTTAGGGTGTAAAGGGTTAGACAGTTGTGATGGATTGTTCTGGTGTATACAGGAAGTTTTCCCCCAGCCTGCAATTGCCAATTGACATTACCTCAATATGTGCACATGCTTGGCTGTGCAGCTTTGGGGAAAAAAATCAGACATTGGACATGCTTTGACTAGCAACATCTGAGAACTTGTTTTACTTGTTTCTTCACAATACTTTTTTCTCCTCTTAGGATAAATGAGGCTCTTGAAGGCTGGGTAAAGAGATATGAAAATCAGCAGATCTTAAAACAGAAAAAACAAAAGCGTCAGCAGACCAAGGTGAGACCTTAACGTTGCAAAAGTCAAAATGTGGACACCAGTTGATTAGGCCACCAACTTTACAGGCTCCCATATTTTCTTGTCAAGTCTATATACAGTATGTCTGTCTACTTTGATTAATACGTCACCCAGACCTGTGCTGTCAATAATGACCTGCTATGGAGGATGCTGATATCATATCGGTGTACTTTGTTTCATTTTAGATGCAATCTGTCATCAAAGAGCTTGCCTTGAGACTGGCATCAAACTGCACATCAGAGGCCAAGCGAAAAATTAGCAGGTTGGTTTTCAAGTCTGCTCCTTATATTACCTCTAGTAGATTTGAAGACATTCTATCCATTGCATTTAGATACATGTACGTGAGACTGGTGCTTGGTGATGGAATGTTAACTTAATGGTTCTTTTCTGCTCTAGGCACAAGTTTTCACGGAAACACAATACTGCTTCTACACATGAAGTACAATTATTCCAAAGGGCCAATAAGTAAGTCCAAGAACTTAATTTGGTTCACTATTCGAAGTATGTATCTTGTTTACTTGGTAGAGAGCTAACTATGAAACATTTTTGTCTATTGCTTCAGATTCAAAACTTTTGAGGAAGAAATTAACAAGAAATCAGACACTTTGTACATAGTTTCTTTTCGAGGGGTGAGTGCATTCATCCTTTCACTGTACAGTGTATTATTGCAATTAAGAATTGTATTCATCAAATTGTACGGTGTATTACTGTAATTACGAATTGTATTCGTTAGCTGTGTCTTTGGATGATTGTGTTTGCACCTGCAAGAGATTCATTTATTGCAATGTTTCTTTTTCTGTCAGGATCATTTGGTATTCCCTGCCACCGAATACAACGCAACACAAAGGCCTAAGATGTCATTCATGATTATGGCACCACCCAACAGTAAGTTGGAGTCGTCTTCATGTCATATTTGTAGATGCACACCCTCCCCCTCCCCCTACCCCCTAACTCTGCCCTGCTCCCCTCCTAGATTTCCTCTGGCCACAAGCATCGTAAATAACCCTATTATTTTCACAGAAAAGTCTGTAAGGCGTGGCATACAGGAGGGAGTAGGAGGGGATACCCTGGTGTACTTCAAGGCAGTCCCCTGCCACATACCAAGAGTGGTGTCACTCTTTCCGATTTTGAGCAGATCTTATAAGCCATTTTATAGTTGTGTACTTAGCTACCAAGCCTTTGATTTTGAGTGAGGCTGAAGGTGATCTTGTTGTGATAGAGACTAGTATCTACTTAGCATGATAACATAGTAATTTACATTTGAAAAGCAGCAACATTTGTATCATAACAAGGTCACCCTTGGCCTCACTCTTGTTCAAAGGTCTGGCAACTAAGTACGCACCTGTAAAATGGACTATTCAGTCTAAGTTGGAAGTGCATTGCTCGCAGGTGACGAACCAACCATTCCAGATTGTAGTGGCCCTTTTCAATTCTCAGTCGCACTCGATGTAGTCTTTCGGTAGACTATTATCACCACTCTTGTTTCCTAAAAAAAGAAAGCAATGCAATTTAGAAAGTCACCTATATTTACGGAGATATTCATTAACATGTAAAGTGAGCACCTGAATTTCTGACTAAAGTGTTTAAAGATGGTCTGAAGTTTGCCTTTTCTTTGCTTTTAATCCTAGGAACGGAGTGGCAGCATAATAACGCCAGGAAAACTGACTTAGTGACTATGATGCAAATCGACTGCCAAGTTATGGACACGAAATTTATCAACATCAAGAAGTCAAGTATTCCCATGCCCCACCCCGATAGTTCCTCTTTTGGCACCTCGACACCAGTCTCCGTCCCTCACGATTTTAGCGCTCCGTCGGGTAATACTTTCGTGAAACCCGCGAAATAATTTACATGGATGAACACTGGGAAAGTAGGTCTGACCGTATTTGAAAGCTTTCCAAGAAGATATATTTCTATGCCATTTTTAGTACTGGTCTTTTTATGTATATTGTATTTTAGTAAACGAATCAAAAATTTTTGAGCCCTACAGAGGATATAATTAAATCGCGTAAATGTTTTCGACCTTTTCACTTAAAGTGAAGCACCCTTTTCAGTTAGACCATTTAAGTCATCTTTCACACCTTGCACCTAGGCTCGACCTACCGCAGTGCCTGATTAAAGAATATGTAATGAACTTGTATACTTTATGTCACCCTTAGTTTTTATTCACAAGAAACCCTTTACTCTTGTGTAACCGGTTTGCTGTAGCAGAAACCCGTGGAGCAGATATTGTCGATAGACCAAGTTTGTAATGTATGTATGAAAAAACAAAACAAAACAAAAAAATAAAATAAAAAATAAACTTAGTGAATTTAACTGAAATTTGATTGTTGTGAGAGTCCTTCTTCCGTTGGATGATAAGGGAATTTTGTTGATCGCAATAGTTTTGCTTTACTTTGCTCAATGCCTGGTCATAGAAAATACGCGTCATTCCCTTAGCCAATCAGATTCAACACAAAGAACTGATCACGACTCGGTCACTCGTGGAATTCCTTCGAGGGGAGTCCTTTTTCCTCGTTTTTTCTGTAACTCCCAACAAGATCACCACAACAAACCCGCGTTTGGGTAACAAGTTTCTGGTATCTGAGGGGAAGCTGTCCACACAGACAGTCAGTCAGTCAGTCACAACGCTGAAGAAGGAGGTTTAAGGGAAAAAGGGCGTCAAAATGATAACGGCCTCAAAAGGATGGCACAATTTTAGGAGATGATTGTCGCAACACATATCACAACTCGTCTTGCTTCATGTTTGCCTACAAACGAGTTCTTGAACTCATTGACATCACGTGGTTAGACAGATTAACATTATCCATTAGTTCAGAACCGAATCCTGTGATTTAAGACTGTTTTGAAATATTTATTTTCACCCAATGTCTTGAGTAAATTAGTCAATAAGTCGTCACTTAGATAACGAGATCATCGTTGATGATTCCCATTCACGAAAAGTTGAGGAACGTTTTTTCAACACATGACAGCCTTCATGATGATTTGAATTCATAAAACGAACTTACTATTTGGTCTGCCAAGAAAAAAAACACTAAAAAGAAGACAAGCCCGTAAAAATCGACTTATCGCGTCACTAGTTCTCAAATAAAAAACCATCTAAAAAAATAATAACAAAAGGGAACATGACTGAGAGGACCCCATCATGCTACGGAAACCATCATGACAGCTATCATGAAAATTGTTATTATTAACGATACGGCACCAGCGCTTCTTCGCCTGCGGGAAGGCATGAAGCCTTGGACAGCATGAGCCGGCCAAAGATCTGAAAAGATCCTACCACTGATGATGCCAGACCCCCTGCAAACTTCTCTCCGGCTCCTCTCAAATCTTCCCGCGTGCGGAGAAGCGAGCGTCTTGTAGCGCTAATAATAGCGCTGCAATATAGCGTTATAGCTCGAGTAGAAAATGTAACCTAACATTACACAATAAATGCAGCCTGCAAAGTCCCCAGTCCGAGAAAAAAAAGCACAAGTATTAAACTGTTGCTTGCTTGATAAAACTTAAGAACAATAACCATCAATAGAATACAAAATTTAGAATAAAACTTCATTCGAAGTCATGGACTTGAAGCAAGCTTATGTCAACAGTTCATAACTTCCACCGTAGCGATTCGAATACTTCTTAGGAATGTTAAGAAACATTTATAAAAAAAATCTCTAACGACTTAATTACCTTGCTTCACACAACAACGACGCCGTATCTCGTTATATTTAACTTAGTACACATGAAATTGCGAGGTGTCCAGATTGGTATTTTTTGGGTTCTTAAGAAACGATATAGGAGCAAGAGGCCGATAAATCTTCCTTCGAGGCGATAACGCACAAAATCCGCCAAACAGTTCAACACAGACTAGAACACAGAATGCTTTTGGCAACACGAAAATCATTACCTAGCTTCAGTCTTAATATGTTAAAATGTGAGTCCTTAAGCGATATTTTCACATTATTATATATTAAATAAAATAATCTATACTTTAGTTACGGTAGATTATAAAAACAAAAATCTTAGCGCTTTCTATGGGTCTGACCGCCCAATTCTTTGCGCGAGCTAGCTCGTATAAAACACAATAATGAAAATATTTTGCCTTGAAACGCAAATATTCTAGTTTCAAAAATTAAAAGCACCGCGATAATCCCAACTGAGTCTGCAGTCATAGAAGTCATCTTCGTCCCTGGTAAGGAAACATCCCTTCACTAGGATACGTCACACAAAGTTCATCATATTTGGGGTATCAGGAGTTACCACGTGACTTGCTGTTTGCCGTTCTGATTGGCTTATGCAGTACAATGCTCACGGCTGGTCATTAATAACCGTCTTGGATCATGTTTCTACTGATTGCTGTTGTTCAATAAGAAAAACTCGGAGACAATCCGTTGATCTTTCGTACTGCGTCGAAGTGTTGATTAATAAGCTTCGTTAGCTTTGAATCTCTTCACTTTCCTCGAAGGTGATCAGATTCTGTGGAACCTAAAATTTACAAAAGCAGATTGATTTACAACCAGCAACACAAAAAACGAAAAAAACAAAAAAAAACATACGCCCCTTGTTTCAGTTTTTTCTCTAACTATCATAGGACAAAGGAATATCAAATAAATCATTAAGAGTTCACAATGACTGACCCTATATTCTAGTCTAGTCTTGGCAGCCCCTTGTAAGTAACGGTACCACGACAAGGCATTTGCTTTGGATCCCACCTTGAACTTGTAAGAGTTTCCTGAGAACATAAATATACGTACATCGATCGTGAGCTTATGCTTCTTTTTGTTCGGTTTGGTATTTGAGGAATTGAGACGATAGTTCTTGTTTAACGAGTGTTTTCGTGTGAAGCATACGTTTCTGTCACACATTAACACACACACAACGCGAATTATGGTAGAGTTTTCATCAGCCAGAAGAAAATTTCCACTGCACTGACTCAATGAAAAGAAATGATGTGACAGCGGAGCCACAGCCATCGCCACATTTCCTTCTCTAACTTTAAAATTTCATGTACCACATACTAACGATAGTCATCTTATCTAACCCACATCTTCGAAACCGAAAAAAAAGTGGAAACAGGCTTGACATTAATTATAAATATCATTAATTATTTTGAATCCACTTAAGACTAAAAAAGAGACAGTGAAAGCAAATACTGTACCTTTTATGTCATCTGTAAGTTGGAAAGTATCCGGGTGGCGCGGATCATCAAGCAAAACAACAGAGAAATCAGAAATGTTCACCTTTTTGTCAGGGTTTTCTTTAAACTGCTCAAGAAGAAAAAAAAAATTAGATCCGACCAACCACGAACATCATTGAGGGCAACTGAAAGTGCAGACGGAAATGAAAATACAGTTGTCTAAAAATCTTTTTCAGTAAATGGTTTGATCTCGGTAGTGAAGATGGCCGTCGAAATGTCAGTCCTTCTCAGGACTACCCACACCCGGATGATCAGACTACATAAACCAAAACCCCGTTGCTAACGTATAAAATACTCTTCGATGGCCTATTAATTGTCTATGCAGTACAGTGTAGTTCTAGATTTGGCGGCCTCGTGATATATATTTTTCTTAAATAATGCTAATGCCTATTTTCATGACATGTACAGTACATACAGCAGCTCTGTCCCGCCTGAAGGTTCTATGTCGGGGAAGAAAGAGGTGAAGCCAGCTTTCGACAAGTCCTGCCCAGAACTTTTGCCATGACGACACCTATAATCAAAGAATAAAACCCACAAGTTTAAATCACTGATATCACAAGAAATTGTTAGTTTTAGCGAAAACGGTACCCGTCAGTTCTTGCGCTTTAGAATGCGATTCATTGAAGTACAGTAGTTTGTAAACAGTCAATATAAAAACAGAGGAAAACCTCAATTTAAAAAGGGACTTTGTCTTTTCTTGACAATTTCGCTAATGGCTGGATGTATTTACTGTCCGTAACGGCGCCAGACCGCAACTTCAGCATACTATCTGAGAGAAGCGTTCAGTTCCAAATAGAAAGGCTATCCTCTGATAAATCTCTATCCGGAGGATAGCGTAATATATTTTGTCAACATTTATCCGCTAAACACCAATTTATCCGGCGTAGGATAGCGTCATCCGCCCTTTAAAACTAGGCCCTGCTCATTAAATCTTTTGTTTCGCCACGTTGTCGCCGTTTCCGTTGAGGTTTTCTATCGGGCAAGTCATACCACTACCCGTAAGTCAGCCTTTAACTGCACTCACCGTCATCTTCTTGCCTTTCTTCAGACATTTCTTTCTTTTGACGAAACCTTCAATTAGAAACTCTTGATTTGGTGGACACAGGTTGTAGTCTTCACTGCCATTGTAACTAGTTATACTGTAAAATAAAGTTAAATGCACTATGTGAATAAAAAACGATCAGAGGTCGGGGTGGGGACGGCGTGTTGGAAACCTTTTGTCGAATGGATCTTGATTACTATTCAAGCGACCAGAACATCGCGAGTGCTTTGCAGTATTTCGCTTAATTACCTTAAAAATAATGTAAACCAAAAGCTAAACTCACCTCCGGCTGTCTAAAGTTGTGTCTGAAGACGTCAAGTTTCCTACAAGAACGAGTATGTGATACAAATGAATAGTTGTAAGTCAGTCAAAGATTGATCGGCATTCCGCAGCATTAAACAATTTAAAAAAAAAAAAACGAATGCGCCAAAAAAAGTTCATTCTGTTCGTTTCCAACTATTTTATTGTTTAAATTCCAAAGCTATCAATATTTTGATCATTCATGAAAATGAAGCAAAAAAAATTTGAAAATAGAAAAAAAAACTTCTCAGTGCCATAGGAAATGTCGAGAGAACAGCATAAAGAATAGGCATACTGATGTTGGGATGTAAATGGTTAATTTGTTCCCCACACTCATTTTGTAGAACACTCCATCCCAGGACCCATCTGATGTTCGTTCGTCAGCTGTTTAATTTTTCTCCTCTGACAGAGACCACTACCAACAAGGCTTTTAAGACTATTCTGACCTCCTCCGTAAGAAGTTCCTCTACGAGGATTTTCATAAGAGAAGTAAAGTACTTACCCATGGAGGACCTATCGTCAAAGGGCTCACTATCATCCAGAAGATTCTTTGATCCAGTGCTGCTTGCTATGCTACAGCTAAAAATCCAATAATGACATGTAAGATCGTGAACTAGAAAACAAGCACCAACCTGTCAACCCCTAAAATGCAAAGCTACGACCAGTTTCGACAAAGAGCGCTATTCGTCCGAGTGTCGTTAAACCAAAACCAAAGCAATCACAACAGCAAATCATTGGAAGAGAAATATCACGAGGAGCCAATGAGAACTCGAAGAGAAAGCAAGAAAATTGACTAAAGCGCGGGAAAACGCGAGTGACCAAGTCGCGCGCTGGTTTAAGTTTTGAATCCGATTGGTTGACATAGTCACGCGAGTCAGTTCTAGACCAATCACATAACGAAGTAAAGCGAGAAAAAGAAATCCCGGAATACATTCATAAACAATCGAAAATAGCTCAAATGGCACAATTTTCCTTGCGCTACATGCTTGGCAGCTTGCTTCTTTATGTATTAAGCTCTTGCTGCCCCTTTGTGACGCTTTCCTTCGTTCTGATTAGCCCTTGTGGTAACTGTACTTTGAGAAACTGGTCTCCCTTTTTTTAAAACCGAAGTTGCTATGCGCTCTTTCATTCAATGCAATCTTAGCAGAACAACTCACCTAAGAGACTCTGATGACGACAAACCACCTCCTCCAACAATACTGAACACACTGAAATAAATACAAGCCAGATATTCAGCTGCTCAACCGAAACTGCGCAATCAACACAAGTGTTAAATGTAAGTATTTTCATCCTTACGAGTGCCAAGCATCTAATTTTTCTTTACAGTATCACTGCCCGATCAAACATTCAGTCATGAGAATCAAACTAATGATCACAACCTGAAGGAGATCTTGATTATAAGAGAAATTCTCCTTGTTATCACCACAGGAAATATATAGAGGTCAGTAGGGAGTATATGCATACTGATGCAAGGGTGTTAAGGGTTACACTGTTAAGTTTGCCTTACTTAGTCCCTAGGCTTTGCGCTTTTCTATGTCCTCGAACAAATTTTGTCTTTGGATGGGCCGGAGAGTTTCTTGGAATATCTAAAAAAAAAAACATATAGGACAGTTCATGGTGACATACATGAAATTAACTTGAACTGGAGATCCATTGTTCGAGGGAAACGCTTCTGCTATGTTTACGGATTCCAAATAAAGGAAGAGGGTAAAACAACGGCCTCTTTCAAGAAACAAAATACTAAAGTCTCTTTAGAACCCAAAAAATGTGTCCTGACTCTGAACGAGCTGCTTCCATTTTGGTTAGCCAATCTGGCTTCCAATAGCTTAGATTTTCTTCACCCAGCCTAATCTTAATTAGAAGGGAAATCATTAGTACATCGTGGAAAACCATCGCCCACGTAAACTCAAATCTACACTGAATAGGCTTATACTATTTTGCGAAACGAAACGAAACGAAACGAAACGAAACGAAACGAAACGAAATCGGGTCAGATGAAATAAAACAAAAGGAATAATGCAGATATATTTTCCAATAAGGTAAAGATAACTTTCACAAGGATTTTGGAGTAATCGTTCATTAACAAGAAGGATTTTTATTCATTTCGCAAAATAGTAATTTTAGGAGAGTTACTATTTTGCGAAATGGACTATTTTCACCCTGCGGTGACAACGTGACCTCTTTCATGTCGCCAAAAATACATTTAAACATTACAAATTAGTATATCAACGAAGATTTTGGCCTCCTCTTATTTCTTAAACCGTATTAAAATATATTTCGCAAAATAGTAATTTTAGGAGAGTTACTATTTTGCGAAATGGACCATTTTCACCCCTGCGGTGACAACGTGACCTCTTTCATGTCACGAGAATCCATCTAAACATTACAAATAAGTATATCACCGAACATCTTGGCCTCCTCTTATTTCTTAAACCGTATTAAAATGCGTTTCGCAAAATAGTAATTTTAGGAGCTTTACTATTTTGCGAAATGGACTATTTTCACCCCTGCGGTAACAACGTGACCTCTTTCATGTCACAAAAATACATTTAAACATTACAAATTAGTATATCACCGAACATCTTGGCCTCCTCTTATTTCTTAAACCGTATTAAAATATGTTCCGCAAAATAGTAATTTTAGGAGAGTTACTATTTTGCGAAATGGACTATTTTCACCTCTGCGGTGACAACGTGACCTCTTTCATGTCACGAAAATACATTTAAACATTACAAATTAGTATATCACCGAACATTTTGGCCTCCTCTCATTTCTTAAACCGTATTAAAATATATTTCGCAAAATAGTAATTTTAGGAGAGTTACTATTTTGCGAAATGGACTATTTTCACCTCTGCGGTGACAACGTGACCTCTTTCATGTCACAAAAATACATTTAAACATTACAAATTAGTATATCACCGAACATCTTGGCCTCCTCTTACTTCTTAAACCGTTTCAAAATTTATTTCGCAAAATAGTAATTTTAGGAGAGTTACTATTTTGCGAAATGGACTATTTTTACCCCTCAATAACTTTCTTTTCGGGTCACAAAAATACGCTTAAACATTTCATTATAGTATATTCTCGAAGGGTTCGGTCACCTCCTCTTTCTCTATCCAGATATAATTAATTTCTCAAAGTAGTAATGTCAGAAAAATTACTGTTTTGCGGAATAGCTAGGCTATTTTCACTCAGCGGTAACGATGTTGTTATTCTCGTGTCATTCAATAGGTTTTCGGTAAGTTTCAATTTAAAGCACTATCAAATCTCAAAAGGTCTAAGCTATCTTCACCTATATAAACGTCTCCTAAGTTTATTTCGCGAGGCAGTAATTTTGGAAGAATTACTGTTTTGCAAAATGGACCATAAATGATTTAAATGCCGCCTGAGAAAACTGACTCGTGACAGATTGGGTTTACAGGTCTCGCCTTTCCTTGTACGTTAGTGTTTTAATTAGCTGTGGTCTGTACTTCTTCACTGCCAAGCAACAAGGCGGTGTTTTCCTTTCCTCAGCTTCAAATGATTAAGTAAGAGCCAATTAATAACTCCATCTCAATAAACATGCAACAAGAGGTTTGGGCTAACAGGTTCATTTAATCAAAATCGACAACTGTGTAGTACCGTATTGCGTGACGCCGAAACCAAGTCAAGAGAGCCCCGCTGAAGGCCCAAACCGAGGTTGTGTCCAATTAATGACATGGGAGGGAGCGGAAAGTAAGAGGTAAAAGCTGTTTTTACTAGCGACGGAGCTATTCTAGGGGGAAGTTGGCATGTTCTCCTGAGAGATTTGAAAGACTCCATTTCGTGCGTTTTGAAGGGTGTGCACTGTTTCGGTGCAAAACCAACATGACAGTTTTCCAGTGGCGGCTAAACATGTTTAGACTCTCCGTCTCGTATAGAGAACAGAAGCATATCCATGCCGAAATAGTCGTCCAGCAGTTTTATAATCGCAAGTAATACAGTTACTTTGCTTCAAAATTTTTAATAAAAATAATATACATGGAAAAGTTACGCGCTTCTGATTACACCCCCGTCGCACACCTCTTCCTTACGAGCAAGAGATCGTGTTTCGCATTTGCGCAAGTTCCACGTGCTGCAAGAAGTTTGCTTTCTGCTCGCTTTGTGTGCTGCTAAATCAGGCAAGATTATGGCTTTTAAATTTCCTGTTCTTAAGCCCATGACCATCGACTGTTCACGTCTTCCAGTTCATGATTTCAAGTGTTTGACAAACAAAGAAATCATTGGTAAGGGCGCTAATGGTGCTGTGTTCACTGCTAACTGGGTTGTGTCCTCGTGTACCGGTACACAAAGGAACGAAACATTAACGAACTGCGTCACAACTCCATGTATGGATATGAAAACAATAGGAATTCCCCCGTGTACCGGTACACCAGGACACCAGGACAGCCCCGCTAACTGGCAGACTGTTCCTGATGCGGGTGGGAAATCGGCCGCTGCGGAGAATGTCGTCGTTAAGAAATTGCTCGGTGATGACATATTGGATAAGAAAACGTTTGTAAAGGAAGCAAGAATCATTCAAGAGTTGAAACATCCAAACATTGTGAAGTTCAAGGGAATCTGCAACAATCCCTTCGCCCTTATTCTCGAGTTCCCGCCCGCCGAGTGTAAATAATCCATTTCGCAAAATAAACATTTTTCGGAATTACTACATTCAATTAGTTTAGAAATTACTACATTAAAGAGGAGGTGACCAAGATCTTTGAGAATATACCATAATGTAATGTTTAAATGTATTTTCGTGACATGAAAGAGGTCACGCAAAATAGCAACTCTCCTAAAATTACTATTTTGCGAAATGTATTTTAATACGGTTTAAGAAATGAGAGGAGGCCAAAATGTTCGGTATATACTAATTTGTAATGTTTAAATGTATTTTCGTGACGTGAAAGAGGTCACGTTGTCACCGCAAGGTGAAAATAGTCCATTTCGCAAAATAGTAACTCTCCTAAAATTACTATTTTGCGAAATACATTTTAATACGGTTTAAGAAATAAGAGGAGGCCAATATCTTCGTTGATATACTAATTTTTAATGTTTAAATGTATTTTTATGACATAAAAGAGGTTACGTTGGTCACCGCTGGGTAAAAATTGTCCGTTTCGCAAAATAGTAACTCTCCTAAAATTACTATTTTGCGAAATACATTTTAATACGGTTTAAGAAATAAGAGGAGGCCAAAATCTTCGGTGATATACTAATTTGTAATGTTTAAATGTATTTTTGTGACATGGAAGAGGTCACGTTGTCACCGCAGCGTGAAAAATTCCATTTCGCAAAATAGTAACGCTCCTAAAATTACTATTTTGCGAAATGAATAAAAATCCTTCTTGTTAATGAACGATTACTCCAAATTCCTTGTGAAAGTTTTCTTTACCTTGTTAGAAAATATATCTGCATTATTCCTTTAGTTTTGTTCTATCTCACCTGATTTCGTTTCGTTTCGTTTCGTTTCGTTTCGTTTCGTTTCGTTTCGTTTCGTTTCGTTTCGTTTCGTTTCGCAAAATAGTATAAGCCCACTGAATATGCTTGTAAAGAAAGATGAATGAAACACATGATGCACAATTGGGATGTCACTCTGAATATCCAAAACTCACATCCAATACTGAACATCCAATACTCACCACTTATGCTTTCTCTTGATCGAGATGAGGCTTTGCCATTCAGGTTTGATGAACTTGCTTTAGGCTCAATTTTAAGAGACAACCTAACACGACAAAAAAGATTGAATATATTGTGTTCAGTCTGTGAGCATGTTTCAGTGAGGCTCTTTACAATAGTTACAGGTTTCACAGCGCAAGTGTAAATGAATACAGTTTGAATTCTCACTTGTAGTTGTCATCCTCCATAAACCTCTGCAGCTCATCGATATAGTTGACAGATTTAAGATAGGTTTGAATGTGGGCTGCTGGCTCAAGGTCATCTAGAGATAAAAGGAAAATACAACAGCTTGTGTTACAATTTCTAGCCTCTCCTGTGCACTTTAAATTGAGCCATAAAGGGAACAACAAAGTCCTGACATATTGAGGTATTTTTTGTCTTTTTAATTGCCTTGCCACAACTATTTTATTAGTTATTCAAAATGTATCCAAAAAGTTACTAACCATAAGTTGACCTTTGGAATTCTGAGATCAATCTAATTACATCATTCATCTATAAATAAAAACAAAACCATTTTTATAACATGAACTTTGTCTTGGAATCTCATTTGCTTCAGTCTTAACTTTTAAACTGAAACTACTCTGTGAAAACAAAGTGTAAAGTACAAAATCTTAACACCACTCTTATACTCTCAAACACTGTGTGTAAATATACCAGCACACCACAAATGGTTACAAAGTTCTTGAGTCTTACAAAACTTAAGTCTCAATTCCAATCAACTCACATTTGACCTTTTATGGCAAACTTACTATTTAAAGCTTAAGATCTACATGTACATGTACTTGCAGAGGGAAAAAGGGGCATGCAGAGGGTTCCTTCCTGCTCCCCAAGTTGACCTACTCCTCTCTAATACATGTAAAGTGTTAAACTCCAGGGTTGTACAAAATCTACTGTAATATTTGCTTTATATTCTCAGTAGTTCACATTATATTATTGCCTAGTCATAAGCCTTCTTCCCCATTGTTCACTTTTAAAATTTGTTTATGTCGACCATCAGTAAAATCATCCTTTAGTGGGGCACCCCTTCCTTGGAAAAATCCTGGATCTGCCTCTATGTTGCATGAAGTTATACATACTGTACCTTGTGAGTTCTAGCCTCATCTATTCCTCCAGTATTGGGATGTACAGTGTCAATGTAAGTTAAATCTGTCAGGTACATGCCTGAAGCAAACAAATAGAAACTCTTACAACTGATGGAACAAACTATTGTATTTGACAAGCTCGAATTGTCTACAAGCATGTAGAACTGTACAAACAAAGCTATTTTAAAAATAGGCAGGTATTCCTTAACCTTTTAGCTCCCATGAGTGACCAAGACAGAATTTCTCCTTACAATATCAATACAATATCAACCAGATAAGTGATAAGAATAAAGAAAAATAACAAATTGGGGATAATTAGTCAATTCAATACTAAATTCTCTGAACTAACATCATAAGAATTGTATGGTTGACAGTAAGGAGAATTAGAAACTTGATCTGGGAGTTAAAGGGTTAAGTACACAGTGGATAGGAAACAGTCGATGATGATGGTTCAGTTCAACAAGCCTCACTGTTGGGCTTAGTATAACGGCTTATGTGCAAAGGAAATGTACCACAGCAGGCTCTAAGGTAGTAGGAACTTTAGAATTACATACAACAATAACATTATCGATTTATCATACCAAGATATGGAATACAGGGTAGTTTCACTGAATCCAAGTAGTCTCTCAGTTGTTTCCTGAAAAAAAAAAAAACAAAAAACACAAGTGAAAAACTCTTTATTTTGATCTACATGTACAATGTATGTGGCAGTTTCAGGTACAGTTACTACATGCACAAAGTGCAAAAAATGTATTTCACTGTGCTACTCCTTTTGCCTCAAGAGAAGTACTCATTACAAGATGAATTGCATTACTAATACCCATCAAATTTATGCAAATGCTAGCATGTTCTTTTGGAACATCTTTGTGGACTCATGGTGTGGCCAAAAGTTCCAAACAAATTGGTATTCATTACATGTGGGAGACCTAGTAACCCCATAGCTCACCAGAATTAGTTTTATTCTTCTTTCAGTGGCTCTTCACATCACAAAAACATAACAAATCCTCAAAGAAATGTGTACATGTAGTAGCTGGAGGTGAGAATTAACAATCAGATCTTGGAAGTAAAAATCTAAAACAGTGCATACACTGTCTAATACCTGTTATCCTCTTCAGAAAGAAGTTCTGCAAATCTGTCAAACTGGGCTTTATCTTTGCGCTGAATTAACTACAAAAAAAAAAAGGATCCAATTTTCAACACAGCCCGTTATCATTAGTTATGGTTGTACTTGTTGCAATCTGGCTGGCACAAAGAGCAGATGAGATGAAGTGAATTCTGGTTCTGATAGACTACCTACACATGAGCAAATGTTCCAATGCCTGGGAAGTATTCTCTCAGGTTGTCAGAACCAAGTAGTCTTACAGTAGTTACAACTACAAGTCCATACAAGCCAGTAAGTAAAGATGCTTTAAAAGAGCATAACATTTTTAAATAAAGCTCAAAACAAAATGGTAAATCAACAGGATAGCCCTAATTACATGTAAATGTTAGGTTTTTATTCCAAAAAGTATTGAGTTTTCCTTTACTCAACATTTTCTTTCTTTAATAGATTCCTGTGAACATTTCAATTTTTTTCATTAATTTGCATGACAGCAGTTGTTTCTTGAAATTTTACTCAAGTAGTTGGCACATGGCCAGCTGAAATTAATTCCTGTGTGTATGCCCAACATTTGATGGCTGTGTTGGTCATTGTGTTACATTCTTAGGGAAGGCATTTTACTCTAACAGGGAAATGCAATGATAAGTTGAAGGGGAAACGATGCAAAGATAAGTTGGAGGGGAAACAATGCAATAAAGTTAAGTCCTAATCCACAGTTTGGGCAGTGCATTAGCATGGTGCTGCTTATGCTCCAAATTACTTCATGATACTGGTAACCTTTGGCAGTAAGGGCCTCTAGGTTGTAAGGTGATTTAATCCTTGGTTCCACAGATTAAAAAGAAAAAAATGAATACATGTACATGGAATGTCCAACCTACCGCCCAAGTATTGTTGAGTCTGTACACGGAAGCACTCTGAAGTCCAGAAACGACAGCTTTCAAGGAATGAAGATTGTTCAACTCAAACAGTTTCTGTATGATTCACAAATACAAAAGGTTGAGTTAAGAATTATTCAGAGAAGACTGTATAATGTGAATATAGGTGCACATTTATATACCACCTTGTCAGAACATTAAAACAGATACAATACATCACTAAAGTTGCAGACTTTGTCGTAAATCATTTCAATCTCTATGTTCAGCTTTTGTCTCTAATTTATCAACTGTCTTAAAAGGCTCACAGTACCTTTGCTATCTTGATAAAATGGGTGAGGACAGCAGCTCTTGTCTTTTTCTTGTTGGCATTCAAGATTTCTCTCACCACCCAAAAGCTGACCTGTGTAGAGTTAAATGTGTGATTATTACAGCAAGCATAATTTTATGTGTGAAAAAAAAAATTGGTAACCCTCCACACCCTAACATCAGTGTCTGATATTCTCTACACTCTTTTCAGCATTTTCTTTGGTACTGACAAGGAGAATTTGTTTAACAATCAATTGAAAGCTGCCTACAAAAGGTTGGCAATTATTTCATTTATTTTCGTGATCTTAATGAAGTGCTACTGTAAGGAGAGATTAGATGCTGGTCACCCTTAGGGTTTACAGGGTTAAAAGACAGAAAAAAGGTTAAAAGCAGACCAAAATTTCAATTTTGTTGGGTTTATTTTATGAACCATACAGTAACTGGTAACAAACAGCACATAGCAACCTTACGTCACAGCTAATAAATTGATGTAAGTCATAGAGTGAATAAAATTAGTGTGTAATGTAGCGAATCACTTTACCCTGATTATAAACAGAGAGAAAAAAAAAACCTGTTTATATTAATAATAATCAAGTTTACCATACTAAAAACAACACAAAGAGCAATTTGTACAGAGAAGGCTCACGACAAGACTTACATGGTTAAATCTCTTTGTAAATGCAACAATGTTTGGTGCAAGCTCAACCTTTTGCTTCTTCGTCCAGCCAACTCCTGATAGTTCCTATAATAAATATGCATTGTTGAATGAGCATGAGGTCAAGACAACTATATACTGGTCAAGAATGAGGCTTGACAAAACAAGCTTGGTCCATAAGGGATTCATTACATAAAAAAAAAATTTAGTTCTAATAAGAATCACAAATGACTTGTTTAATTCAAGAGCCAGAAAAGAAAGCCATCTGTGTCTGTAGCACAATAAACATATGAGAGTTGTTTATCTTTTCTTTGTTTTGACTGTCTTCTGTAGCTTTTTGCTACTCCATCATCAAAATTGTCTAAAAAATTCAATTTGCACAAGAACAAAGCAGACAATCCTGAACACATCTTGCCTGCTTGGGTAGCCAATTGGAACACAGGATTTGCTTCATATTACCCACAAGCATTGCTGACAATACGACTACAATTAATATTAAAATATCATAGCAGCATGTACATTGTAATGATAATGTTACTGAAAATACTGTTTACAGAACAATAAATGGTTGAATCCAAGAAGAACAGCTGATGAAATCCAGGGGCTTCAATAGAATCCAGTCACCTTAATTATTTACCCTTTACATATACATAATTGAATCACTTACATCAGGGTTGATTGCCTTGAAAACAGCCAGATCGAAAATTGTGAGTTGTTGCTGTTTGGAGAAAAAAATTCAAAGCAAAGTTAATTTGCATCACAAGCAGTGTCCAGTTCATAAACATGTACAACAGCATATGTAGTTAAAGATCTGTATGAACAGTTTTCTTTTTTTTTTCTTTCTTTTTTTTCAAATTCTTACAAGAAAGAAACATAAACAAACACTAAATAACAAAAAGGACAAATGGACCATTCAAAAAATAAGAAAGTGACTTACAGCAAACTCTTCTGGTAGAACCTTCAGAACATCAAAGACTGCTGCATCAAAATTCTTTTCAACAGCACAATCAACCTCATCTTCCCCTGATGACTATAAATTATTTGATACCATAAATTATTAAAGAAAAACAGCAATTGCTTGACAGCATATAGTAACTTTCAGAAATACACTATCAGTAACAACTGAGACATAAACAAGTTACAGTACTGCTTAGATATACAGATGTGCAGATGTATTTTATATGCACAGATGCAGGTTATTAGATGGAAATAGACACTATTCATGCATTTCTAGACAAAATACATGTGCAACTTATGTGTCTTTGTTATTCAATACTATAAGTTTATTTGGTGTCACACTGTTGTGTAAAACAAAGGACTTTAGGAGTTGACAATGGAAAATTTACATTTAGAAAAAAGCCATAATGATAATTATTACACACACTCATGTCGCATCCATTCAGGATTTATTGAATTATGAGTAGTGGTAATAGATTTGCTTGATTTATCTTGACTCTGATGATGACTTCCGCTCAGGTTGCCGAAACGTCAGTCACCTCTACCGACAACATTCCTTCTCAGGACTACACTCACCCGGACGATCAAACTACACTATTACTTGATTTATCTTGTTGATGAATCAAAAGGAAAAGGAAAATCCTAACCCTAACCCTTAAACAAGGCACTCAGTATCATTTAGCTTATAACAAAGCAAAAACTCACCAATAGCCCACCCAATTGTGAAAGATGTTTAAGTTCAGTTGTGATTTATTTCTACCTGGTATTCTGGTTCAATCCATCCTTACCTCGCCAGTGTAGTTGTCACTGCCATTGTCAGGAAGCTCTTCTGTGGACATTGCAATATTTACTTTGGGTGAAAGCTCTGCTTCCAATAAATGATGATTCGTAAAGGATACTTTTGGGGTTGACATTGTTGTAGCCTTATTTTCAATACACCTTGTCTATAACAAGTTGAAGAGCTGTGTGGGAAAAAAAGGAAGAAAACCATTTCATAACAACACCATGTTATTATTGAAAATTTAGAGAGCTATGTGTACTACACTACACATGTACTTTTATCAGACTAAAATACAAGTAACTGCAGTTATTTTCATCTCTGTTTCTATTTCTGGCAGATCTATCCTGACATCAACATGGAGCTACATGTAAGACATACATTGTAAAAAGCATAAAGAGAGGCTTCATGTGTTTGCACAAGCCTATAACAAGAATAACTAGATCCTCATGATGAAGCAAACCTCTGGCCATTCTACCTCTTATGTGGAAAGCTTCATAAACTGAGCTTCAGAGAACTTTTTGGAAGGTTAGCCACATCAAAAAAAAGTGATCATGTCCTTGACAATTTTTTTATACATTGTATCAGAGGGTTAGGTTCAGAGTTAACAATCTTCTTCCTTTACCTTCATGTAAAACATCAATACATGTATGAAAAATGAATGTGCTTCACTTGCATAATGTTTATAATGTGAGACTACTCAAATGTCAATAATACATGCATTTTTCAATTCAAAAAAATTAAATCGAACAGTAACATCCCCTCTGTTGATGTGCTATAAATAAGTAGCAGTAAGAAAAAATTACTCAATTTCTAAAAAACTGGCTTTTGCATGACTAACATGTGCAACCTTTGAACACCACTTTGAAATTTCCATCATACAAGGTAACAAGAAAATCTTTGGAAACTAGCAAACAATAATTTACAGTATCTTGCAACACCCATGAGTATGAATCCTGAAAACAGACAAGGCACTTTCCAAAGAAGAAATTGCCAAATCGTTTGTTTACACTGCTATAGATAAAAATAAAACCGAGGACCTCCTCTTGGAAAGTTCAAAGTAAACTCTACGTACGTGTTGTATCTGCGACCAAAGTTTACACACTGTCTGCAAATTAAACACCTCAAATATGTTGTATTTTGCAGCCTACAAGACCAGACAGAAAACTAAATTTCTCATTATATTGTGCAAATATTACGAAATAAGTTGTTCGAGATGTCTTACTGTTTGTGACAGAAATAGACAAGTCACGCATAAAGAAGAACAAAGCTATTTTCTTTTCTTTTTTTTTGTCACCTGAAATAGAATATGACAATTTTGGTCTGTTGCAGTTTCGTACTGTAAATGTGGGAAACCATTTTCTATTTTCGTCTCTATTGCGAATGTTTTTAATTAGAAAGCACGACGTGCGAACTTTAAATAGTGAACGTCGATCTTAACCAGAATCCAGAGTTTCCACTCTGATGAGCAAATAAAATGTACTCGATATTGGTTTCATAAAAACACAGCTCTTTATTTTGTCTTTTAGTGATATTAAATATATCATAGCTTAAAAACAAACTCGTTTTAGAAATAAATGAGATATTGTTGTCAGTAAGATTTCATTCCGAATACATTTAAAACATACAGACTGACCTTTACTCTAATTTCAATCATCATTTCAATCCCGGTCTTCCGTCGCAGGAAATGAAATCCATTGCGTTGGAGAAAATCCAGCGCTCAAGGTAAGCGGAAGATTCACTTGTCCACTTGTAAAGCTGTCAAAGCACGCAACACTCAAAATTTTTGATTTTTTCGGCGATTCCAATGGCTCCAATTCTTTTGTTTGCAAAACAGACCAGCTAGATATTTATTCTGCCCGCGCACGAACATGAAAACGAAAAAGTAAAGTTCGAGTTCTCCTGTGTTAAAAAAGTGGGAACTCAGTTCGATACTAAACTGAAAGCATACCTCACGCTTTCAAGGTGTCGGAAGATTCGATGTTTCCCCTTCAGGACTGAAACTGAGAGCAGACGATGTCAGCATCTAATTTGAGAAAAAGCTCAACTATTCATTGCCGAAGATGTCACGTTCTTGCTTCACGTAACGACACGTGACTGTCATTAACCCTTTTGCAATAAGAGCTCCAACAGGTAAGTCAATTTGGCCACAACAGCTTTCTCCAGCGCATAGACTTGTAATTTTTGAATCGTGTGAAACGTAAATCCGCACCTGACGATAAACAAAAGCTCGTCACAGCAATTCTTTGTGTCACAAAGCAAGAAAGTCACGCAGAGCTTACTTTTACTCATGCTCTCTGTGACCAACCGCTGACATGTCTTTCTCCTTGCGCAATATTGATGCAATTGGCACACATGTTTTTCAAACGGCTGTTTATGCTCACCAATGGAGTTCGAATTTAGGTCCTGTACTGTTCAAGACGGCCAATTTGAGGATGCCGAAGAAGACGAAAGTGTAGTACCGAACTCACTGACTCATTATATTTCTCATGAACCCATCGGGAAAGAAGTACAGGAGCTGGACAAACATCAAAATGGCGAATCGATAGACCACGTGAAATCTTCTTCAGAAGACAGCGACGATGAAGATTTTGATGGATGGGATTGGGAAGACGAGACAGGGGATTTTACGAAACGTTATAACGCATCAAAGTCAGAAGTTCATGTTTCGAATACCACAGGTAAACGCCAGTCTTCTTTACAACCGAACGAAAAATCGTTTGCAAAATTTGGCAATCGAATTAAAGTGGAGAAGTACGAGGGACCGAAATTATCCAACAAAGCCGCGAATGTTCTGATCCAAGCCAATAAGAAGCTTGAAAATGACAGAGTGCGTGCTAAAGATAAGGCAGACAGGGCCACTGTTGAACAAGTTATGGATCCTCGAACAAGAATGATTCTGTTCAAAATCCTAAACAAAGGAGTTATCAGTGAAATAAATGGCTGCATCAGCACTGGAAAAGAGGCAAATGTATATCACAGTACGAATTCAAATGGTGACGAGAGGGCAGTGAAGGTTTACAAGACGTCCATTCTTATCTTTAAGGACAGGGATAGATATGTGACTGGCGAATTCAGATTCCGTCATGGATATTGCAAACACAACCCCCGAAAGATGGTTAAGACCTGGGCGGAGAAGGAAATGCGAAACCTTACGCGAATGTTCAATGCGGATATCCCTTGCCCAGAACCGATCATTCTTCGCAGTCATGTTCTCGTCATGAGCTTCATTGGGGTGGATGGCTGGCCAGCTCCTCTACTCAAGGATGTCACGTTGTCGGAATCTAAAGCTAGAGAACTGTACCTCCAGTGCATTCAGATCGTACGAAACATCTACTGGAAATGCCGTCTTGTTCACGCCGATCTGAGCGAGTTTAACATGTTATACAGTGGAGATCAGCTGTATGTGATTGATGTTTCGCAGTCTGTGGAGCACGATCATCCACACGCCTTAGAATTCTTACGAAAAGACTGTACAAATGTTACCGACTTCTTTAAGAAGAATGGAGTCTGTGTCATGAATGTTCGCGAGCTATTCGACTTTGTAACAGATCCCACCCTGAATGACGACAATGTGGACAACTATCTTGAGAGAGCACAAGCGATCGCAGCTAATCGTGGAGTTGAGGAAGAAACCCCTGAAGAGACAGTGAAGGAAGAAGTGTTTAAGAAAGCTTACATTCCCCGAACGCTCGAACAAGTTGTAGACTTTGAGAAAGATGCGCAGAGAGTCAAAGAAGGACAAGCAGAAGAAATTTTGTACTCAACTCTAACCGGCCTGAAATCTGACCTAACAGGAGTGCTGGCGCATCCTGAACTCCTCACAAATCAACCAGAAAATCAAGGAGACAATGAACATCTTTGTGTTGACAAACTGGACATCATGAATGTTGATGACGATGCTAGTTCTGAAGATGAGGCCTTCAGTGCTGACGAAAATGATACAGAGAAAGGAAAGAATTTACACAAGGAAGGCACAGGTATGAGCAAAAAGGAGCACAAAAAACTTGTTAAAGAAGCAAACAGAGAAAGGAGACAGAACAAAACACCCAAACATGTCAAGAAAAGGAAAGAGAAGTTAGCGAAGACAAAAAGAGGAAGAAATAATTGATTCGAGTGCGGTGCCTATGCACAGTTTTTCTTCGAAGCGCAGTGCTCTTTCGATTTAAGGCAGAATGCGTTCCGAGGGTACATTTGAAGTTAAACTAGTCAAGGGTGCTCAATACCCCTTTGCAATGAAGGCTTCATAGCATTGTTCGATGTAACATTGACTTCTTTTTTTTCAAGTTGTATGCATCTGGCTGTGTGGGTTCTTCGCGCTACAATTTATCCCTCAATTATAGCAGACGATGTTTATAGATACATTAAATCGAATATGTCTTTAACGTAGAGTTGTTTGAAAGTCCTTTAACGCTTTTGTTTTTTCACTAGGCTCTGAGCTTGAATACAATCAGTCTTTCTTTCCTTGTGTGACACTTTGCGCAAGTCAAAAGAAATCGGCATTAAAAAATCAAATTAAAACTAAAACAAACAAATTAATACTACACTTAATTTCAACCAGTTTATCGTTGTAATAACCCACGCGGGATGTTGGGAGAACAAGAGAACAGTTTACAAATCACTCGTCTCCAGTTCGTGATTCTCTCGTTCTCTCAACATCCTGGCGTGGGTTGCTACGCTGGTAAACGGAAAGTACATTCTATTGCTTTTTATGAACTTATTTGAAGCGGAACACAGAATGATCTAATTTTCTGTGAGAGTACCGGTGCAATAAACGAGAGGGTTTTGACCATTAGGGCGCTCGCAGTAGGTCAGTTAGTTCAACTCTTTACACCCTAGCATCAGTATGTATATTCTTCATCCTTTTTTCTATACGTTTCCTAAGGTGCTGATGAGGAGAATTTGTTTATCGATCAAGAGATTATTTAGTTAGTGATCATTCCTTTATTCTCATGACCCTACTGTGTGATGCAGGGGTTATACTGTTGGGAGAAATTAAATGCTAGTCACTCTCAGGGGTTAAAGGGTTAAAGAATCAACTGGCGGTACCAGCGCACCTCGCCTCGTGCCCCGGGATTTTATTTGTGGCATTTTCTATTAATTTCAATTTAGGGACGATAGTTATTCGGGATTGCTTTGGTTTTGCTTTACTTCATTTCTTTGTGATTAGTCCAGAAAGCCCAACGCCATTCTTTAAACCAATCAGATTCAAATTGAATCCGTGATCTCCCCTTCGCTTTTCCAGCACTTTAAGCAGCTTTGATATTACAGAAGTTCTCATTGGCCCCTAAAGAACATTTCCGTTGTTTTCACTGGTTATCGTTACAACTTTGGTTTTGTTTTTACAATATTTACTCGAAATGCTTTAGAGCTTGCACGAATGATTACGCTGGAAAGGGCAGACCGTGCATAACCTTGATAAAGCCGGGAAATAAGTTATTTTATTTTAGATCCCGAGAAAGTTTTCTCTCTGATCTGATTCGTCGGTCGGACATCATTGTTGCTATTCAAAACTCTGATTTGTGTAATTCTGAAACCTTCTGTGATGTAAATTTTCACTGGTTTATTCGTGCGCAAAACCCGTGCAACTATGCAAACCAATCAGAACATGTCCTGTTATCTACGTGGGAACGGTTTAAAAGGGCATACTTCACAAAATTATCATAAGTTTTGATAAATTCAACCTTTGCTGCAGCGAAGATTTTTGACTGTTGTTCGTCGTTTGTCGAACTTGTACGACGCTTTTTGTACCATATCTACCAACGGGCGGAAACAGGTAAGTACTTGATTACTTTTAAGTAAATGTTTACCTTTTTGGAAAGTAAGTTTCAAAGATACTTTGGCCATGTGCGAGAGTGTTAGCACGTTCTGGGTCGAAGTTTTTGTTCGAGTTCGAAGAATCCGCTAATTCTGTTTAGTAACCTGTGCTTCACTTACAAGCTGCCAGTTAATTTCTATGAGTGTTTGCATTCTTTGGCAAAAATTCAAAGCAAAAGTAAGTTCCTTCTATACTCCTTCTTTGAAGCCGTTTTCGCGCTTAGAAGTATCCGATCCTTTCATTCTCAAATATTTTAGTTCGCGTTTCATTCAGCAGTTGTTAGTTTTGCAACCTGCTTCTGTGAAATTTCAGAATTCTAGACTGCATTCGTACATTTTGCGTTTCATGTGCGGGCGGGAAAATTGTAATTTATTCAAATTTGTGGCTGGTTAGTTCTACGCGAGAGAAAAGAATTGCGAAGATGCTACTTAACCCTTTAACTCCCAGACCAAATTTGTAATTCTCCTTACTATCAACCATACAATTCGTATAATGTTAGTTCAGAGAATTGAGTATTGGACTAACTAATGATATTTTTCTTTATTCTCATCACTTATCTGGTTGATTTCCCATTGATATCGTAAGGAGAAATTCTGTCTTAGTCACTCATGGGAGTTAAAGGATTATCTAAGGACCCTTGTTTGTTCACATTGTACCACGTTCTTTTAACAAGTGTGATAAATGTCATCTACATTTTAGGAGCAACAGTTTTCTGACAGATATATAATCCATATCTGAGACAGTCTTATCTAAGTCCAATCAAGTCCAGTTCCTTCCGTTCCAGTCTGGTCCAGTCCAGCCCAGTCCACTCCAGTCCACTCCAGTCCACTCCAATCTACTTCACCTCAGTCCAGACACTCCAGTCCACAGCAGTCCTGATCTTTACAATTCAGTCCTGTCTCGGTCCTTTCCAGTCCAGTCCAATCCAGAACATCCCACCACCAACACAACTCAACACAAGAGCTGACTTTCATTACCAGTACAACTCACATAAGGACTCGAAAGCGTGGCGAAGGAAAGGGCCAACGCCCCATTGGGTCTTTTCATCTCTTCGTTTTCGTCGCATGCGAGGAGGCTGGGAACGGGTCAGTTAGAAGACGCTGATGTACATGTCCGACTGGTTAGTAAAATCACTTTGGGTTGGGACGATGGAAGGTTTATTAGATAGTGCGCTGGTTGAACCTTGAAATCCAAATTCTAACAGAAGATGACAAACTTCTGATTCGGCTCGATTTAATTAATGTATGTCTAAAATTTATTTAGATTAGTTAGCGGGTCCCCCAGGGTTGGTGCGGGTCCTCCCTCCAGATTCTTTTCATTGGGTTTTCCGTTTTTCATTAGGTGCTTTTAATCAATCGGTGTTCGGTTTAATATCGACTTCGGTACGTTTCTCGTTCGACTTGTGGTTCTTCATAAATCCGGCTTCCTTTACCGGCTTCGGCTTTTTATCGGCAGCTTTTTTGCTCCACATCAGCTGGACGTCGACTTCAGTTGAATTCGATATCTCCAAGTTTCTTTTGCGTGCGTTCCCGCCTAGTTGCTTCAAATGCGGCCAATTATATCAAGTCTCACTTAATTGCAGGGAATCACATTGAGTACTGTGATCGAGTGAGATTGTTGTGGAAAGCAAACTGTTTTGGCCTGAAGGTTCAACCAGATTCTTAGCTTAAAATGTAGTAAACTGGATTTAAGCTACTCAACTGTTAGAGAAAAGCTATTTTCGCTTCTCGTAACACGTTTAGTGGTTTATTTCTGGTTACAGGAAGTCAGCCGTCAGGTAAGGCTTACAAATGTGAGCGCAGAACAGTTGGTAGCCAGCAGGGAATCATGGGAACAATGCACACACCGTTAGAACGTTTACCAACTGTAAGCGCAGGCAGCCTTCGACAATTGATGACAACACGAGGATGGTTCATGAAGACAACGAGGAAAGAACTGCTGGGAAACATAAGGGCCATCTTTTCTACTAGTTCATCTGTTTTACAATGTAAATTTTTCTTTCTTCACATTGATAAGCATGTAATAGCATTTTCAAGGCTCAAAATTTGACGGCCATCTTTCGATGCAGCAAAAGTCGCCCGTCGTTGGCATTAGGAAGAAGGTCAGATAGAAAAGCTAGCGTAGGGAATTAAATAAACAACTAAATAAATGAAAGCTCTATTATCTCGGTCATCTCCGTCGTTCAAGCTTCATGACAGGCGACCAAAAATTGGATAAGGAATTAAACGTTCTTTTAGTTAAGCCCAGGGTTTGAGTAAATTCTTAAGTTGATTGGATTTTTCCTGTCATTGAAAGTTGAACAGACAGCGATGTTTGAGAGAGCTACAAAAACAGCGCTCCTACCCAAGAATTGAAATAAAGATATTACCCTGCGCGATTGCAAGCGCCTCTACTTACTTGAGGGTCTGGACGGAGTGTAAACGGTAACAGCTGAAGTTTAAAAATTGATTTACGTGCGTTTGCCTCCAGATTGTGAATTATTGCGTTAAATTTTCTAAGCCACTTTTCAAGCCAATTTGAATTCCTAAATTTTAAGTTAGTCGTGCCTTCCTCCTTTCATTTGGGTTAATTGGATCATCTGTCAGCTGTTAGAAGTTTACTTCGTTCAGACTCTTGCCACGTCAAGTGCGGCAGAGACTGGAATACAAAACGTGGAGCAGCAGTCATCATGGAAACAAGCAGCATTCCATAGAAGGTAGGGTTTCGGTCGGAGACTGGCCCGAGGTATGTGAAGAGCTCTTGTCGCGCTGAGAGCTTGTGCGCTCGTAGGATGGCGTACTCTAGATTACAGCATCGCCCTTTCCAAATCGTTTTGTATCGTGAGAGTGAAACTGTCGGGAAATTATTGGGCATGCGTGATTACAATTTAAACGGTGCTGTATTTTAGTGTACAACATCGTACTCTGCTTCCGGATTTCGGTTCGATTTTCGATTCAAAATTTACTTCGGCTTTTCTTCGGCTTTTCAGAATTTTTTTCTTTTTTCGGCTCGGAATATGAAGGCTTGGTGGCGACTGTCAGTCGTGAGCAAGCCACTGAAGAAATACAAGCACCGTCCGGGATTTTCCGAGTGTTCAAATCGGGGTGTCGACATTAACTGACACGGAACACTCTGAGCATCCTTGGACGCCAAATTTTTCTTGTTAGGTGCGCGTCCCTTCTGATAGGCTCTGTGAAGTAATTTAGTGCATATATTATTTCTTGATGTAATGTTGTATCAAAAATGAAATAAATGAAACGTGCGAGTCTGAGTGTTGATTTTAATTAAAGATAAGTAAGGTAACATAATTACTT